GAAATATCTTCGAGTCTCTACATTTAAGGCTAAAACATAATTTTTTGTACTATCTTTGGATAACTCTAAGCGAATTTAATGTTGGCTATTTCTGGCCTTAAATATTATTGGCGATCATTTCCTCACTTAGATCCGACATTTCATAACTAAGATCACTTTTCGCAAAATCAACAATCACGGTTGAAGTTCATCTTCTAGGACCCTATATATTCCAAAAAGTAGTTTAGTATTCATACAATATCCTCTTGCAATGATTTGTTTTTGGTCTCCTTGAATAATGGTATTATATACATACCTGTGATAAGGACCAGACTAAATAAAATGATTAGGAAAGTATGGATACAAAAAATTCCTTTCTTCATCGCCCGCTCTTTCAAATTACTTCTTCGTCCGGTGGCCTGTCAACCCTTCAGCCACCTGTTCCTTGCATGAGCGGTTTGAAGCAAAATGAAAGACCGATTCCCAACTTCCTTTTTGTACCACAACTGGAAAAACCAAATGAATTCTTTCCATTCATGTATTAAATTTAATAGATGAAGCATCATAGTCATCAAAATAACGTGCTTTTTATTCAATTCGATTTTTTTAAATAATAAATGTATGAAGCACCAAGTGGTAACTGAGAACAATTTTATTTGACGAAAACTGAGCCAAACCATTTTGAATTGCAACGGGTTTATTAGTTCGCTAGGCCATATAGCGTTGTTCGGAGAATTCTGAAAAAGTGTTTTAAAATATACCATATTGGCCATTTCGGAGATGCGTATGGACCTGGGGCGAGTTTCAAATTTAAACTAATCGATAAACTGACACCACCATATAAACGGACATGTTGAGATTGGTTATTTGACCAAGTTTGGTATACCGTGAAAAGCTATGAAATATAAATTCATCTGGGATGTAAAGAGTTACGTCTCCTATAAAAGCAGTATTTCCAATTGAATCTTTCACTTTGCCTCCGGTCCATCTTAGAGTGTTTCTTTCCTGAGAAATTTGCCTTCATTCCTTGGGCAATAGTTTAATTGTACTTCATAGCCTTTTTACGAAACAAACCTTTATCATCACAGAAAAAGTCGATTGCTGGGAACACAAAGAGTTAACCAGGTTTTTGAGTTCATGGTATTAATTGTATAAAATGCATTTTGTTTTCACCCTTCATTTCTAGCACTTTAAAGTCACTTCTTGCATCATGCATTCCACAGAGTTACCAACATTCAACTGTCTCATTGTTGCTCCTTTGTTTTCTTTCCGTTAACCTTTTTTCGCCGCGAAGGAAGGGAGCATTCCCTGCAAAGTCTCTTGCGATGTAAAACAGAAACGTTTTTGATGTTGACCAATTTCGAAGCTGAATTTCTTAACTTTTGTTGGTGGATTTTCTTGTGGTTATCATTTTTGTTTTGTTTCTTTCTAGGTACAGTGGTGTTTATTCCATTATCTTTAACAAATCCTTTCTTTTGGTTTTCTTGTATTTGGTGGCTCCTTATCAATACCATGTGCCCCCTATCGTTACCAAAGTTGTTTAAACTATTGTGCATCAATGTCCTCTCGCTTGCCCTTTCATCAAACATAGGCCTAGCTAAGAGGGGAGATTCATATAATTCATTTGTTTCCGATCGAAACTTTGGAGCAGTGTCCCTTAATTCTTGTAACATTTCAGTCGAGTCTTCCACTCTCTGACTTTTGCCTCTATTTTTCTGTAGAAGCTCTTCAGCTAGTGCTGTCCCCAGGCCTGCTGAGGGTCCTAACAGTGGAGGACTTTCAACATCGCTCTGCAAAAGGGACTTATGATTTCCCCCGCCAAAAAAGACCTTTTCCTCTCCTTCTTGAGGTATTACTTGATTTTCCTTTAACTCATCCAGTTTCTCTAAAAGGCTTGCTTTTTGGTCCTCTAGAGAGCTCGAATGTTGTCCTTCATTTCCCAAACCAGCATTTTCTCCAAGCGGCTGGCTTCTGAAATGATTTAATAGACCAGACATGACACCTTGTTTCGGTTCTGGTACAGCTAGTGTTTTCCCATCAAAACTCTCATAACTTGTTTGTTCAGGTGATTTTCCTTCGGATTTTGGATTCATCCAGCTCTTGTCTAAAAACGGGGTATCCTCATATTCTTTTTGATGCTGATACGATTCACCGCCAGCTGTGTCACCATAGGATCCAAACGAACTCCAGCTATCGTAATTATTCTGATGATGCCTTGGAACATCGGCATTTACCAAACTTTCAAGTCCTCCCTCAGTGACACCTTGTGAATCACTGCCGCTATCCTTGGAAGACTTCGTTCCTGGAAATAGTACTGGATCATCAGGGAAGATTGTTGAAGGCACTTGAACAGGTGATGACGGTTTGAAGTACTTGTGCCACTGAGTGCTGCTTTGAATGAAAGACACCTGAGCTGGAGACATGGTGTCAACTCGAAGATTGCCTATTTCTTTAGAGGGAGGCCTGTCAAAAAACCTGCTGGCTTCATGTGTCTCTGGGCTCACCATACTCTGCAACTTGTACTCTTCCCGGTCAATACGGTTGGTGTCCTCACCGAGAATTTCTTCCTTCTTGGCCACTTGTACCTTTTTTGGCATTTTGTCGTTTGCACGTGTGTCGCTATCTGTGATAATATATAAAAAATAGTTTAGCAGTAAGATTATGTATTCATAATAAGCGGCAAATATCAAAACCAATGCGGCGAGTCATTCCACATGGATTTATCAGGTTTTGTTGCAAGTTTATACGTTTCCGAAAATTCAAAGAACATGATACTGAACTTCAACAAGTTAAAACATGCTCATCTTTATTGTGACTCATAGTAGTTGATACAAATTTTTAAACATGTTAGTTTTAAAAAAAGGTAATTTTGTGGTCATGGGCTGGCGTTTTTTTCAAGTTTGTAGATGATAAATGGCTACTGTTCGACCCCTAAAATGATATTGCCGTTACACGCAATAGAAAAACGGTAGCACTATAACTAACTATGATATGAAACTTTATTTTCTGAGTTGCAGAACTTTGAAATATACATTACGCTTTCGCGTACAAAATAAGCACTCTCCAGAATTATAGAAAATTCAAGTAAGATTTACATGTCATTTTAATAGGTCTGAAGCGAAAATGTCATTACCTAAGCCTCCCACCTTAAATCAAGGGAGGAGCAAAATTTATTACTGCATGTGACGACATATAGTTGTATCGAATTCTACAACACATCATGAGTCACAATTTATAGATATCTCATTGAACTGTTAGACTATGGGGGGATTAAGTTAACGAAAAAAGGTAAGCCACAAGGCTGCTTTAGAACAATAAAGCTCGTACAAATATTTATACCTGATCGAACTGACGCGTCCGGCTTACCATGTTTATGAGAATTACTGGGGAAAACAAAACTTTGCAGAAGTAAAAGTAATGGCAGGTAATTCATCTCACAAGAAAAATAACTTTAACAAAAGAAGACATTTAAAAAGCTTGACCAAACGGGTGCATTTAACGGGTATCGCGATCATTGCTACCTCGACCGATTAATATTTCACTGTATATGACGTCAGAACATCTTGTCTGTTTCGTCTGGGTATCATTGTTGAGACTTCTAGTCTAATGCTTTGACTTAATTTTCACTGCTATGTCTCTTTTTCGGCGACTTTCCGAAGTAACAGAGAGGACAAGTCGGATAGTTCTTGCGAAGAAAGAAAGTTTGTGGTGCAGTATTTCAATGTTTCACGGTGCACGGTTTGTCGAGTCAAGCAGGTGGATTTCTTGGCCCATTTACTTCCTTGACAGAAATAAAGGGTTCACTAATGTTTAACGATTTGTTCTATCGGGCATGTCCAAGCGTAACAGGCTTACCACAAATAAACCAAAACATACCTTTTCTATACCTTTACTTAGTTTAATCTTAATGTCAATCATCAACTATTGGCCCAGAAATTACAGTAGAGCAATGTTTTCTGTAAAAATTAATAAGATACTAAATTGTTGACAAAATTACAATTCTTCGCAAAGAATTCTTGATTAAATCTTCTCTTGAGACTACTGTAGAATATAGTAGCAACTCGTTTCAACATCTCAAGGAGACGTTCTCTCTCGAATAAACATGGTCACGTGACCTTTGTTATTACATCATTCAAATTGTATTGTTCATTTTCCTTTCCCTAAACATGGAGTCTTGTCTTGATAAAACCTAGTATTCAAGATGCGTAAACCAAAATATTACGTTAAGTGACATGTTATGGCGTCGATGACCAAATGGATTGGGATTTTATTTATTCTACTAACATTTTTGCCAGGTTTGTGTTGAAACTAAGTATTGTCGTATTCTGTAGCCAGAACAACTGGATCGCCTTGCATATATTCCTTCTCAAACATACGGTAGGCAAAAGGATAAAAAATGCATTTTAAGACGGTTTTGGGAAAGAAAATCTCTCGGATTTTCTAAGTCATGCGAGGAACAAAACTAATTGGCTATAAGGGCAACGATGTCACGTACGCATCAATACCTCTGTTAAAACATGGCGGATTTGTTAAACTTACTACAATGGTACCTGCATTATTTTATACCAGAAAATTCAAAAACTTAAAATTTCTTCTATTTCTATGGTTTTTAGAGTTGTTTTAATTATGTTACCATTATGATAATAAACACTTAAATCTTACTGTAAACACAAAGGGTAAACATCATTCGTTAAACACTTTTCAAACTAAGACAAGGAAATCGTAAGTTAACACCGTCAGCGATATTACAGTTGATATAAAAAAAGAATCAACCGTAAAGTGTGTTTATGTCAGAAGTGGTAGCTTTCTTGCCTTTTTAAATTAGACGGAATAAAACATTGGACGGGACCATCCTTGAAAGTATTGCATTGTAGTTCCCTTTGCGCTTCGGATCCTAAGCGACCACTATCGGCTTACTACAATGTAGTTTTGCATACCTAGATATACCTAATGAACCATTTTCTTTAAACTTTCCAGTGAACATCCTGGCCATCAATACCACTGACACAAGTAAAACGCTCCATGGTCCCAATATTACGATCAGCAAATCTCGCAAAAGGCAGGAGATAATATTCTTAAGAGATGACTTTGCACATAAAAGAAATAGGGAAGGTGAGACAGTTGCAAACATAGAGAAACATGGAAAAAGTTTATCTGCAGAAGGAAAGGTTTTTCATGGGGAACCCAACCCAAGTAACCCTGAGGACATGTCGGAATATCGAGAATCTGAACTCAAGGAGCAAACTGTGAGCAAAGCCAAAGGACCACCTGAAATACAAGAAAATGAGAAAAAGAGTGATGCCTACGAAGTTGTATCCGATACTGGTGACGACGATCATGCAATGCATGCACCTTTTTCACGTGAAGACGGAATTGTTAGGATAGCAAAAGTGAGTCGTCATAGAGGGCGCCATACTTTTAGAATACATGCGAATGATGGTTTGGGTAGAATACATAGCCACCACAGATCAGGACTGCACGTTGTTTCACTTGATGGGGACGATACAAGTGAAAACGAATTGAACGACAAGGACACGCAACTCTACGGTTCCATTGGATCGCCGCTTTCAAGCTCTAGCCCTAGGACACCGAGATTGCATTTCCGACCTCTAAGACACGGTTCTTATTATAGGAACGCAGTAAATGATTATCCACCAAATGTGATATCGATCTCTCAAGATGCTTTAAATGGCGGTCTATCTAGAGCAGATGAAGGACAAATGAGGGATGAAATGTTTCCAATTTTTAGAAGGCGTGATCCTCTCTCGCTCGCTCAGTCATCCCAATTAACACAGCCAGAAGAACTCATGCAACCTTTTCGTCCCTTAAACCCTAAATCGGTTTCGGTTGGTGGACGACCAGATACGTTTCTCTTTCCACTGTTTAATGGTCGATCAGATTACGAGCCTGCCCTTGTTCCAATGACAGCTCAAAATTCCTTTCCTGTGTCCAGTCCTATAGAGTATTTCTCACCTCAGCCCACAGTACCCTTGACAAACCAACTGTTACTACAGCCAGCAGTGCAAGTTCCTGCACTTCAAACACAACCCGTTAACCCGACGTATGTCATGCCTTCGCAAATGGAAGGACAGTTCCTTTTAGGTAACCAGCAGCCCGATGCCCGATCTTTGTACCAGCTTCAATCACAGCAACAGCTAGAAGTTCCTCAAGTCCCCATTTCACCGATGACAGAGAAACAGCCAATAATAGTTCCAGCTCAAATGCAGATGTCACCAGAACTTACGACTGGAGGCCAACGAGAAATGGAACCTGCGAGTAACTGGGTAGATGAAGATGGACGTCAGAGAAGTGAGGTATTAGATCGTCAAAGAAACAGACAGAACGAAGAAAGGCTTCAAGATGAACGAGGTGAAGAGGAGGAAGATGAGGATGATGATGAGGGAAGACATGAAGGCAGCAGATATTATGATAGAGATGATGATTCACAAAGGGATGACGACTCCCAGGAAGATGATGAACCACCACCCTATTCATTTGAACGAGGATATTCTCGAGGTGATGAAGAACCTTCGGATGAGGAGAACGAGGACGCAGAAGAACCAGATCAAGAACGCTCTGATGATGACGTAAATCGTTCTCATGACAGAAATGATCCAGCGACAGAGGGCGAAGAAAGCCCAGATTCCAGATCAACAAACGACAATGGCAACGATGATCAAGATGCGTCCCCAAGCCAGGATAATTTTGATCCACAGCGCTTCCCTCAGCAGTTCCAAGCCTCAAAGCCTCAACTAATGCAAAGGTTTAATGCAGCAAACCGTCCGTTTTATTATCCTAACGTCCCAGGTTTACCAAATCAAATAGATGCTCAAACGTTCGCGAGATACCAATTGACCTCGCCTTTTTCAGCCCTGAAAGAACATATTTTGCCTCAGCCCCAACAGCCAACTTCTCATCCAAAAATAGTTGGAAATCCAAATTTTCAAATATCAGAAATGACCTCCTCGGAAGCTGAATTTTTGGAAAATAAGGCTACATTGGAACCCAACTTTACACCTCCTATTGCGTCAAAAGATACAATTCCTCGTAAATCTCAAAAGTTTCGCTTTGGGTTGGGAAACGTTCTTATACGCTTAAATGGAAAGCCATTAGAAGATTCATCTCAGTTAAGAAGCAAGATAATAAATGGACAAATTATTCAGGGAAAAGGAAAGCTTATCAAATCCAAGGGCCCAGTACGCGTAAAGCTCTCGCACACTAAAGATGCAAAGCATCTTAAAATAATTGATATCATAGCACCTAAGCAGTTTCATGTATATGATACTAAAAGTAAAATAGGAAGGCCAGCAAACGCCTCATTTGTAGGGATCAAAACGAGCACAAAAAAGAAGGGTCCATCCTTTGCTAACAGACTGCAAAATGCGAGTAATAACGTGACATAACCAATTAAGCAGTGTGATCTTCACAGCGATTTATATATTTACGTAATTAAAAAGTATTAGGTCGAGAAAGACTCTCTCTAATATAACATCGCAAATGTTATTTCCAGCGAACAATGTTTGCAAGTGAAGTTTGATTGTTTTTTAAAGAAAAAGGTTGGTTGCATTTTCCAGAGAAAAAAGTTCCACAACGTAACTAAAGACAGGGCCCCTGCAGTTTCGAAAATTCCTCGCCATTTTTCGAGAAAGTAATTTACTAACCAAAGCAAATTGTGGCCCAAGAAATATTCAAGCTCACGCCATCACAGCATTATCATTAAACACTAGCAATAGTTCTCACTACATCTGCCCCCGCCTTAGACACGACGTTTATTTTGAAACATGTCTTCTACGTTCAATGTGTAATCTCTTTATTTCTATGCTCTTAGTTTATGACATTTTAAAACTTCGCGAAAAACGTTATTTAATAGAGATTAGGGTTAAACACTGACAATATAGAATAGGGCTAAGCACTGACTCAAATGGTTATGGTTAGGGTTAGGTTTGTCACCATAAATATGCAAAACGATGACATATCTTGCAGTCGAATCCCCTATGGTGTGGTGGTATAGGCGATGGATTGCAGTTTTTAGGACCGCGGGTTCGAATCCCGCTAGTGCCTCGTTCAATCTGTTTTTTTTTCTAAAACTAATTGAAGGGACTAAGACTTAGAAAAATATTAGAAGAGTAGAAATGTGAAGAGACTTAGGGCCTGTTTACATAGAGGTGCGGTACCCCAGGTAGGTGAGGTAACCCGCATTGGTGGGGTAACCCGCCTTTGCATATGACCTCTTATTTTAAATTGATCAAGTTTACATGATAGGTAGGGTGACCCGTCACATGTTTCCTCACCTATCTGTGATCCCCACCTCCATGTAAACAGGCCCTTAGAAATTTCATGTAAGTGTAGCTAAGGGGGGAAGGTGGTTCTGAAGAATGGAAGCTAATGCTGACCGGTTAACGACGTGTTTCCAGAATTTCCCATTACCACCTTGCGCGCTTGGTGAACCAGAATTACCCTTTGCCTTGTACACATGCATCCTCGGAGACCCAGGGGTAGATAGTGGGGGCGAGGGAAAATCTAAACGGGCGGAAAAATATGGCACGAAGAAAAGTAAAGAACGGCGAGAAGAGCCCCTGAGGACAATGTCTTACTAGACCAGTTCCAAACGGTCGCCGCCGTTCTGACTTCTGATTGGGCAGAAAAACACAAAAGTTTTCTGGCACTAATCAGAAGTCAGAACGGCGGCGACCGTTTGGAACTGGTCTGGTAAGACATTGTCCACAGGGGCTCTTCTCGCCGTTCTTTACTTTTCTTCGCGCCATATTTTTCCGTCCGTTTAGACTTTCTCTCGCCCCCACTATCTGCCCCTGGGTCTCCGAGGATGGTACGCATACTGAAAATTAATCGGAACCACCTTACGCGCCTGGATTCTTCAAATCGAGAAGATTTCGCATATTACCAATACAAGGAAAAAACGATGCTTCTCTACGCGGGGTAATTTAGGGTGCCGGAGGTACGAACCCTGCGGGGGCAATCATTTTTAGGGAAGAAAAAACACTAAGTGGCAATAAATGAAATCGTTCGAAAGCTCAGTTTGGTTTGCTAAAAAAGTTTTTTTTCTGGGACACACAAGTAAAACAATGTGCCAATGTCCTATTTTAAAAAAAGTTCCATGGTTAACTCAGTTTGGTATGGTATGACTCTAGGCCTTGTTTTCACTTAAGGAGCAAGAATAAGACAAGAACAAGGGCAAGTATAAGAGTCTTAATTCACGTAAAAAAAATAACTCATAATAAATCACGTAGCACAAGAAAAAGGAAAATTTTTATCTTTCGCCTTTCCTTCCCTCGTGTTTATGTCCAGAGTTTAAAGGTTAAAAAAAAGGTTTAAAGGCTTGTTTATCGTGGAAAGTGCACTAAGCTTATCCAGCTAGTTTTCCGACACTCCACTCAAATACTTAGAAACAAATAATTCACATACAATATAACAGGATTGAAAACTCCAACTGGCAGGAGGCAACCAGTTGGCCATTTACAAGCGTCGCCAAGGATTTTAACACGGGATGACCGAGAACAAATAAAACAAGTCGCCAGAGCGGATTTCGAACCCGGGACAGCCGGGTTGCGAGTCCGACGCGCTGACCACTCGGTCATGCTGGGTAATGACAGTAGGACTATTATGCCTGAGCGTTTTCTTGATCTTACTTAAGGTAGCAATAGTTCGATATTCTCGATCACGCTAGGACTCAAGTTGGGGAGAAATATCGTTTGCCCAGGGAAAATCGAAGACAACGGCTGTGCAAAATTTGGGGGCGGTGGTAACAAGGTTCATTATGGTCTATGTGAAAATGGTGAGTATAGATAAAGTCAATTATTATTATTATTATTATTATTATTATTATTATTATTATTATTATTATTATTATTATTACCATTATTATTATTATAATTACTACATAAGATACACGTACTAGTGTAATTGCGAGTGATTTTCTCTCTCAACATCGGACTCCAAACCATGGACTTTGGGAGGCAAAGAGGGTTTCTACTTGATGGAGAGGACCCGCCTGAGAAGGTGGGTTGTAGGAAGGAGAGTTATCTCGAGTTCATGTATGTTGCTGTTTCCAGGGATTTTGTTGGTGTAGTTTCCTTCTTGATGGTGCCAAGGGCTCTCATAACCACCGGGACCGTTGTTGTTTTAAGTCCCCACATTCGCTCAAGCTCGCTCAACCTTGATTTCCAAGTCTTCGTATTTGTTTAGCTTTTCCGTGGTTTTGACTGAGGTGTTGGTATCGAGGGGTATATTCATGTCAACGAGAAGGCAGGTTTAGCACAATATCCGGCCTATTAGCTGCGATGGTCCTGTCAGTGTGAATGTGCATGTCCCACAGAATTGTGACGCTGTCCTTCTCGGTGACAGTCTTGGATTCATGCTCATACTATCGTTCCTTCACCTCAATGCCAAACCCTTTACAGATCGTCCAGGGCATGTGTGCAGCTGCCTTGTTGTGGCGGTGGATGTACTCAGTTTTAGCCAGTTCAGGGCAGCCAGAGACCAGGTGGTCAATAGTCTCGTCAAAACCGCCACACCTTCTGCATTTTCGGTCCACGTCAGCCTTCTTGAAGATGTTGTGTTGGTACCAGCGTGTTAGGAGGCTTTGATCTTGGGCTGCGTTGATAAAGCCCTCGGTTTCTGCTTTGAGGCCAGCTGCTTTAAGCCATCTGTGAGTCTTGTCGTAGTCCACGTCAGCCTATTTCACCCGCTGTGGGTATTTGCCGTGGAGCACTTTTGATTCCCACTTGGACCTGAGCTGTTGTTATTTACGCGATTTAAAAGTTGCTGCAGCGGTTAAAGGCTTAAAAAAAGTTTAGGAGTGCCTCTTTACAAGGAAGATAAAAAAAGAAAAAGTCGAAACAAAAAGTAGGTTCGTGACTAGGCAGCCCAGCGCCGATCCTGAGCGGTTCACAATATCAATCAATCAATAAACAATTTTTACAAAGTTGTATAGTTGTATAGACGGGGATTGTAACAAAAGTCAATTGAGAAATTAGTGGAGTTGTGACACGAAATTTAAAGCAGCGAGATTTGGCTTCTCCTAAATTTTGAGGGAAACAAAACAAAATAACTGCTAAATTTACTCACTGGGAGGAAAATCACGGCTTGAAAAAAATTTTTTAAGCGATTATAGACATAAAAACACTGAAAATTGTGCACGACAAATAAAAACAAGCTTTTCAAACTTCAAACTCGCCGTCGCTGGCATATTGGATCGTAGGCACATGCTATGGTTAAGACAGTTCAGCGAGACTTTTGTAACAACGATACAAAAAGTCGCAACGTAGGATAACATTCAAAACGTTAGAAGCCTCTTCCGTGACAAAAATTCTAAGAAGCAAAGCTTGTTGAAACAACAAGGCAAAAGCCCACGTCGAAAAATCAAAGATTGTGCGACAAATATATCTTTCGAGTAAAGCAGACGCCAAAGAAAGCGCAGCAACTACGTACTAATCACAGAGCAGCTTTGAAAAAAGTGCCGTGTTTGCTGTGTTGTTTGGCTCGGTGTACTTGGTTAAGGCAACACTCTCAGCGAAGCAAAGGGACCAATGAGAGAGCCGCTTGGGAACGATTCTTGTCAGCTGTGGTGACTTGGAGAATGCCTGGAGAATGCCTATAAAACTGGAGCAAATTTTTTATAGCGGCGCTCCATGGGTAAGAGAATTTGGTTATCTATGCATCCAAGAAATTTTGGTTCTGACAAAATCGGCCGTACGTACGTCCTCCCCTACGCCTGGGTGAAATTTTGCATATCAAAAAAACCGCGCATTTCCGCGGTAAATCGCATGGCCACCCAAAGAGAGACAAGAACGACAAGAAAGCCAAGTCCTTTTTTCGACTAGATTTTAAAGCCTACATTGACAAGGATAACAGAGAAAGAGCTTCAGTTAGAGATAAAAAAGGAGACCAACTTCGTTGGAAGAAAAACATGAAAATTTTATAGCGGTGCTGAGAAATGCTAGCGGTCACCATGGTGAAAATGAGTGGCGGTGAAAAAAAAAGTTAACAGGAACACATACACTTCCCCCGTAAAACGTGTAACTGGGAAGTTTCCTGTTGCCGTTTTCGTTGCCGTCGCCCCTCAGCATTACACGATTTTATATTTTGTTTAAGTAAACTATAAACATTAACGAGAGCTTCGCTTTTAGCCCTGGCTAAATAGCCCTATATATTAAATTGTAATTCAGTGGCCGAATGTAAGCTATTTACGAGTTCGATAAATATTCTATTTTCTTATTGTGATTTTAACCCTTTAAACCCTAAGATCAAAATTTGAATGCTCATTTGCTGCCCCTATTCATTTCCTACAGAAGTAGTAGGGAGAAGTTGATAAAATATCAAGCAAATTCATCTTGTGTGATCATGTCCATAATTCTCATGAACACTCTGTTTTACAAAGCATTGATATTACAAGGAGAAATTTGATGCTGGTCACTCTTAGGGCTTAAGGGGTTAATGCAATGTGCCTCGTCTGTTTCGTTAGTACTCAATTTCAGTATGGCAAGTAAAAATGCCGTGGGAAAGGCATTACACTTAGTAACATTCAGTTTAGTGAGTTTAGTAGTTAGGGAAATGACATAAGTGGACTGGGTACGAGATTGACGTCCAAAAAGAAAAAGGCAACAATGACGATAGATTAGATGATGGTGAAATTAAGATTATTGGTCGTTGGAGCAGGCATGTAGATAAGGGTTTCAGGGGCTATGTTTCCTCTAAAAAAGGGACAACTAAGAGTCGAAAGGCCAGCTTGCATAGCTTTGCATATGGTTATGTGTGTCCCTTCCAGAGCCCGGCGTTGCTGCTGTGTGACATAAATCATTCAATACGTTTTCAATTAGCTTACGATTGACGTCATTTGTGATAATTTGAAAACTAGCCTATTGTCATTGGATGATCGAAGTAATTCCTACAAATTTTGTCGGCGATAGCGAGTTATTATGAAGAGTTAACCGGGAGCTTAAAGTCTTTCAAAAACTGACAAATATTTTGAATGAATTATAACACGTGAAGAATTAGAGGGCAACTAATCAACAACTGTTGCTCCTTACTTAAGTTAGAAAAGGAGGACTAGGGAGAGAAACGCCAAAAATCAGGGAGGAGGAAGGGGGAAATAAAAAATAAAAAGAGGGAAAAAAAATTATAATTCTGTTCAAGGGGGGGGGGGATAAAGAACGGACTAGACCGGCTCGGTGCATGGGCTTGATAAGTAAAACATGTATTGGTAAGACATGGACAAGTAACGTATCATTGTAACTAACTTATATTTTTCTTTCCTTGCTTGCAAGTGATAACTATTCAGAACCTATGAAATAAGCTAACAGTCACAATCCATTTTTTTTTCTAATCAAATCTATGATTTACCAATCAGGTCCAGTCATATTTTTATCGTATGCCCTTGCCTGTGGTTGTCAGCCTATCGAGGTTACCCGCAACGCGACTTGTGGCTGGTACTTATTTACACAAATAGGTGAAAATTGACAATGGAGGCAATTAGTGTCTAATGACAGTAATAAAGCAACATGGTGATGCTACTCTAACGCGCCGCTATTTACATTTTAAGTTCCAGGATTGTGCGAAGAACGACATTACTGACCGCGCCTCAGTGGTCACCTTTGAAACTGTTTGGAGGTTTATATTTGTTAATTGCCATTATTCCCAAAAGTGTGATCTTAAGCTGTAGAAGAGGCTGCTCTTCAACATTGAAATATTTGCCACTGGTAAATATTGCAGTGCTTCTGTCAAAACCCAAACAATATTCCATGACGCAAAACGCAAAAGTATAAAACTTGAAGTGATCAAAAATTACTAGATATTATTTGTTTAATTTGACTAAGCTAGAACCCACCTCCAAGTCAACTTTTCCTTAAACCAAAAATCTTCGCCTTTTTAAACGAATAAAAAAGGAATATCATGAAGATTAGGTCACACGGAATATAACCTTTGTAAATAATTAAAATCACCACATTTTTAGCCAATAGTGTTTTTAAGATGACAGGAAGAGCGCCCACTGCTCTTATGTTGAATGGCGTATCTCTTGTCGGCTTTCCTTATCCCAGTTGGGTTGCCTATGAAATGTAAAATCTAGCAAAATTAGACTACTGGCCANTTTACCAATCAGGTCCAGTCATATTTTTATCGTATGCCCTTGCCTGTGGTTGTCAGCCTATCGAGGTTACCCGCAACGCGACTTGTGGCTGGTACTTATTTACACAAATAGGTGAAAATTGACAATGGAGGCAATTAGTGTCTAATGACAGTAATAAAGCAACATGGTGATGCTACTCTAACGCGCCGCTATTTACATTTTAAGTTCCAGGATTGTGCGAAGAACGACATTACTGACCGCGCCTCAGTGGTCACCTTTGAAACTGTTTGGAGGTTTATATTTGTTAATTGCCATTATTCCCAAAAGTGTGATCTTAAGCTGTAGAAGAGGCTGCTCTTCAACATTGAAATATTTGCCACTGGTAAATATTGCAGTGCTTCTGTCAAAACCCAAACAATATTCCATGACGCAAAACGCAAAAGTATAAAACTTGAAGTGATCAAAAATTACTAGATATTATTTGTTTAATTTGACTAAGCTAGAACCCACCTCCAAGTCAACTTTTCCTTAAACCAAAAATCTTCGCCTTTTTAAACGAATAAAAAAGGAATATCATGAAGATTAGGTCACACGGAATATAACCTTTGTAAATAATTAAAATCACCACATTTTTAGCCAATAGTGTTTTTAAGATGACAGGAAGAGCGCCCACTGCTCTTATGTTGAATGGCGTATCTCTTGTCGGCTTTCCTTATCCCAGTTGGGTTGCCTATGAAATGTAAAATCTAGCAAAATTAGACTACTGGCCATTCTTGGCGATCGAATCGATTTAGACAAATACTGTAAACATGAAGAGGAGAATTTACCTTTTTTTCATTTTGTGTGTCACATCACCGACTACGATTTCCGGTAAGTCTGTTATACATTTCTGTTTACTAGTTTCTATATACAGTGTAGTTCGATTAAAAATATATGTATATGTTAAATTCATATTTCCTCAAGTTTTCTTAAAATGCAAAGTTCCGCTGCTGGCTAAAAGGAATCTCTTCCTAGCGATCGCTTACTTCACAGTGATTGCTTTCTTGTCATAATCTGGAAAACGACGCATCACAAACTCCGCTCGAAGGCGATGAAATAGCGATTCAGCTGCGGTCAGGCTCAACAATTTTATTTTTGACGACACCTCAACACATCAGTGGCTTAATGTTCGTACATCGCAGTTCATCGTTAGAAGAATAAATTTCGTACCAAAAACTAATAGGATTTTTAATTTTATAATCAAGCGGCGGGCGGGCCAAAACCTGCTCTTTTTGACACTGTCTCAATAACTTCTGTGTGCTCTTCTAAGAACTTAACTGGTGGAAGTCAATGACCATTGATTATCAAGCCTTCGCTTTTACGCTTCGATGATAAAACACTAGATTTTCACAGCAAAAAATTTAAAATAACCGCCTGTAATATTTAGATCAGTGTCCTTTTGGAAGTGTTCTGACAGTTGTCACAACAGACCCTTCCCTTTAAGTTGCCAAGTTTAAAAGTGACTTGTTGAAAACAACAACAATATAGCCCTCTAAAGTCGCGCAATTTTATAGTCTGCAAGGTGGAGGGCAATTCATGTCCTCCACCACTACAAACGTATATATACATGTAAAATTTCGCAACCTTGTGAAGCGATATCCTCGCCCGCTTTGGACGTATCACGTTAAACTTTAGGGTGGGTACTTTCCATTTTGTCAAATCAAACAGTCAGAAATCAGTGGAATTGTAAAGAGAAAATGAAACAACATTGTTCGATTGAAGCAAAGTTTCCAATCGAATGGAAGCGATCCATTTGGGTTTCGATTGAAATTTTGATGACTGCTTAGAAAAGTAGGACTAGAAACGAGAATTGTTGGAAATTGAACGGCAAGTTTCGGTCTGACCGGACTGACCAGTCAAAGAGGACGAACTCTGGAGATGGACCACAGTGAAAGTGTCTATTACTGATCGAAAGGCCGTGTCATTTATAAGTTAACTTTTTAATATGCCATCCTTATCGCCCCTGACAAGACTAAACCTTAGGAAATTTTCTCTCGTCTGTTACTCAAAAGGTCAGTATTTGTGAAAATAGTAAGCTTGATCAGCGCGACGAAGTTTCATCGACACTCAAATGAATGATTTGGACAATTTGGGCAAGCGCAATATTCACATATAAAAAAACTTCTCACTATTCTTACAGCAGTTGTAGACCTTGTAATAGGAAATTAATTAGTTCCTGTTAATTAGTTCCTGTTAACGTTAATTTTGCGTGAAATTATTCCCTAATTTCACTCGTCACCATTTGATTACACATACCAACAAGCCAACAAATTTTATTGAAAAATTGCCTTTTATTTTTTAAAGCAGATGAAGTCGAAATGAAAGCAGACAACATGGCAGAAGCAATTGCACAACAAAACAAAAAAGTTGAAGAGGAAAGCAAAGCCATGGAGAAAGCCATTGACGAGAAAGGGAAACAAGTAGATACTAAAGAACAGGAAGATAAATTTGAAAAAGCTAGCGAAAAGGTTGATGCCATGGGGGACGCCGCTGACAAGAAATTTGAACAGAAAGGTAACGTTTTAGTGAGCAAATAGGGCTACATGCGCGATATTTCAAGTTTTCTTTTAAAGACCTTGTTACCTTTATTATTACAGTATCTCGGTTCTTCCTGATCTTAAATCCCTTGAAGGGAGAACATTTTCTTGCCGACAACTTTACAATATGGACTGCTTCCAACCACAAGAGAAGATCTTGAAAGAAAAAAATGTCGTCTTCTTGAGGGGCACAAGAATAGGGATTTCTTGTAGAATATACGAAAACAGAGTATTGTATGATATATCAATTCTCTCGTAAGGGACCACCCTTGGTACACGATAAAGTAGTCGCTTATGGGAGGTAGTCGTCAACGGTAAAAATCAAGAAAATAAGCTGTAACTGAAATGATTAACGCGATTACGTAGAGTTATTACCTAGCAAGCTAAAAAAATAAGCAAACAGACAAGGGAAACAGGTAGTTTTGTTTTCCCGCGAGTCCTGGTACTGCTTCCCGTATGTTTTTCTTTGATTCAAGGTCGGAATGCTTATACATGTTCGTGTTGTAAAAACAACTGTTAGCAGGGTACTGGCAGATAATAAAGAGACTATCAAAGGTTATGAAAAGTGGAGTTTGAGCGACACAATTCAAGAAAGGCTGCGATTGTTTCACATTAAAATATATATTCGGAAGTTAAAGGGTCTGAAGACAGTGAGTAGTAATTAATGTGTCTTAATTAAATACTTTTTGGGCATTGACTGTTCGAATATAAATATTGCAGTCCTCACTAAAGGATCCCATTTTCGTTTTAGCCAGTTTAGTTGACAAGCTTGGTAATGAGGGAAGCGATGCCATTGAAAACCAAGCAAAAAAAGTAGAAACTCTGTCTAATCAAGCAGATTTGGCTGAGGACAATGCAAGTAAACTAGTAGATAAAATAGGTAAGTCAATTATCACTTTCACCGTATTTATTCGATTACTCGCCGCAGTGTTTATTATTCTGAAGCGACATTTATTCAAGGGCGGTGTTTGGAAGAGGGCGACTTTTATTTCAAAATCCCATTTCGTAAAACATTAACAACAATTTCGATAAAACATATTGTAAATATCTGCAAAACAGAAAGATGTTTTTTCTATAGAATCGTAATTGTCTGGATGGTGTAGATTACCAAGTTGTTCCGAGGCTTTTCCATAATCTGATACCATAATACTCTTTTGATCTTCAAAGTTGTTTAATGCCACATTGACTTCATCTTGTTCTTGTACAGCACTTTTTGCTTAAAGATAAATCCTATAAACAAAATGCAAAGCAATTTCCAAACACAAGCTCTTGTGGACCATATTGTAACCAACATTCCAGTGGTACCCCCCTTTCTGTACAAAAGAAACTATTGTGGAATCGTCAAGACGCTTTAACGTCGCAGGGGACATTGGCTGACATTGACGCTACATGCCTCCATAAATGAGTCCCCTTTTATATGAGGAAAACCTGTCCCGTGTCGAAGGATCACCCTCCCAGCCGAGATATGAGATATGAGAAAAAAGTTGACCCCTTTTCCCGAGCCAAAAGCACTCGCGCAAGTTCCGACTCCCTCACAGATTGACCCGGAGAAAATATGATGGGAAAAGTTGGCCCAGCTAGGAGAGTGACCCTACCATCAAAATAAAAGGGGCCCAGCAAGGTCGGTCACCCTTCTAGCGGAGCCGACTTTTTGTTTCCCATGTAAACAGCTCGCCAAGTTTTGTAAGGAAATATATGAAGTTTGCTTGCCCAGGGTAGCTCGGCCTGGTGGGTGATCCCTCTACCAGTGACAACGCGTCTCCATAGAGATGGGATCAAAGGCTGTATGAAACTGCAACCTAAGAGTATTATGGTACTTAAGGAAACGTCTATCCCTGAGAGTGGCATATACTACACCAATCCACCTCCAGACCCACTGACCTAAAAACAGAATTTACTTGAGACAAAACTCATTCTTATCGCAAGTGAAATTAATGTTAAGATCAATAAAGGGGACAAGCAATCTATCCATATCGTGTTTGTTTGACCAATCAAACTACGAGTAAATCGGGATTAATTTACTTGACAGATATGCCATTTACGCCTGAGATTCCTGAGTCTTTCCTGTATTCCTGCAAATCCTTGCGCAAAATCTTAAGCTCTTAAATCAATGCAATTAACAACTCGTCGATCCTTACAGAAATGTTTTAAAAAGACAAACAGACCACGTTTAACCATTGACTCATAACCAGTTCAAAAAAGCCCACTAAAGTTCACAAACATTTTACCGCCCTTCTTTAACTGACTGTGCGACTATCTTTTTGACTTTACAACTGAATACGTTTTGCAACACGACATTTTTAACGCACGTGACTCTCATCCAGTCCACGAAGAATAAAACAAGGAAAAGAACATTTTCAATCTGGTTAGAAAACGTTTAGCCTGTGCGCAAGCTGTCGTAATAGGGGTTGATGTTCCTAGTATCTTGATTTGGTTTACTTTGTAAGATATTCCTTTTTTACTGAACGTACTTTTTAGTTCAAGCATACTTGGGTATCTCTAGAGGTTTTCTTTACCAAACATCCGGGTAGTTCCCCCAAATTTTAGAACGTCTTTGCTAAAGACTGGCAAGAATCGTTGCTCTTTGTACGACAACCAGAGAGACTGGTGACAAACAAGAACCACATTGTTGTAAGACACTTTAACATCAACATATCTAAGGCCCTTCATGGATCCTCAGTGTGAGGCAGTGATTTCAACCGGCATTTGTGAATGTTGTCGTGTAAATAAACAAGAACAACATTTAGTTTTTTTCCTCTACTAGACTATTTCTCCTAGACAAGCAGTTACACCATTGTTAGTTAAAGCCAAGTATTACAAGCGATAATGTTTATAAGATGAGTGCATTGAAAACGATGTTGTAAAGACGAAATAGAGAGTATGTCTCCCACACGTCCTTTCTTGTAAACTAACTCGCCTAATGTTAATTCATCACTCTGCCGGCTGTAAAATCAAAACTCAGTACAAAATGGCCATTTGGCAAATCTCCCCGTTCTCTTGTAACAACGTCTGGCTGGATCGCAAGCTTTAACAAGCATTCTTCCGCTATCTCATGCTCGAGTACAACCGTATTAGTTTTATTCCGTGAAGAAGAAAGTGTTCGATCAGAGTTGTTTACAAAATATGGCAGAGAGGTAAATAGCAAGCTGCGCGAATGATAGGTAATGTTGGTATTGATGGTTGATGTTTTGATACCATTATTCTGATACTGGGTTCTCCCAAGTTGGGTTGTTGAAAAGCATATAAAAGTCGCGCTGTGAAGACTAAAAACTGTTGTAATTACCGCGAGATTCTTTGGGATGTATTTGTTTTATTCGCGAGCTCAATGTTGTGTTGCAATAACGCATTCCGTTGGAGTGAAGAAGATCATATCAAGAATTTTCGTTTTTATTAAACATTTTTGGTATGAATTCATAAAGGCAAGAACATCGAGCAGGATACTGACAGTTCCAGTCCTAAAGCACGGATGAGTATATCCTACACTCTGCAGCTTCCTCGAGAGCCTCACGCGGAACAGATGATTCAGAGAATGTCGGCTTACCAAAACCAGATAAAATCAAACCAGGAAGCAGAAAAGACATACCCATGGCCTTTTCGTCAAGAACTTCACGGGAACAACCCAAATGTTCAGGAAACTCAAGATGATCGCATAAGCGACATGAGCCTCAAGCCGTTTAGTGAAGGTTACGCCGCAGCAGAAAACGACGCCATGTCAAGCGAGGGATACACTCCTCAAAATATGCGTAGTACCTTAAAGAAAATAGTTTACCTGCCCCACCTTCGACTCCCATATAGTAGTCGACACAGACAGCATCATCATCATCTTCACCAATATCAAACTGGATTTTCCCGAGGACCCGAGAAAATTCCATTTGCCAAACCAACTTCTAGAAGCAGTGACCTCGGCTTGCTTGTGTTACCGACTGATGGACGGAAACAACTGCCTGAAGATATAAGGACACAGATGGAGGATGATGAGATGCTGAGAAACGCAGCTAAACAAACTTTCACCGGTGCCTCGAATGACGCTGAACAAGGTAAAGTAAATACAGTTATCTTTTCAAACAAAAATAAAATATTTCCTTTGCAGTATAGCTGACAATAGATATCTTGATGCAGATGAAGTCCTTGCAAGAATTGATCCCATGGTCATCCACAGTTCCCCAAAGTGTAGGAACCAAACAAAAAAACATTAATAAACATTGGTAATTTGAAATGAAACATTTAAAGGCCTCAATAATAGGGTGCGTTCCTTTAGGATGATCCGTATCAGAATCAATGATCCGAGATCACTCGGATCATGGTAGATCAAATGAACCGATGAATCCGCTCTAAACAAGGATTCATCGGTTCATTTGATCTACAATGATCAAATTGATCTTGGATCACTGATCCTGATCCGGATCATCCTAAAGGAACGCACCCATGGAGACGTTAGACGTGAGAGACGCAATTAATCATTATTAAATGGTACCGCAGGAAAACATCCAAAAGTTAGTCACCAGCCTTCGCGTGAATGGTCACTGTAGACGCCAATTCCATTCACAGTAAATTCCAATAAAAGAACGGTAAGAGTTCTTTTCGAAAATTTGGCAAAGCAATCTCTTTGCCCGAAACGCTGCCTCCTTATGAAAGTCGAAATAAGGACATATTTCCATTTCCAGTATGTTAACGGTCAAGTCCTCAATATTTCTATGTTGCCACTCTAAAGAAGTATTTTTAAGGGTTTCCCATATATTTTTTGGTTTAAGTTAAATTATTTTATCTCTAGTTTGTTACAATCAAAAATACTTATATTAGAATAGACAGAACAGGCTTAAATGGGGTTGAAAAGTTTAAGAGAAAACGATGTCTGTGCTTTGTTTACAGAAGAGAACATGAAAGAAGAATTACGCAAAAATGATGCAGAGCGTGATATGGAGAGAAAATGGATGAAGATCAACGCCATAGGTACTCCGGAAATGTTCATGCACTGGTCACACCCTGGTAAGAAACTTGCCTCAATTGGTCAACAGGAAGTCAGCATTGTAAGTCCAGGGGAGGTAGACCTGCTTCAGACGGAATACCCAGACTATCCCAAGCCAAAGGCTTTGGGAGGGGACTTTCCAGGCGTCATCAGAAGAACGATTGCAAAGAAAAAGGCGGCTACTTCAAAGAAATCAAAGGGAAAAAAAGCCTAACAATCAAACGAAATAGTTTAATATGGTGAACAATTATTTTGTAGCGCTTATAGAATTTGGCGGAACTGACAATGTCTTAATAGTATTTATATGTAAGTCTGGAAGACCAGATCTAAGAGAACCAAACAATTCTTTAGCTCTCTAAAATAAGCTAATTTAAAGAACAAACAGAACGCAAGTTTGCTGAATAACTTTCTTTTAAGAAACCATTGTGATAGACAAACACATTATTTGCCGTCATTTTTTTCCAACAGCTTAATCTCGTTTGACCAAGCTTTTTACGTTAGGTACCAACAATACTGAGGTATTTATATAGCAGGCGCATGCGCGATAGTTACTCATAGTCTTTTCTCTTAATCTCGTTTCCAGATGTCTGCTTTACCCTTGTCCGGCTAAACGGGCAAGGGGGGTCATTCCGCTGGACAAGGGTAACGCGGACTCTGAAGACGAGATTGATTATCTCTTGCTCGCGCATTCTTCAGATGATACGAAAGCCCGTTTTCAATAATTGTTTTGTTATTCATTCAAAATAATTCCTAGTTTAAAAAGAAGCTAAGACATGCTTACCTTCACAGATGTTAAGTTCATCTTCGATAGTGTATGTTTATCGGCAAGTTTAGGAGATAAAGGGTGGTTCAGGTCTGCAAATATTCTCCAAATAGCAGATATCGTCCGTCGAGTTGTCTTCACGCTGTTCTTGCTATGTTTTTAGCCAACAGTTGCCCTATTTCTTCCTCGTGAAACGAGTGAAATGTTCCGCCATTTTGTAGTCACTATCAAGATAACTCAACCTCGTCCCCAGGTCTTCTCGATCATGAACGGTTCTATTTTTGACGTCATTTTTCGCATATCTCAAAATTCTTCCACATTTGGTCATCAACCAGATCCAAAAGAACCCGTTCGATGTTAAGCGCTGTCGTATCTTCATTTCCTAACCCGGTCATTTAATAACCGCCCTTTCTTTCGCTGCGAAAAAAATAGACCCAATGGGTCAGTTATTTAAACGGGGTTTAGCCAGTGTCTAACAAAACCGCGTTCTAAACTATTTTCAGTTTGCCAAACGCTCTTATTTAAACACCATTTATCGTTAACAGTTTCATGAAAGCATAAAGCGTAGACTAAAAAAAAATGACCGCGGGGCAAAAAGGGAGATAGGAAATTAATTTGTATGTTCATAATAAGCGCGCGCGTTACAGAACCGAAATGAATCTGGGTAACTCGTGTCAAATCAAAATGGAATTATTACTTAATTATTCGATAGAATAGAGCTCAGTTTTCTAGAATTCGGCACGTAAACTCACGAAATCTTATATCCATAATCGCAATGGCGTCTCCCTATAAAAAACCAATATGTCGACCAAAAATAAGCCATTTATCCCAGATCCAAAAAACACTCTTAGTACAACTCAGTTTAATGTTTTTTAAAACAAGGTAGTAAGTTTCACATGATGTGTAACAAAATCACAAACTTACAGAATTAATCACTCCTTAAAATAATTGCATGACTTTAATAAAGGAAATAAAGATTATGACTACTTTAGAAAGATTTTGAAATTGGTGTTGTCTTTAATTTGACTGCGAAAGTTTTCGCTTACAACCTAAAAGTTGTTTTCAGCAGTCTACAAGCTGCCTAGCTTCAAGCAGGGAGAATTTCGCCACTCACGGTTGTAGAGACACGCATTATTTGCTCTCATTTCGACAGTCTAATGCTGTTTTCCCACGCTTTTACCTTACGTACTGACAATCCTGAACTTTATCAGAGAAGACGGCGGTAGCCCCGGATCATACACCTTCTTCCACCGTACGTATATGTTGCTGGTTGAAATATTATTTTTCTTTTGTTTCAAACTCATTATCATACATTACCATACCCCGAAACCGAAGAAAATAAAATTCAAACCAAGGATAAAATTGAACCACAACATATACAATAGAAACGTACCACATTCTCTTAAAGGGAGGATCGCGTAGCACTTAAAAATAGGAATTTTAATTTATCAACTTGAAACAACCTCACACCTAAATGTAGATCAAGATCGTTTTCAGGGGCTGCGTTCCCCTTGTCAAGTGGATGGGTAACAATGTTAGGTATGTGCTTCATATATTAATTACCATGCACTGGACAAGGGTAACGCAGCTTCTGGGGACAGGATTGAATGGCGATAAATCAAAATCAACTTGTGGTCACAGAATATTGGGTTTATGGCTGACATTTCAATGAAACGTTACCAAAATTTAATTAACTGGGAAATGCACCAGCGGCTAATTCAACAATTTGGACTCGTTCAGCATGTCGATTGTCTTTTAACCTGCGTTCATGTTTTTATTTCTTTGAGAAGAGAGAAAACAAGGAAGAAAGACATAACAGAGATATAGGGAGGCATTAAGAGAGATATGGGGAATCATTTAAAGTGAAAGTGGGTAACGAGATTTACACTCGAACTCGTAAGAAGAGTGGCAAAAATATGACTGATGGCGCTTTCCTATTCTGCTCAGACCTATGAGTCAAATTATTCTTCCTTTGTTTAGTAAAAGGAAAACTATATGGTTAGAGAGACTGAATCAACCTCAGCATTCGACCGCTGGCTACATACTGATAGTTTTTCATGTAAGATCCCTTTTAGTTATCATAGCCAAGTGCGGATACCTACGAGCTGACCGCTAACAAAATATTAGATCTTTTCGTAAAACGCATGCCACTAATACTAAAATGAGATCATAAAATGCTTGAACACAAGTAAAACGCGAGTTGTTTTACACAAAAAGCAAAACTACATGTGCTCGAGGTGGCACAAGTCAGCCATGGATCAAACTACTGGTATTTATCAGTTGATAGTGATGCCACAAAAAAAGTATCCACCGATAGAAAAGATTGGTGAAGAGATTAGGCAACAATGTCCACTTTGCTACTTTCCAATTTGTTGACTTCACATAAAAGGTTTCCATAGCAACAATATAACTCCCTCTAAATGAGCTTTAAATGTTCACAATTAAGGCAAACTAGGTGTCCCTTATGTTCTTATTTGTTGAGATATAATCATTATGCTATAGTTCAACGTTTTGCAAGGATTTTTTTATTGTTGTAAATACTTAAAGCCATCGTATAATTTTGTAAATTTAAAACGGCAGAGAGCCCTTCCCACATGTTTTTAAAATCTTTATCATTATCCTAAATTGCATCATTTTTTAACACCAGGTACCGATCCTGCAAAATGGTATAGAGAGTCAATTTGCTTGCAACTCTAGTTGTAAATTGCAAAAATTGTAAAACAACTTATAAATTCTACCAACAAGACTTCTTATTGCGAACATCTTCCTGGAGATAACTGGTACAACCACAACTGCAACAACGACAGTGACTGGGCGAGAATATTGGTAGATATCAATCTCTTTAGCTTGTATGTTTTGTTTCCCCAATGCATGTGATAATAATCTTGAGAACTGTTTCTTTGAAAGGTTGTCTTATTCTTGTGCTCATTTACCCTTAATTTATGAAAAGACAAAGGGCCAAATTCCCCTGAGACTTTCATTTGGAAAAAGCATACGAGCTAAAGAGATATATTACAGGTTTTTCACGGTCTCTTAATTTTTACTGATTTACAGCTGCACTTTTGACATTTTATATCAACCTTATTACAGTTTAGACTTGTACTATTCTTTGTGATCTTTATACCATGGGGTCCTCATCCTTTTCTCATTTAAGCCAACAAGACAATGAAAAAACATAATACTGCAAATTCCATACCCGAGCACGTCAATTTAGGCTATACCCACACTCTACCGGAAAGCTTTGCGTGCAGACACGAAAAGCTATCCGATATAGAAACATCTCTGGGCCTGTTTACATGGAGGTGGGGGACCCCAGGTAGGTGAGGTAACATCCCTCCTTTACATGTAATCTTACAACCCCGCCATCTCGGGGTGCACTCTCTCAAGGTTATATTTGAATGGTCGCTAATCACGTCAACAAGAAAAATGCCGGCAAACCACGTGTTTTGGCGATTAACGCACTTCTACACTCACTTGTTGCTCTTGCTGCAACCTTCAGAGCAATGGCTTTCTATTGCTAACTTTAATAATGATGCAAAGCCACCGCCAAAGTGAATTTTGCGCGAATTTGATGTACCACGAATCCGACCCCGGCCAGGCGGGTTACCCCACCTTGAAACGTTTACATGGGAAAATTTGACCCCGGCTGGGAGGGTAACCCAGTCTGGTGGACCGGACTACCCGCCTTGGTGGGTCACCCCAACAATCATGTAAACGTGATCAAATTAAAATGAGAGAATATATGGACAGGCGGGTTACCCCAGCCAAGGGAGTTACCTCACCTACCTGGGGTCCCCTACCTCCATGTAAACAGGCCCTCTGTTTACAAACATTGTTTTTGTTATTTAAATTTGTAACAAGTGAAACAATAGAGCCCTTTGCTTCAAGAACCAGTGGGTTTCTGGTTAACACATTGATATCAATGACGCTCCAGTGTAGAGAACGGCGCGGCGCAGCATCGCTTCCTCACAGAAATCGCGCCGAAATCAGAAACCCTATGCGACATGATATTGGTGCCGGCACAAAAGCTATGATCCGGTATTGTGTGAACATAGTCTTGCATAATTGTAGGTAATCGCGCTAACGTTCCAATGCCATTCCCTAGCATACTTTCTTATGTAACATAATTGCCAAGTTGATGAGATAAGCCCTGATAAATGATAACGCCCTGACTTAGAAAGTAGGTTTTAACTACAGATACGTTTAGCCTGGGATAATTGTCCTGTCGGTTACTTTTATCGTACGATTCTAATTTTCTGTATCTCTTTCTTCTTTTTTTTGCTGAAAAAAAAAATCATTTCGTCATGCCCAGGGCCAACAAATCATGTCATTGTAAGAATGCCAACCAAAAGAACTGGTGACAAGATAGAACCTAGTAAAGTTGTCGTTTTTCCCGATTCTGCGGTGAAGGGCACCGACACAAGAAACATGCAGATAAAAGAATTTCATCCTCAAGATGGCAAAGGTAAATGGCTCGCGGTTCATATTCCAGATCACATGCCTTATCCAAGGAAAAAAATAAAAATCATTGCCTCAACAAACGCCGCAAAGGATTTGGAAAAAGTTGTTGGCCCAACCAAGGAAACGCTTGCAATGGAGATACAGTCTCTCCTTGGAATAAATGAAGAGAATTTGCAAAAAATGATTGCTAAAGGGAACAGCGGTGATGAGAACGAAGGAGATGATGAGGATGATGATGATGAGGAGGAAAATGATGACGATAATGATGACGACGATGATGAGGGTGACGTCACAGGAGATCCTCTTGACGACGAAGCAATGTCAAGTGAGTGTGATGATTCCAACAGCGTAAGCGCTTCGAAACATAAGAAGAAATGCAGACCTCTAGGAAAGGACAAGCCAGCAAAAACCACATCCTTTGGATCTGGCTTAGGTGCCCAACTGGAAGAAAACGATGATGACAAAAGGCCTAAACTTCACGTTGAACAACCTGAAGGATTTGAACTTCGATGGGAGGACATAATAAACAACTTTAAGAATTTTAGCGTTAAACGCAAGAAAAAGATATGCAAACTGTTTGCCTTGCAAAACGATATGTGTGAGCGTGTGACAAGACGGCGGAAACACAGCTTTAAAAGAAAACTGAAGCACTATCTTTTGAAAATGCTTAGAAAGTTCTTGAAGAAGAACAAGAGTGAATTCGAGGACTACTTAAGCACCAGGTTAGTACAGGACTTACTCCGTGACAGGGATTGCTTTCTATTTCTAGTCATCTCAGTTTGTGAGTAATTAGGTACATTTTGTATTTCCAGTTGTGGAGCTTCATTCCCCTCATTGAAAGTCATAGCGAATTTTAAGATAATTTAAAAGACGAAGGTTGAAGAGCTAGGGTTCGGACAAGTCACTGCACTGTACCGCAGTATGTATATGGGCTCAGGTGGTGAAGATCGTCTTTTCCGTTCCTTTGGAAGAATGAGCACAGTTAATGTTAAATTATGGCTGGGACTGGTACAAGGTACCTTTGACCCACGTCAAACATCAGTCTCTTACTACACACCTTGATTACCTTTATCATACTTCACTGCCTGTTGTAGTCCACACTTTGTCAGGCCCTTCACACGTTTAAAAGGTAATCAGAGGCAATTTTTCTTCCCGTGCTAAGGAAGGTCTTGAGAACAGGACGGAGTCGTGATAAGACTTTTGGCGGGAACGGAAGTGCGAGATCCCAGTGGTCACTAAAAAAAGATCTTTGCTAAACTAATGACGATATGCACCAAAGTTGGTACTAAGACAATTTTGGGGCAAAAATAACTGGAACAAGATGTAGATGTAACATCACACAATCGTCAAAAAGATCAAGATAACAAAACCGCGATGCAATTTAGGATCGGCCAAATAAGTTAAAAAGAAAATTGCCTATTACAACTAGGTCCTTAGCTTGAATCTACTATTAAATACAAGTTTAGCATAAGCAAAAGCTTACGTATGCCTAAGTGGATATAGGTTGCTTTGGCAATTGGGCACTGGGCGCGTATTTGGGCATTGGGCATTTGGGCGTACGGAATTCACTGCAATGATTTGCTTGAGTGACCATAAAACAACAGCTGTCCAGTGTCCAATTGCCTACGGCCTAAAGTAACCTTCCTTGAATCAGATATAAAATACTAAAACAACATTTTGCAATGGTTGTGTAAGGTTGAAGGATGCCTTAGCAGGACGAATTCAACCCTCCGAAGATGGTCTCTTACATATATATGACAAAAACTCAGGAAAGATGAACATGGAAGACTTCTTAAAGGACCTCAACGATGGTACACCACCTCAACTCGGAACCACAACCGATGAGACACGATTAGCTTTGCCCCAGTCTAATCTCAACCCTATGGCTCTAACTATGGATGACAATACAATCAACGGAAATGTTTTTCGAGTAACACCTCAAACAAATTCGGAAAAGCTAACAACAGAGGAAGCTCCGGATCAAAGTACACCAGATGCTGTATCAGCACTCAACAATATCATACACCCTCTGCTGAATGATCAAGATAATAAAATGGATGAAAGTCTCCAAACAAAAATTCTCCAAGAAGAACTAAGTAAGATTACAGAATCTCCCTTACGTTTTGCTTATTTGCTTAGTAACAAAATTGCAACATATGTAGTTTTCTCTTCGGTAATTAATTACAACAAGGGCTTATAACGTTGTTCAGAAAACAACGCGCGGTATACCTTATCAACACCGTATTTAGTCGAATATGCGCCGTCCTCGAACAAGCATCGCATGTGGACAAAAAATGTTGATAAGAGTCGTCCCTGAATAAGTGCCGCCGCCCCAATAGAATCAAAATCAACAGACGTTCCTGTTCGTTACTGAAAATCATAGTACCGGTAACATCAATGAAACAATTCTTTTTCGCGACCAACTTTCATGAAAACGCTGCTCTTAAATAAGTACTGCCCTCGAATAACCGCGGCAGTTAGAGAGTGACCGTGGCGCTTATTCTAGTAAATACGTTGAGTTGTTTGTTTGTTTCTTTGGTTCCCCAGCAATGCTTGTTCACCAAGCGGGGTAACATTGGCGTTTGCTTCAAAGGGTCATTGTTGGTCTGTTAGCTCCATTTCTCACTATAAACATAGACGCTAACGACGGAGCTTATGATCTAATGAAAACAGCGTTCCTATTCCGCTTTCGTTCCGCTTATGACCTAGTGAAAACCAGATTGTCGGAGTCGGAGGCAGAAGCGGAAGAACTAAACCAATCACAAAGTGTGGGAGCGTGCATTGTTATTGGTGTATAGCTTCCGCTTCTGGTTCCGACTCCGACAATCTGGTTTTCACTAGACCATAACCGGAACGTAAGCGACGGGGTCGTAAGCGGAGTCGGAAGAAATGGAAATGTTCTGATTCTTCTGACTTCTGATGTCGCGCTTATGACCCCGATTTTTGTTTTTCACTAGTTCCTAAGCGCTTTTACGACTCCGACTCCGTCGCTAGTGAAAACCAGCCTTAAGGCAATACACTTCACTTTGAGACTCCAAGGGAAAAAACCCACAAACTCTCTATATTTTTTCCCATGGCCTTAGTTTTTAGTCCATCCTTGGAAACCCAGGATTAATTAACGGGGACGGGAATATTCACTGATGAAATCGTGCTCAAAGGTTAGAGGAAGGATGGAAAAAGCTATCGAGAAATACTTAGGAACCATTTCCTGTATCGGGGGTGAAGAGGAGAAATGAAGTGTTCCTAAATACTCTATTATTTCTGCTCAAAAATCTTCGTTGTTACATTATTCCAGTCAAAAAAATTATTCCGTTCGAAAAAATCGTTTTATCCCAAGCAAAGAAAAGTTTTTTTTTCATACTCTAAGTAAAGAGATTTTTTTGTTCAATTTTTCCAAACACACAATTACTGTTCCTCTTATTCCATTTTTTCCTCTTCAGACCAGCGAAGAGGACGTTAGATGCATATTAAAAAACTCTTCTTGCAACTCCCCCATCAATACTGTCTTATTTCAAGTGTCAAACTAACATTTCTTCGTTTAGTATCTTGTTCTTAATCTCTTGTTGTTGTTTTGGTTTTGTTGTTTAAGGTCATGTCAATGCTGAGCAAGAAGAGCAGGAAAGACAGAGGAAAAAAGATGCTTCGCTCAATGATCGCCTTATGTATATGTTCAAGCTACAAAATCTTGCAAACCACAAACTGGAAACGACAGATGCAAATGGGGAAATCGGAGGCCAACCAATCAGTATAGTGAATCCTCACCAGGTGTCTCTAATGCAGATGGATCTTCCAGACAAAAACCCGGATATACCTTTACTAACATCCAGTTCTTCAAAAGAGTCAGAAACGAGCGCAAAAGCACGAACAAGGATCAAAGATTTACCTTTCAGAAGGAAGGCTCCTTTTACGAGAAGAGTAGTATATAGACCAAGGTTATCGTTATATGATAGACCACGGTTGTTGGGAACCCTCAAGTTAAGAACTAGTGGAAATGGAACCTGGCGACCTACGGGGAGAAGTTTTTGGAAGCGAAGTTACGCAAGTAAAGAGAAGCCCAGAAGACAAGTTACTTGAAATCTTATTTCGGACAAGCTATGCTTATACTCTAAGGTGCTCGAGTAAGATGTTTGCTGGGCACTCGAGTAAACACGTCTATTTTCCAAGTACTCAAGTCAGACTCCGGGGCGCGGGCCGGTACTCAAGCATTAGAGTAGGCACCAGGTCACTTTGTCCACCCAGTTTTCGTTAGTCTCAAGGCAGATTGAACACAATCCTGTGCTTTGCATGCCCAAAACTCCCCGGTACACTCACAATTCAAAATAGCGTTTAATGGAGCAAAACGGGGCAAGTCCAACACAATTTTTTGCTGCTAGCCAGGCACTGGTGCTTGGGCACTACGTTTGAACATGCTCTTTGTACATGTAGCCTTGTTTATGAACTGATTTTTTTTAGCGCTGTTCAGTATGTTGCTGTCTAAGGAACAGTAAACAGGTAGTAAAACTATAGTAAATGTTCAACAAAAATTAGTGAATACACTGAAACAAAGGCACTCAACTAGTCTTTGTTTTCGTTTGCTAAACGACATTAGTTTGTAGACCTGTTGGGAGCTCGAGAATCCTTGAGTCGTTGGCGATTCGGGGCTGTCTTTTCACAATCCGTCGTAAGTCCTAAATTTTTATAGCTTCCATTCACTGTTTGAATTTTTTAAGTAAAATAAGAGAGCTTTATCTGTTTAGCTTACATTATGTGCATAGAGTTCTCTCGTCTCGGGCACGTGTTCCTTAAAATAATAGGGAGCTTTATCATCGACGACGGCGACAGCAGCTAAAACGTCACTTTTAAAATGAATTTGTGTGTTTTCAAACTTTGTTGTGTTTATTACAGTTCGTTAAAAATGTTAAATGTAGGCGAATCGTCCGGAACTTGATTTCTTGGGGGCCACACTCAAGTTTAGAAAGAGAAAGAAAAATTCGTCGTCGCTTATTTACGCCCCGCATAAAACCTGAAATAAGGCATTTTCACGTCGTAGTCGAAAGAAGCTTGATGCACGTGCAAAGATGTTGTTTGGCCTAATAAAGCTATTGCGTTCTTTGCCGTTACCGTTGCCCTCGCCGTCGTCGTTGCTAAAGCTCCCTATTCGTGAAGGTTTTTTAAAAGTAGCGAGCTTTAGTAGGAGAAAACAGCCGACATTTCGCAAAGCCATCACTGGCTGGTTTCTCTGCGTACTAACGCCAAAAGAACGAGCGTATGAATTCTATTCTCATGGGGTGTTGCTCCCCAGTGTATCTGATGGTCGTGCTGCAAGGAAAATTTGCTTCAACCAATAAGAAGCACTACCTAGATCTGCGTGGTCACACGTCATAAGTATCGAATTTCTACGCTCGTTCCTCAGACGTCATGATCATGACTTCGGGGAGAAACCAGTGATGGCGTCGAGAAATGTCGGCTATTTTCTCAGGCTAGGTAAACCGAGGCATTGCTATAAATAGTGCTAACTTTTTCGCTCTATGCAGACACCTACCGAAACGCCTAAACTAGTTTGTGGAGATTGACAAAAAGACAGTGGGAAAAAAGACTTGTAAGATTACATGAGAATCACGACATTTTAATATAAAGGGTTTCGTCAATCGTTTGTTTTAGGGTGTCACAGATATTGAGCGCGACGTTTCGACCGCGTACTGCAGGTCGTCATCGGGAGATAGTGTCGATTTATATATTACTTAGTAGAACTATTTGTACCACCATTCTTGTTAGTGATTGGTGCATCACAAACCTGGCTCATGGTAGGTGGGTTCCTATCCAAAGCATTGTTGGCATTATTAGAGGAGGAACCTGTTCCCTCAGTGGTCCGTTGTGGTAACGATCGACTGCTATGCTGTCTGATCGTGGGCATCCGCGCTTCAGGAATCTCAATTCCATTGTCCTTGTTGATGTTGTTAGAGTGAAGTCTTATGTGAGTAGCCTGTTTGACTGTACGAGAGTACCAGTGAGGGTCTCGGTCAATAAACTTAACCTCGTCCCAGGGCGGATAATGTCCGGTCTTATTATACACCAATTTTTATCAACCAGGGTAATACAAATAGTTCCACTCAGTAAATCGACACTATCGCCTGATGAAGACCTGCTGTACGCGGTCGAAACTCTGCAATCAACATCTTTCTGACAATCGTGAGACAAACGATTAACGAAACCCTTTATACACATTATCCTCGATGAAAAATATCTTTCATGAAATAACATATTCATATTCATAGAACTGCAATAACGTTAAGTTTCTTTTCCATGTATATATATAATATAAACCGAGAAACAGAAGATGGCAGCCAGCACTCGAATGCTCCGGCTCCCTTCGTGACATACAAATTAGGAAAATTTCTCAGGCACTCGAGAAAAAAGCTTGTCACACAAAATTTGCTGAAAGGGGGCGGGATGCGTCTGTATGTCTCCTTCTTCTTCAGTTTCTATGTGTATATAGCTTAGCATAATTTTGATCTATGTGACAAAGAATATGAGTTTATTTTTCTTGGAATATTCTAAAATGAAAAATAAATGGTCCATTTTATAAAAACAACTTCTTGGTTATTCATCGATATCATCATCATAAATATTTTTATTATTCATTGACGATATTTTGCTATTTCTGATTGGTTCCAATCCCGGCTTATTCCTCATAACGAGCCAGCGCTTAACATACTTGGAAGACAACGACAATATTCCAGTGATACGATGGGTTATCAGAGGTTATATTGACCCCATATAAAATATCAACCTCGTTTCCAGGCAGCGGCGCGGCAGCCTAGCTGTTTATGCATGAGTAAGCTTTAAAAAAATAGCCAAGAGTTTACGATTATCCCCTAAACGAATTCGACGAATTTCTGAGTAAATTTGAACAGACGACACTGAAGAAAATGCCAAAAATATGTCTCAATGGATGTCATCTACTTGTTGAGGAATACATCTGCAACACAAAATCCCGCGACCCTGTCGAGAATTCGAAACGGGCGAATTTTTTTAATAAAGTCTATGAGGAGGCAATTGTTAAGAACTTTTTTTTAAAAAAATTAAATTAATAATAGAAAAACAATTGAGTTTGGCTTTCGTATGATGTGAAGAATTATGCAGATAACCGAGGCTGTAGGCCGAAGGAGAAAATCCTCCTCAAGCTAAATAATTCTTCAGAACATACTCAGCCCAATTTAATAATTGTTTATTACTTCATGAAGCTGGTGAAAATTAAAGACAACTTGGAAGCTGGTGTCGACTCTGACCTGCTACAGCAATACACACATGCATCAGAGGCACCCAACGACTGTTTTCTGTGAAATATAGTAAATATCTGTTCGGAGAAGCAAACATAGCCTAGAATTTTCTATTACTTGAGGACGGCTAAAAATTTCTAGATGACCGTACCACTCATGCACAATTTTCGAAGCTTGTCTAATAAATTCCCTACGATTTTCTACGAATATTCATCGACACTTGCTGGAAAGAGCACCTTAACATTAGTACATTAGTGGGGTTTCTCGCCAGAGTGCGGACTGATCGGGCTCAAATTTCATTTCATTTAGCCTCTGGCTAAATTAATTCTTATTAGGTTTTCCTTACGGTCATTTGAAATAGTGAGGACAAAACCCTGTTTTTAGCGAGAACAGGAGAAATGCGTGTCTTAAAAGGCGTGGAAAAACTTGTGGAATGTCAAAAAAACAGCAGGTTTATGGTCCCAGAACAAAACACTGAGTCATATACGAATCCCTCCCCTTAAATTCATTCCTAGCAAATTACCTTATCAATATCCGTCATTTCACTTCTTCAGGAAAGTTGTCATCTCGACGACCATTGTGTTTTATGGCAGTAAAAATGGTTTAAAAATTATACCAAGTTTTAAGTATTGGATTTCTGCCTGGTACTTTTACAAATGAAGGTACGTTTCTCAGTGATGTATTTACTTTTCACTTAAAGCATTTTTCACTCTAACAGCAATCCTAATATTCATATCAACAGACACTCTCCGCTTTTGCCATTAAATTTCGCTAATTGTGGGCCCTTCTTTTAAACCGCACGACATCGCTGTCAGTGAAAACTGGATATTTAAAGTGTGTTTCTGTGATTTATAGGGGGCTTATAAGTTTGTTACGTCGTTTTATTTCAAAACGAAGGATTTCACTGTACTGGCTTATCTCTGGCCAGCGAGATCACTCAATCTTGGACGGTAATGTCTCAGTCACAGCTAATTTGGATGAAAAAGATCCCTGATATTGATAATGACGAACTTACTATGATACATAGTTTTCTTTCATTCAGTTAATAACGTTTGACAAAAAGTAACAATTTAATACTAACCTCAAAAATACAATTACACTACTAACTTGCTGAAGAAGAGGTACCCTGCAAGCAGAGACTACATTTTCGCTGTGTGAGCTGTCGTGCGAAAAGTAGCCTCTGCCGACAACCGTGCAAATCCGTCCAGAAATCTGAACGAATAAATTTAAAACACGGGTTTTTTCCTGTTCTTGACAGGTTTAGAGCATTGCGAGAGTCTTGCGTGAGTCTTGCGCAGCTGATCAGAGTTCTCACAATTTTTTATTCCCGCGAAACTTGCGCCATTTAACTACAGACTTAAAAATTAATTTTGGCTTGCGAATCGCGTGACGAATTTCGCGCATGCACGATAGAAAATTGAACGGTTGTCGGCAGAGGCTACTTTTCCCACGCCAGCTCACACAGCGAAACTGCAGCCTCTACTCGCAGGGTGAAGAAAAGTAATAAATCCCCACATGAAAGTGACTACCGACCTTGTCTTAGGCCCTGTTTATATGGAGAAAAGTTGTCCCCGGGAGAAGGGTCACCCACCTAGCCACGTCATCCTTTTGTGATGGTAGGGTCACCCTCCTAGCCGGGCCAGCGTTTCTTCACATAAACATTTTAGCTCGCCCAGCCTAGTCAAAACGGTCAAGGCGAGACTATCAGAGCATGCGAGGGCGCTATTGGTAACTCGGCTGGGAGGTTGACCCTTCTATCTCTATTTGACGGGGCCTTAGGGAATGATACAGTACACCTATTGACGTTGAGAAGTACGGTTTAAATAGGCCATTTCCGAGTTCCCCCGGGCCTCTGTATCAAAACGAGGTTAAGTGCTTAGCCTTTGATATGGAAATGATTTTTCACTCTCATAGAAATAAAACATATTTTCACAAGAAAGGTTGTGCAATTGGCCACATTTTGAAAGTGAGGGTTTTTAGAACCACGAAGTGACCTATTGAGAATCAATAGAGGAAACAACGGTTTTTTAGTGTCCTAGCATTCATTGACTTAACAGACACTCTGTTAAATTATTCTTCCAAAATAAATATCACATGCAATATCTAATGTACGCATCGTCATTCTTTAGGACGAAAGGATATAGTCGGTAATAAAGGGACACCTTATTTGTGCTAACATGATGATCAGTACGTTGATGATGCTGACTCTTGCCTCCTTCTGTCTTGGTAAGTTGTTTCCAGTCTCCTAACTTCACAATACTGAGGTGTGCAGCGATTTCTACTAAGCAAGCGCCAATCAACAGTTTCGTCTTTCATACATGATATTATCTCTTGAATAAAACTTTCTTTGCCATTTTTTAATCCCATGAGATAAAAAGAGACAAAACTACGGAAGAATATTTCGACCAAATTGACCACCATGAAGCTAACAGGTAGAATAGAATTGCTGGTTTTCAGTGTCACGCCATTCAAAATATATCAAAATAAAAATCAAAACCGTTCAATTGATAAAGTCCAGAAACTGGGAAATGAAAGGAGGTACATATACAAAGACCCTCGCCAAGATTCAGGTCAGAGGAATACTTCGTATACGAGATATCCGAAGAAAAGTTTACTCAAACTTATAAAGATTTGTATGGAGACGCCATGCTGGTGCTCACCTGAATGAGCTCCAACATGGCGGACGGAACCCAACAGAAACATCTGTTACCGAGTTTTGCTACAAAAGCGTGAATTTATTCCTCGAGAAACTCGAGAAACGTTAAAGTAATACTTTTTCGAAATAAGTCATTTTTTTTAACCTACATAACAGCTCTCTTGACCGTCATGTAAATGCCGCGTAACGCAAAAGCTTAGAACTTCAAGCGTACTCTATCACAAAACCAAGAACCCTTTGAATTTTATTGACGTCAAGTGAAAACTAAACCAACCAAATTTGGCATATCGCAGTATCAAGCATCAAGACAAATTTCACTAACATCTTTGATTTTTTTTTCCATTAGCTGCGGAAGAGCAAGGAAACCAACGTAAAAATATCAAATTGTTGTTCGTTCCGGCAGACGTCATGGTATCACTTCGTAATAACCTAACGGCCAAGGATCTACTCGGGGGACTAAACATAGGATCAACAAGCCAGGCCACACAGCGTTGGACACCAGTCCGTCTCCCGGGCGATAAAACACGCACGTTTGAAATTCGTCTTAACCCCAGCACAGCGCATAAACTTAACTTAAGCTTTCGACATTTCAGAATCGGACGAGGCCATGGTCTACTATTGGAACTGAAAAACGTTTCCCTTTCAACACTACAAAAAAACGTGTTGGATAAACTGGTTGAGTTTTATAAGAACTGTGGTAGTAGAAGAAGAGCGCATAATAGCATGATGCATAGATTAAGGCGTCCAGTACTTCCTTTTATGCCGCATTCACTTGTGGTGCCTGGAGATGTCCCGCTTTTGAGACGTATTCAAAACGCTCTCGAACGTTTTTTCCCCAGGCGCCATGACGGATCGGTGGAAGTTGTTCAACACAAGGATTCGAACGGAGCTGTTCATTTTCTACCCTTTGACGAGGTGCGCCGTGAAGTAGATAACCTCCTCAAACGAACAATTGCAAACAAAGACTGCATAAAGATTAGCACAGACGCCTTAACTCGTGCTCTACAGGCTTTTAGAAGTCAAAATAATAACAATACTAATGAGATCTCGGCAACCAGTGCCCTGAACAATAAAAGCACTGGTAAAGGAGACAGGGGTAATGTGGCTGGAGATTCTCAGGACGCAAACAATGAAGACGAAGAAGATGGCAACATTCTTTCTTTTGCTCGCAATCTAGCTTCTCTAGACTCAGACAGACGAAACAAAGTAAACTTTACTTCTGGTGTAAACGTTCCTAATGATGCTGTACCAAGTAGCATGGCGTCTGTCCTTGCAAAGCTGAGAAGAGCAATTCGTCTGTTCTTAGCTAGCTATAAAGGGAATCAGAGCCTTCCCAGTAGTGATAAAGATCATGGCAACCCGGTTAGTGTTGGAGGTCAAAATAAGACAAAGACGCGTGTGAGCAACATACTGAAGGCTATCAGCAGCGATGAAAGTGAAAAAAAGAAGGAAAACCGAAACAATCAACAGCTGGGCTTTGATTTAAGTGAAGCAACCAACAGAATAAAAGTTATGAGTAGTGATAAAACCGATAATAAAAACAATAAAAGCAGCTCTATCCATGACAACAGCAGGCAGCATGCACAACCAGTGAAAATTAAGACCGATGATATGAGTGCAGGAAAAGCAGATACAGGCACAAGTTTAATGGAAGTCAAAAAGGATGTCTCGAAGGTTGCCCAAAACTCCACTTCTTCAGCTCATGAATTTGAGGCTCATGACTACAGCAGTTTAAAACTCAGTAACGCGAATATTGAAGGCCTTCTTCGACTCATCCAAGCTTTAAAGAAAGCAAAGAGCCTCAGAAAAAATAAACCCGCGAATGTTTTTATGGGGAATTCCAAGGGAACGGAAACAATTAATAAAATGGAATCAAGTAAAGTTGGAAGATATAAAAGGCCTCATAAATATAAGCATCGGAATAAAGCTCGTGTTAAGGACATGTATAACATAAAGCAACAATCAATTGTTTTTCACTTCAAACCAAAGTCAATGAGACATAAAATGCATACCAGATTTAAAGACGGTCACGAAGATGACGAGGATCAAGTTGACGAAGGCGGCAGTGAGAAGTACATAGGCAAAGGGTCATTTACAAAACCGCACCGTAAGCTAAACCGGAAGCCACAAATCAAAGAAACGACGCTAGAAGACGATGAAGATTATGATGGCAAGGAAAACGACATTCACAAACAAGTAGATGATTATCCAACGGAGGAGAGAGAAACTTCTGAAGAAAACGACGATAGGTTACTGAGAAAGCTGCGGCATTTCAGAAAACATGTTCACGCTAGCCGCAAAAGTCCAAAACTTCGTGTCGTGGTATACGACGACGACGAAGACGAAAAGGAACCTCACAACGATATGTGGCAAAATAGCGAGAGCGAGGAGTTCGCAGAGAAACTTCACCAAGATGACAACGAGGCCATAACGGAGTCCCCGGACAAAACATCGGATGGATCAGACACGGCACTTTATAGGGAAGATCAGAATAATCGACAGTTGGAGCAGGGAGAGACTACAAGTGAGCAAACAAGTAATTCTGCTTCTGATGTTCAATATTTGGCAGACAGTATTGGGACCGATGAAAATCATCAGCTTGGGGAAAACCAAGAGACGGAAGTACCCAACTTGGAGCCTTACTTAAAGAAACATTATGGTAAGTGATTATCTTCTCCCAAACAAACAAAGTCTTTTTATCAGAATGGGGAAGAGCAATTGCTAAAAACATTGTTAAACAGTCCATATTGATTTCATATGATTTCAATTGGCATTTCTATACTGACAGATAGACTCAATAAAAATGACTCTGACTTACTCTTTTGTTGGTTAGAGTCTTCTGTTTGGTGAATGCAATTACACCGTTGATGACTCTTGCAAACGTTATGCCGATGTATATAATACGTTTCGGATATGGTTATTTGTCACAGTTGATAGGGATCCATTACGTGTACCTCCTCAGCATATTCTCGTCACGTTTCTGAATGGAAATTTTTGATTCCTTTTGCGTTATAAATTACTCTGAAGAAAAAAATCCTCTTGTTATCTCTTGAAATCTCCAAAAGTATGATTCGGAAATCTTCAATGGGGTGAAAACACTGTGAAAAGGGCAGTTGATCAACCTGTAGCTTGCCCACTCAAGGTAGCTAGCCTGCACAACAGTCGTTATTATACTATTTTTATTATGATTACTTTCATTTAGCAATTAATGAATGAGGCTGAGTAGGATATGAAGAATTAAGCAAATCGAGGATGGTGTTATCTACAGAGGCCGAAGGGCAAGGTGGATAACACCCTCCGACATCTGCATTCATTAATTGCTTTATTATTCATTCAAAATAATTCCTAGTTTAAAAGCATAGCTCAACCTCGTCCCCAGGTCTTCTCGGTTAACGGTGCGTTCACCTGTAGAAGGCTGCAGTTTTGACGTCATTTCCTCGTTAAACACAAAATTCTTCCAAATTTGGTCACCAGTAACTGGTTATGGTGAATTATGCGTGTGCTTTTAGCCAATAAGAATTGGGGAAATATTTTGAATGAATAATAATATTATTTATCGAGAATCTAACGTGGATTATGTAAACAAAAGCATCCCAAACTACGATATGAGTGACGAGTTTCCTTGGAAACTAAAATTATAATGATTAATTACTTTTTGTTGTATGTAGATGACGAGGAAGGTGAAGAAAGTGAAGAGATAAAAATGTTCAATAATCAAGATGACAAATTTGGCGACGAGATGGAAAAACGAATCAGCAAAGCTTCAAACCAAGACGACGCCTTATTGAACGCACAAGTAAACCCTATGGATAATGTTGACGATAAAGTTCCCGGGATGATTCGCATGCACAATCTTCCATTCACAATCCAAGAAGATTCAGACGGTGAAGATACCAGTCTTCTGAAGGGACAGCGTAAGGGTGACTCGCTTAGAACTCAGCAAGCACTCGTCCCAGGTCGGGTACCTTCGGTGGTGCCCTTTATGCCTTCCTCTCAACCGGTCGCAATGACATCTTTCACTCCAACAGCAAGTCAAGGTATAGATCTGTCGCCAAATGTAGTCATGCCGGCAGAGCAGACTACAGTAATACCAGCGACTGGAGAACTTCCTCAAATGGCTGGAGGTTCGCCGATAGGGAGGCCTGACATCGCAGCATTTTCGAGGGTTAATTACCAGCCAAGCATGGCCTCCCAAATGAATAGCATGATGCCACAAATGCCATATCCGCAGTTCAACAGTATGATGCCAATGCAACCAGGTGTACCAAACATAGCAACTCCATGGACGCCTGCAATGCAGCCTGGCCAGATAAGAGGCTACATTTCCGGACGCTCTAAAGTGAAGGTGACATCTGGCGTCAAGAGGAGGCAGGCATCAAAGAAACGGCATGTTCATAAATCGAAGACTCAAGTCTAGGGAATAATGCAGTTCATTCAGGGCCAAAATCCCCGAACATTCATCTCATGGCCAAGCCAAGTTCTATATCTTTCTGTTACAGAAAGAGATTTTGCCTATTTTAACGATAACGCTCGAAATAGTACCCCCTTTTGAATTGGCGCCCCCAATCCCACATTATCGGCCAAAACTATGGACTAAGACATAAGTGCCCCCGTTTAAAGGACTCATTACTGAATATACGATTTACAACATCTATATCTTCAATGCAATTGTATATAGCATAACATGTAAGTAAGATCACTGGAGAATGACTCCTTTTGGGGACATCACACTATCATATGTTAAAGGCTCCTCTAACAAAGATAGCGACAGGCCTTTAGTAACTACGGGACGTTAAACGAGGGTCCCCAATAGGTTTTTCGGGATCCGGGATTTGACTTAATTGAAGTCTGGGCTCGGATTCAGCATTTCAGAAAAAATGGGGGCGACAATCGGTTTTCAAGTAAGCACACGGGATGCGCGATAAAGCCAATTTGCAGCGGGATTACTGAAGCGAAGATCGGTGAGATCGGCAGATCGGGATTTGAAAAACCTATTGAGAATCCTCTTAAAAGTCAAGTATATTTACCACATACATAGAAATCTAGGTCCATGGCAAAGGACCATAATGTTACAGTTTTTGTTCATATGAAATAAAGGCAATTTCATTTTGAAGCCGACATTCCGAAGAACGAAATACTGAAGCGCCTCCTCCCAAGTCAAAAAAAAAAAACAGCCTACCCAGGCTAATGATAACCATCACAGTGATTAACTGTTGAAATGCAACTGAAGAGCATGGTTATGATGAAAAGCAGGAAACTAATTTTAGAAAACTTTTCTTTTTAAAAATAAATGGAAAAATGTTCTGGATGGCCCTTTACCTTAATACTTTTCGTTTAGTTCCATCGTCAATAAGAAAAAACTGCCCCAAACATAAAACTAACACACGGCAGTGATGAAAGAAAAAATCAAGATGATTGGATTCGGGGCACAGGTGATGCTTAAGCAATACGACAGAAGCGGCAGAGAAAATGGTGCTTTTAAGATACTTTGTGTTCCTTCAAACTCCATTACCATTTACAGGGTGTCCCAAAAGTTCGTTCCTCTAATTTCATGCACTATAACTTTTGATCAAAACTTTATTTTTACATGAAATTTCTAGAAGATGTTTATTTCTCTACCGAGTACATGCATTCAGAATTTCGGTAACTGGCATGCACTTGTTGATTTTTTATCACATTCTGTAGCCATTGCAGCATGAAGTGGGATACAGCGCGTAGACCCACAGATGATCCATTTTGAGCTTTTTTAGCACCTGGTGCGCTGGAGCCAGTCCACCCCCAAACATTATTTGTTTATTTTAGGCAGCTAAAAAGTATATATGTTCATGGAAATTCATCCTTCTTCCACAGCAAGGCTTTTGTATACTTCTTTACAAATTTGAGACCAGCTGGGCGTTACATTTTACATAGCTTTTCATGACCATTTCTGGACTTGGCTCTCTAACTATGTGAGACCTTCCTTGTTGAGTCTCCTACTTTGTATCTAGCCTTCTTTAAAACTATTTTAGCTGCTTTCTTCAGGAATTTTGGTCTTCCCCTTCGTTTCTTGCCTTCAAAACCTTCATTTCTCCATGATCATTTTACCACCCAACATTCGGATTTTTCCAGTTCTTTAGCAGTTTCTACAAAAGATAAACCAGTAAACCGAAGTATACGTGCTTATGCTCTCACCTAGCTGAACTTTTTTGCATTAAGGGGGTTTATCTTTCGTGATATTCACAAAATACGAGGAAGGAGTTCGAGCAATTCGGGCTATAAAATACAAAAAAATGTGGCTGGAAAATATACTCGCACACGGGCACCTTTAGGGCGGGAGTACACAAATCGAATATTCGAGTCAAAAGATGGCACAACAAATATGAAAATAGTGAATTAGATTGAAAGACACAACTTTTTTTTCAATGATTTGCTTAACAAGTTCAATCGTACTGAAATACAGACTCATAAAGTAGAGGAACGAACTTATGGGACACCCTGTAGCGAGGTCGAGGAGAGCAAAGACGGACAAAAAAGTTCTATTTGTCTTGATGGAGATATGTACATGGGCATTGTATGGAAATCTGAGACAATGATTTTTGAGCCGATCTTTAACGAATTTAGACTTGCTCCTTGGAGATTTATGTCCAATAATATATGTACCTTACTAGGATGATTGTAGGTACGTAAAACTAAAGTTGATTTTGGCACGATTTTCTGGATGTTTTAATTTACATATTTAAATTTTGTCTTGTAATTTGCTGAAGTAAGTGGCCGGCCTATATTATTCTGTTCTGTTAATCTGTGAGGATTCCCTGTTTGAAACGTAGTATAGTTTGTCTGATCAAAGTTTGGGAGATTAAAACAAAGGCCGTGAAAATGGGACATGAATTGAATTCACTTTTTTTCGGACTCTTTCTTCCTCTAGAAATACATGCAGCTCCTGAACCAGTTCGAGCCGAAGTATTTATAACAATCTCGTTCCCAGATCTTTTCTCTCAATCAAAGGGGGAAGCGACGATTGGAAAAACGTCTGTTTCCGCAGGTTAAGGGAGACTGAGTGTGGAAACACATTTATATGGTAGTACACGCGGATGAGTACAATGGAGGCCTGTTAATAGAGCCTGAGACCAGGGACCGGATTCCCGATAATTAACAGGCCTGGAAAGCTGTTACTGTTTACATTCAAGATAGAAGTTTCAATCGCTTGCAGATAACATGATAAAACAAAACGCAATGGAAGGGTTTGGAAGCTAAGACTCGCCCGTTTATTGTTTAGAGTTTCATAATGATTTGAATTTTTGCATTTCGGTCGGCCTGAAAAATTACTGCGACCTCCACCCCCCCCCTCCCCCACCCCCGTGATCACTTTTTTGTGCCCTGTTGTTCTCCTATTTCGCTACCAAGAAGCCTGGTCCATGCCAGGCTAGCTACCGTTAAAACGGCCACCTCTTCTCGTAGAGAGTGCAGGTTAATCCTTTGACATTTTAAAATATGAGATAACAGACATTGTGACTGAAAATCTATCTGAAAACACAAATATCACTCGAACACTCAACTTGAAAAAGAAAACTCACTTTTAACAACTCAATAAAAAAGTGAAAGGTTGTCGAGTTGAATAGTTCTCACTTGCCATCCTGCAATATAGTAACACTTAAGAGCTTGTATACCGAGGAAAAAATTGCAAAGAAGGTAATATAAGGGACTGACCATTATATACCGCCAGGTGGATGTGGGACGCGGATCATGCGCAGGCCGGTATATCGTTTTTTGTAAAAATTCTAACAATTTTCTCAAGGTTGTCGATGTTTTACGTGATAGAGGTGATTTGTCTTTCTTTCAGTCTTAAAAGTTATGACAACAACTAAGAAAAATCTCAAGGAAGTTTCCAGTTTCATGTGATGGTGAAAGCTGCGAAAGCTCGATCGACAATCCCTACTAGAGAAAGAGAAGAAGAAAAAAATAAATATAGTAAGAGAAGATATCGCAACTGAGGATAAAGGCGCCAGTACTACTAAAAACATTTCCCTGAAGATCAAAGAGTTTCACCAGCCTTGCATCGATCAATCCCAAAATACCGGCAAGCCAATGCGGTAAAATAGGGTTAAAACTCTTCCTGAATCAAAGTTATCTTCTAAACTGGAGGGTGTGGTGGTTTGTCGGCTACCGAACCAGTTTAGGGAAACTTCTTCAAAGAAGTCACTACAAAGTGCGAAAATATTAATGACAAAGTTCTAGAGCTTATTTCATTACACAATACGACAGAGTGAGAGTGATACAATTCTATCACAAAGTCCGACCTCCTTATTGTTAGATATAGTGAGACAGTTAGTCATTACAAAGAGAGAAAATAGTCAAAACGAATAGAGTGTTGTTCCTCCTTCGAAAGTCGAAGATGACCATAACTTCGGACTGAAGACCAGCGGCGGTGGGTCCAAAGATTGGTTGTGAGGTCAATGCGAACCCATGAGACAAGAGTGTGTGGTGCTGCAGCTTTGCGCGGCACGTTTTCTCTGTTCTTCTTTTGCGGTTCTTCGTTTTTCTGCCGCACGGGCCTCGGTCGTAGCTCTTCGACGCCAAGATGAACGGTCCTTGCAGTTAGCTAGCGACTCCCAAGTACTGGGTTTTCGACTTCAAGGTCTTTGTGGGACTCGGCCTTGGGGCAGTATTTGAAACGCTTCTTCTGTTCCCCTCCAACCGAGCGCTTGCTCTGATAGCCGCTCTCCATACAGTTGCTACTATTTTCAGGCACCCTGGCGACATTGCTGACCATCTAAACTTGGCTTTTTATAGGACGGTGTAAACGCTGGGATGCCACCCCTGTCTATTACCTCCGTGTCAGGAATTTTGAGCAGTCTGCGGAGGAAGCTCAGATGGCAATGATTGAGCGTCATGTCTGCTGTAGAAGGTCCTGGTCTGGACGGCGTAGAGGAGAGTGGTGAGTTCCACTGCAAGGTAAACTTTCAGCTTAGAGGTGAGCTGAGGCTGATGCCTTTCTGCTCCCAGACATTCTCAGATCTTCTCACGGTGTCTTCCGATGGTGACGCTGGTCTTAGTAATCCTGTTGTTCACTTCACCATGATGTAACTCTCTTGAAAGTGTACTACAGTGAAACCTCGATATATCGAACCTTCAAGGTACTAGAAAAATTTGTTCGCTATATAGATGTTCGTTATATCGAGTTTCTACTGTACCCAGATAGGTGAAGTTGTCAACTGCCTGTAGGTTTTGTGTGTGGTTCCTAGTAAAGCTTTCCGGGTGCTAGCTGATACATGACTTCAGTCTTTGTGGTGCTGATGGTGCGGCCGAAGTTGTCACATCCTTGAGAAGAGCAGTCCAATTCATTCTGCATCATCTGCTCTGCGTTGGCGCTAGAAGGTACAGTCTTCAGCAAACAAGAAGGCCCCGATGCCTTTGTAACAGTCTTCAGGTGCCTAAGATATTCTATCCTTACAATTATGGAAGGATCCTGGAAGGCTCTAGTCCGGGTCCTACCACACCAGACCAGAAAACCAAGCGAACGACTTTGAGAAGTCTACATGGCCGAGAATACCATACTGAAGAGCGTCGGAGAGACAAGGCAGCCTTGATTGACGCCGTTGGTAACTGGTAAGGCTTCTGACTCGTCTCATAGTCCATCATCCAGAACTTTAACCATCCTGCCTTCAGACGATCGTTATGAGCCTGATTGGACAGCCAAACTTCTTCATTATCTTCCACAAGCCGTCTATGCTCACCGTATCGAAGGCCTTAGCTTGGTCAGGTCAACTACGGTCACGAAGAGGACGCAATGCTGCTTTTCGCATTTTTCCTGGAACTGGCGTGGAGCAAATATCATGTTGGCAATTCCACCATCTGAGCGGAAACCACTCGGGGTGTCTGGGAGGTAGCCTGTGAACAGGCTCTCTGTTTGGAGAAAAAAATAGCGAGGAAAGGGAAGGGACCAAGTTCCCCGCTCGACCAAAGGCCTGTTCACAGGTTATCTGGGAGGTAACCTGCAGTGCTGAGATCCTCATTTTGTGCCCCCAAGGGAATTAACAAATTTCTGGACAAATCTATCAAATCCTGGTATATGTGGGGGCCTAGCCTCCCACGCAGGCGTTTTAGGGGAGCTCGTTTTTCATTCCTGGGGCCTGGAACAAGAATTTCGGCGCTTCCTATCTGGGAGGAGACCCTCCCCAATGTTGGATGAGGATGCGGGCCAAGATGTTGCTAGCAATGCACAGGAGAGAAATACCTCCGTGATTGTCGTCACAAGGGTCTGAAGACTGGCGGTTGCCTTACTAGAACGAAACTACCGTCGTCGTCGTGAAAGACTGTTTTGTGGTATGTGGTCCCTAACCTTCCGCCCCCATCCCCGGGGAACGGTGGGTCCTCGAAATACGACAATTAACGAAATCTCTGCTCAGACGAAAGGATTTTGTATTCTTACGAGCACTTGAATAATTTTCGAACTTCGCGTACTTTTATCCTTACTGATTTTTCCGTTTATTAAAATAGGGAATATCGACAATCAAGCTCCCGCTGGGATAAGCCCGGGGGGCTTACACAAAAGCGAGGTCTCCTGGCACATACGGAGACGTAAGGCATTTGATCAAATATTGTCCCCGATTATTAACGCGGCTGAAGTTAATTATAGCTCCTTCATGGTCTTTAGGACTCGTTTTGAATGATAAAGGAGGACAAAAGAGCGTGACAAAAGGCACATGATACTGAAATTCCTAAACTCTTTTGTAATTGCCCGACCAAGCCTACCAGGAGAATCTTGCATCAAACGAAGCGCGGAATTGCACTGAGCTAACATAACAACAACCGCCTGGTTACAACGGTAGTCACGCGTTCTGCACCGAGAATTTTGCACCCGTAAAAGTTCGGTCCTTGGTTGGTTTCAGACAATGATTAAAGATATCAAGGACAATTTGTTGACTCCTGATTAACCCCAGCGTGAATTTGATCCGTATTGATCTGGCGCGGTTGTAATCTACAACTAAAAACAGAGCCAGAATATGGCTACGCAGAGGATGAGTGAAGAATTGGCTCGAGAATCTGGCTTCGAGGATTTATCTTTTGCTACGAGAAGTTACCGTCCAGAATATGCATCTTCGCCAGACATTCATGGAGCTTACAGACGTGAGTAAAATCTGTTAGCCTCAGAATACGAAGGTGAATGAACAGCTCTGTGGTCTCACTATTGCTCATTTTGTTATTTTTTCTTCTCAGCAGAGAGATGGATTCGTACGTCTGAAATCGAACCCGCACTGCGAGCTAAGCTTGCCTTTACTTCAGGTAAGCTTAAGTTTTCATTCGGTGTTTTTCATGGATGTTTTAAAGATTCGGTGATAATGTAAGCTTACAGGAATGTTGTGGTTTAAATAAATGTAAGGTGTAGCGGCATTCATTCCGGCTTTAATTGATTACAACGAGTTCAGAATTAAGAATGTGAATCGATCGGCATAATTTGAAAGCTTAATTATAAGTTCAGAACAGCAACGCTTATGTTTATATAGAACTCTGCATCTGTGATGAATTCTTTCCATTTTGTAACTGCGTTAGAGTTATGTTTGGCTGCATAAATTTGTCTGTTTATGTTTTAAATGTATTAAATTCACTGCTTTAATTGTGTTGATCTAATAACAGGGGGTAAAGATCGCCAAGGTCGAAGAATTTTAACAATACCTGCTGGAAAAACCGAAGATTTAAGCGTCAATAAACTCGGAGATACGTTAGCGTATCTAACCCAAGTTCCAAGGTATATGAATAATATTTTGATACTACTTCAGCTACGTTTAATCGACCCCTTAATCTGTTGTTGATTTAATGCAAGAAGTGTATAAAATTTCCGCCCCCGAAATTTCATTCCTGTCAGAATTCCCTTTATGCTTTTGAGAGTTAAGCAAACGAAACCACAGAAATGAACAAACAGCTCGAGCCCTCATAGCCAACTAACAGGGCGCGTAATATTAAACACGAACGGACATTTCCAAATTTGCAAGCATGCTTTGTGAGAGGTCGAAATTTGTGGTAATTTCCTGTCATCAGACAACAATGTCGGTGTGAATTCTTTTGTACTACGAACAATTTGAATTAGCTCTTCGATCACCTTTCATCAAAAATGGTCGGCATGAAATATGGAACATTCTATTAATTTTGGATAAAAGGCTAAGGAAGGAAGATTGTATCCAAATATACCAAGCAAAGTGAACTTATGACTGTCATTAATATTGAGTTTATTATTTTTTGGCATAGCTTCTACGTTCAGGAATGTACTGGATGGCATGACACAAATTCCTTATCAACCTGACTTATTGACATATTAAAAATAAAACAAATTTGGACAAACTTGGATATTGTAACAGAATATTTCACATCTCTATTTATGTAGAACTTAGTTTTGAAATGATTCTCATGATATAACGGTTAAATACAGAGAAGTACCTGCTTGTTATAAAGAATGAATCATTGTGAAATGCATTGCATTATTGGAGTAAAAATATTCTAGTTTCAAAGTGAAATTGTGCTGTTTCGGAAAATTTCCAAATTAATCTCGAGCTCCCCTTGATAGGGATTTTTCTGAGACCCCTGCCCCCCACACACCTCAGTTGAAATTCCAATTACGTTTCATGTAGTTGTACATTTGTTTAAACTTAATTGGTCTTTTAGACTCCCTCCCCCTCCAGCAATAGGCTGATTTAGCAACAGGACGGGAACATCATTTGATGACTGGTAAGGGCGTGGAAATGACTAAACTCGACTTCCGGTACCCAATTTGCCGCTCTGCCATTGGTCAATCCAATTGTTTGATTTGCGCGCGCAGTTCCCGTTCTGTTGCTAAATCGGCCTAATATGGACAAAAGGAGAGGGCCGTGGAGATTTTCTGAAAGAAGACATTCTGACCTTCTGATGGTTAAGGTCAATGGTAAAGGTCAAGGTCCTTATTATTTTACATGTACCTTGGTAACTCAAAATGGTACACATAAGACTAGCAAACCTTAGCCTGGGTCACAGATGTAATCTAACACCAGTTTCTTAACATCTGCAAAGCAGCACCAATATCAATGTTCTGCTCCCCCAATAAACTCAGGACTCAACGCATAACTGGAAATGCATTTTCAATTATTTAATGACAAAGTGACAATGGCTTTTTAACTGGCCAATCATGGTGCGTACTCAAATGCTGGTAGACAGCTGGGGGCCCAGAAGAATGATTTTGGCGCTGTTTCACAGATAGACGTGAAGAAGTTTAGTTCCATCCGTGGTGCATGCTAGCAAAACTAAGGCTGATGGTGCACTGCACTCATTTTACTTCCATCAGTGCCCCTGACTTTACGGGAATTTAAAGCTACAGAAAAGTAAAGAAATTGGAAAAAGGATTGAGGTCACACCTGAGTATGAAATTCACTAATACAATGTATATCCTTGCTTCTTCTAATGGCCACCTGATATAAATTAAGGCAAAATTAAGGGAGAAGGGGGGCACTCTCTGGCCAAAATTCTACTTCGCTTTAAGGCTGGTTTTTCTAGCGGTGATGGAAATGGAGTCGAAGTCATAAGCAGAGTCATAAGAGCATTATGACCTAGTGAAAATAAAAAATCAGAGTTGTAAGGGGAGTCATAAGAGTCAAGAATTTTTTTCTTCCGACTCTGCTGTAACTCCATCGCTTACATTCAGCTTATGATCCAGTGAAACCAGATTGTCAGAGTTGGAAGCAGAAGCGGAGGGATAAACCAATTGCAGTGTACGTTCTCACATTTTGTGATTGGTTTAGTTTTCCTGCTTCTGCTTGCAACGTAGACAACCCAGTTTTCACTTGATTGTAAATGACAAAGTCACTAGCAGAATCAGAAGGATCAGAACGCTGTTTTCACTGGATTGTAAAGTTCTACCCTTCTGATTATGAACCCGGACTCCGACTCTGTCACTCCTGAAAACCGGCTTTTATGCCGGCAGCATTTTCTGTTCAGGTTGAAAGCTGGATGTATAGTTTTGGAAATTTGAGGCCACTTGACTGTACATGATTTAATTGTTAATATTTTTTTAGGGACCAAGGAAGAAGTCAGATAGTCACGGTCATAATAGATTTACGTGGCTCTTCATGGAAATCAGCAAAACCTTTGCTTAGAACATTACAGGTGGGTTGAAATGGTTGATCAAGTTGGCCTTAATTTTTGAAAATCTTCCAGTTCTATTACTCTGGTTTTTCTGGGCTTTAGATCTAAGAAAAGTTGTAGAGACCCCCAAACCTGCAAACCCATGGAAGGGAAGAAGCCCAGCCCAAATAAAATCACTTTTCATTTATCAGAACTGGCCAGTTAATGGGAAGAATCGACTGGTTCTATTACCGAAAATATCATGGCCATAAGTTATAGTTCCTATACAGTTTTCAGAACTGCACATACTATTTGTGGGTGGATCGAACTGAATGGCCATGCAGTTCTGACAAAGTGATTACTAGTAGCTGGCTCTCAAAGATTTTCCTACAAGTTGCATGATACAGGGGAACTCTGCCTTGTAACCATTCTATGATCACTGAGCAGACATTCTATTGACCTGAAAACACTCAGTCTAAAGACCTGGTTGGAGGTTAAGGTCTCTGTGGAAAGGGTATTTAAGATAGTACAACTCAAAATCTTGCACATCGATAAAATGGCTTCCAACTGGCTCTAGAGGCGAAGAGACAGTAAATAACAAAACACAGATACAAGTTAAGTTATTTTTATCTCTATTTTTTGTCAAAAAATGGAATTTAGGACATATTTTGTTTATTTTCATACACTCTCTTATAAATTCAAAGTCCAATGAACTCCCACAGAGTTTGGGCTGCCTGTGTATCCACCTTTTGAATTAATGGGGCTTAGATTCTAAGGGAATCTGTGTTATCGACAGATAGAAATCAACTGAAATGTTGAAAATAATATTACAGTTCAATGATGCACCGACCTTTTGTTGTTGATGTTGTCATTGTTTTCTAGGACACAATTCCTGATAAAGTGCATGAGGTGTACATTATTAAACCAGATGCATTCTGGGAAAAGAGGCGATCAGGGTCTGGACTTAAGAAAGAACAATCAAATTTCGTTTTTGAGGTAAAAAATATAAAAAAGTATTTTTTTAAACTTTGTCTCTAACTGTTATGGTAAAGTAAATCAACCAATCAATATTTAAAGCAGTAAAGAACTAAACAGTAAATAATTAGATTGGAAGTTTCAAGTGGGTAAGAGACAATTAAAGTTGAGGAAAGCTTCATTATGGGGTGCAATAATGGCTACATGTAACTTCTCCATGTTTAAAGATTAGAACCTGTGTAATTTCCTCAACCCAGGTGTCCAGCCTTTTCTCTTTAAATGATTGCTTGGTTATAAAGCAATCATTTTGTATCATTTGCTCTAAGCTATTATTTTGGTGCGAATCCTGTCATGTTTGAATGGACTATGGCCTTTTAGGTTAGTGTTAAAGACCCTTAAGTTCTGCTTTAAGAAATAGTTTGAGAATTCATTAACATACTTTTAATAAATTAAGACAAGATAGATAAGATAACTTTATTATATCACTTCAGGATATTGTATCTCAAATGATACTTAAAATCATGTAATAAAAACTGAAAAATTTATCACTTTAAAAAGCTAAGACATATTTATGTACTGGTATATACATGTAAAAAAAGAAAAATATCAAAATTATTAAAGAGTTGTGTATTTTTTCAAAATTGTGGTAGAAAGTTGGGGGTGCAACTTATCTGTGAGTACTGTTTTTACATGACTGTTTATGAATAAGACAGAACCCTGTTGGACAACCCAATAAAAAATCCTTTTGTGTTTTGTAGACCACATTGTTGTCCTCATCCAGTAAACTACACCAGTTTGCTGAAGAGAGTCAACTCACTCAGGAACTTGGTGGTACCTTACCATACAATCATGACAGATGGATTGACACAAGATTGGTAAGCAATTTACTAATTACAGTGCGACTACTATAATCAGGGCCACCTAAACAAAGTTCACCAATCAGATTACAGGAAAATAACAATACGTTCTGAGAAAGTTAGTTGTCAATCATAATAACCATGAAACAAAATAAAAAACATGGATCGATATCAACCAATTACATGTACAACCTACAGATGTGACCTTCTGCAAAAGAAAGCTGTGTCAAGAAAGTTGAAAGAAAAGTCTGAAAGCCTGAGAGGTCTGTTAGAGTGAATGACAGAGGCAAAAAATGAAAATGTTTAATAGTTATATTTTCTTCTTGAGTTTGCATGTTATTGCAAAGCATGGCAATTGTAGTGAAGAAATTGCTGGTTGATGACAAAAAATCAGCTTTTGCCAAACAAATACAGGGTGTTACATGTAAGGTTTTGAATAGAAAAGCGTGGGCATATGGAAAAGCCGGAAGCCGGAATCCGGAATCCAGAACCGGAGCCGGAAACGGAACGGGAACCGGAACCGGAACTTAAATTGAGACAGCACTGAAACCAGTTCCCGATACCCAGGTGGGAATAAAATTCAAGATGGCATCCTCTGTTATCATTGTTTTGAGAAATTTTCAGCACAGTGATTGTGATACCAATGGTTACTCACATTCGGAAAGTGACTTGCAAAAAAAAAGGTAAGTGCATCCTACTGTTATTCCTAGCAGTCATAAACTGTGACTGCAGCTGTAGGTCGAGCAATTTTTGACAGATCGAGACTACAACTAATCAGAAGCCGATTGACTGCGAAAAACAGCCATTATTAGTATGTGATGTTTAAGACCGCTGTGTTATTCATTTCCTTCTCTTGAGCCTAAGTTACTCATTTCTTAAAAGCCCTCCGTGTTTCAACCATTGTGAGGAAAAGGCGGCAAAGGGAGGAGGAGTACTTATGTCAATCATGATCCCAAGTTACAACACTCAAGTGTATATGAAATTTTCAAAGAAAAATTTTGTGCCGTACGCAAAAAATGCAACAGTAAAAAATACAATAACAATAAAAAATATAATGTGGGGATGAAAAGTCTAGATCGAGCAATAATAATTGTTAGTGACACTCTTAAGACAGAAACGTCTCTCAAGTTTTATTTCTTAGGTTCCGGTTCCGGTTCCGTTTCCGTTTCCGGCTTGGCTCCGGATTTCGGATTCCAGATTCTGGCTTTTCCATACGCCCGAAAAGCGTTGTCTGGTGAAACATTTTGCTTTCTTGAAAAATGTTTGCTATCAATATTTTTGTGCTTTGAATAACTTAAGGTTTTTATGACCTTCTGATTGGCTCACAATCAAATTTCTTGCAATGTTTTGTTATTCTCCAATCATCTGATTGGTCAATTTTGTCTAAGTGGCCCCTGTTATAGCAGTCGCACTTTAAGTGATGTCGATCAATAATACAATAATATTGAACTGTGATGTACATCCACCCCTTGTATGTGTACACCTCTCAAAAGAGACCACTTGATCTAAAATATCTCATTTTAACTTTTTCCCAGTCAAAGCTCTTTTAACCAGTACCAAGGGTGGCCAACATCAATAAATTATTCTCTCCTGACAATATCAATACATAATCAAGAAAAAGTTCCTGAGAATTAATTAAGGGAAAATGCTTTATCTATTACATGTATTTAATTCTCCCAAGTACGCTAATGTAATTCTGTAAGGAAATGTACAGTATAGAGACCAGCCTGGAGCATTAATAGACCTTTTTACTGATACTGCAGCCATATTGAATTAATTAGTTTTAAGGAGTATTATTGGATGCCCAGCAGGCATGAGCACAATCAGGTATGTACTTGCCCACTATTTATGTGCGCTTTTTGGGCCAATTTTTCTTTACGTTTTCCCAGAAAAAGGTTGTAATGGGAAAAAAGATCGTTGTGCCGTGGTTGGATGCAATAATGATTGCCTTGTTCTCAAGAAATATACATTGAAGTTCTCTTTTTGCCCGAAAAGCGTGCGTAAATACTGAGCGAGTGCCCCCTGGGCATCCCATAATACTCCTTAAATCTAATAAATTCAATATGGCTGCCATATCGGTAAAAAGGTCTATTTGTAAGCACATATGGGGCTTTGAACTGTTCATCAGCACCATCTCCTGCAAGCATATGCTAAATTTTTGCATTTTGCCTTGTCACATAAGGGATGTTTGTCTGATTGTGTGATGCCAGCAGGCTTGAACTACCCATATTGTAGTTTTATTGTTAATTTTGTCAGTTTTCAGTTAGCATTAGTGTATTCTTGTTGTGTCAAGAATTTTTTGAAGTCTTTGTAAAGTGGTGCACAATTCTTGTTGTGTCAATAATTTTTTGAAGTCTTTGTAAAATGTTGATACTGTATTTTTCTTAATTTTGTAGTTTCTGGTGGGTGGGGTAGGGGAATTTTTTGCCATTGCATAAGCCGGGTTTTCTCATTTGTTGCTTTCTTCTTGGATTTTTTCTTAATTCAAAGATACTATGTACATTCCTTAATTTTTCATCACCAAGATGAACATTTCTTCTCAGTTCTGTAATTGATATATATAACATGTAATGTTGAAGGAAACATTCAGATATCTTTATAGACATAGCTCTGTAACCTGTCTTCAAAATGAAGTAGCGCAAAGTCATTGTGACGTGGCCCTTTGTGGGTACATGTATATTACAGTGAGGAAAAACCTTTGCTTTCCTCTGTAGGAAATTGACAGGCTTTCAGATGATGCCATCTCTGTAAATGAAAAATTTGATGAACTGGAACAACACCTTGACACCCACCGGCTGGGTATGAACCTTCAAGAGACAGACGCTCTCATTCAAGAGCATAAAACAAAAAGGGCTGTCCTTGACAGTGTTGGAAATCCCCTTATACAGAGAGGAGAACATCTGATAAGCTCAATAAAAGCCAATGAACCTCCAGTTCCACCCAGCCAGAATTTCCCAGGAAGTCCTGCATTGGCACCAAGCCAAGAGCTCCAGCAGGTTGAGAGAATCGTCACACAGCTTACACACAGATGCAATCAGCTGACTGATATGTGGGAAAAGAGATGGAAAGAGTTGATACAGTGTATGGATTTGCGTGAGTTTGAAGCTGGTTATAAAAAGGTAAAGCATCTTCATGGTGCTGTTGTTGTGATTTTTTTCAAACGTTGTCACTTTTTCAGACTTCAGCACTCAGTTTGAATAAGGGTGCATTCAATTCGGAAATGTGAATCTAGATTTTAAAAACATGATTTTCGTTAAAAACAGAAGAGAGGAAATGCCCCCTTTCCCTCCCTATACCTAGGTCGCATTTCGCACAACAATTTTCTCCATTTTTCCCCACTAAGGAGCCTGCATGATCCCAGGCTAGGGAAACATAAAAGGGAAATTTGTTCCAGTCAGTGACAGAGCCTTCTCAAGAAAGAATATATGCATTTACAATGCCTTTGTGTTTATTATTCTGTAGGTGATTGACTGGGTCTTTGGATCAGGTGAAGCTTATTTATCAACATCAAGAGACATTGGTGACTCTGTCATTACCTGTGAGATTTTAAGAAAAGAACATGAGGAATTTGAGTTAAATGCCAGGGTAGGTTTACCTTTATTTGCATTAATTTTTTAAGTTGAGACTTTCGTAGCCCTCATCATGTACAATGTATATGCCCTTGAAAAAGTGGCAAACCCACCTCCCTTTGTAGAATGAATTTCGAAGTACTAGCCTGTGTACAGACCCCCCCTCCCCTCAGAAAAAAATGCCCCTTCTGTGATTTTTTTTTGAGGGGAGGGGGTGGGTCTGTACACAGGCTGTGAAGTAAATGTAAAGTTCGACCAACTTGTCAGTGGTTAGTTTTATTGATCTTTGGATGCAAAACTGCGATATTTACATTAAACCCAATGGCCCTTAGAGAATTTTATGAAGTATGCAAACTAAGCATAACAGTCTTCAGCCAGACAGCCACTGATTTCTCACCACAGTCACAGAGGAGTCCACCTTATTGAGATGACTGAAATGCAGTTAAGACCAGCAGGAAAAAGAGGGAGGGCTTTATGGAGAATTGTTAAGTTGTAGCCAAGCAAGTGAGAGTCAACAGAGACTTAATAAGTAACTGCTGATGTCTGCCTTGTTCTTCTTGAAGTGGCGGGGGGCAGAGTGTTATTTTATTTTCTTTTTGATCGATGCATATCAACGGGAAGTGGACTTTTTTGTATTTGCTTGCGCAGTGGCTTTCAGGCCTATCGTCTCTATAAGAGAAAACACACTTAGCAATGCAAATTTGGTAGCATCAAGGCAACTCAAGGCATATGAACAGGAGATTGGCATCACTTCCGGTTGACTTGTTTTGTTCAGAAACACCATTACTTAAACACCCACTGTGGCTATCTAAATTTAGTCATTTACAAATTCAAGTGTTCGCCTCACAGGGTTGTTCACTTTGGATTCTAAATGTTATTGACTATGTCGCTCAATTGCAGGAGGTGATTAATCACTTTGCTCAGGTCCGTGAACTGGCAAAGAAAATGCTACAAGAGAATCATTATGCATCCAAAGATATTAAAACTCAGAAGGAATTCCTGGACAGAGGCTGTCGCAGTTTTGCTATGCGTATGAACAGAAGGAGAGACATCATTCTGACGTCACTGAGGTTTCATAAGAGTGCCGGAGAGGTATGGTACTATGATTGCTTGTAATGTTTTTTTAAATGGCAGCGGATTGATGTCATTAGGTTGGAAAGCACTTCAGCCAATGTCATTGAAAACTACCGAAATGGTTCAGGCACTTGAAGTGTCTGCTGTGGGATCATCCAGCGATGAGAGCCTTACGTTCCTGTTATTTTAAAGCACATAGAAGGCTCAGAAGAAGATATAATAAATTTGTTTAATATCAGCTTTAATAGAGCGGTTTTCACTTGACTGTCGTAAAAGCAAAACCAAAGTAAATACACTAGCCAACCAAAGGGCGTAGTAAAACCAAAACCAAAATCAAAACCAATTACTTTCGACAGTCAAGTGAAAACCGCTCTATTGTAAAGTGAGACTGAAGCCACACAGCTCAAAATTTCTAAGTGCTAGTTGATGACGATGATTGACGACGCTGACAGTTTTGATCGGCGTGGTGGCAAGAAAAAAGCAGACTGGTTCGGAGCCGTTAACGGACTGATCATTGTCCTTTTTGTGACCGTCAAGAAGGATCTCTCTCAGTCTTCGAGATTTTTATCACCAGTTGTGAAACGAAATAAAACGAGTCAAGGTCTGCTATTTCTTCGCTAAGAATATCACTTTAGGCAAAAAGGTTTACGGTCAAGTCGCTAGAAAGTCATCTCGCCCCAAATTTTTAGTTAAAGCGCCCAAAATGCCAAGTTCTGTCGCCTGAAATTTTATTTTACTCAACAACATCCTAACATCTTCATCGCGCTTGTTTCGTTTTATCGAGGCTTAAAGAACGAGATATTCATCCCGCTTGTTTCGTCTCGTCCCCGCATAAAGAACATGATAATCACATCCATCTCACTTGTTTCGTCTCAGTATCGCTTAAAGTACTAGAAATTTTCCATACACTTTACGGGCGACATAACTCAGCATTTCGGGAGACTTAAGTAAAAGTGTCGGGCGACATAACTCTTGTCTCAGGCGAGATGACTTTCGGGCGACTTGACCGGTTACCAGCAAAAAGCGTGGTTGAATTGCCCTATCAGATCATGATCAGCAATAACTTACATGTACTTGCCTGCATCACGAACGAAACTAAAATGTACTTATTATATAAAAGAAGATCATCGCAGTTATACACGCCCCTTTTGCAGCTGCGAAAAGAAAGCCTGAAAAAAATTCAGGCTTGTACGGGATTCGAAGCCTTGACCTCTGTGATATCAGTGCAGCGCTCTACCAATTGAGCTAACAAGCCAACTGGAAGCAGGTCGTTGAATTGGTTTGTTATAAACCCATGAAAGGATGATGATGAAGTTATGAATATATGAAAATCATATATGAGAACTGCGGGGTGAAGAATTATTTGAAAATTTACTTTCGTCCTTAATTTTATTTCTGTTTCAGTGCTCGGTCCACCTAGATGACTTGTTCGAATTGCTATGTTCTGACTCAGTTCTCTTGTACGACTACGAAACTGCGGAGAGCATGCTCAAAACACTTGAAGAGAAAGCTGAAGGTAAGACTTTGACCATTTTCATGGAAGCACTTAAAGTAAAGTCCTTATTGCACGTGCACGCGAAAGTATCATAAGTTGTGAAATGATAGTGTTGGACCCTGTGGGAAAAGAAATTGGCTTTAGTAATTTCAATCATTTTTGCTTAGTTAACAACGGGCTTTTTGTATTAGCAACAACTCGCAACAAACTAGGCAACTTGCTGCAAGGGACTCTCGCCTCGTTGCAACGCTCTGTTGCTTTCGGAGTACTTCAAATTGTCTAGTCATTTTATTATTGACATTTGAAGTGATATCACCGTTCAGAGCCAGTAAGAGTCGTACTGTGCACGTTCTGATTGGTTTAATACCTTTTTGCTTTAGGCTGTTCCTTGGAAATGTGAGTTTTAATTTCGAAATTTTTATTTCATTACAAAAATGTCTGCCAATGTCTACACAAGTTTCGGTAATTACGGTAACAATTATGGAAGGTTAGGAGCTTTGGAAACACTTGCCTCCCACGCGCCATTGTAAAGTTTTCTCCTGACCTCCTCTGTTTTGGGCTTCCGTGGAATTGGCCCTTTAAAACACAATAATGGTATTCCCTAGATTATAGAATGATAACACCGACGTTGCTTTGACGGACATTCACGTAATCCCCCCTATGTCTTTCGCTTCTCAACCTTTCAGAACTTCCACCTCCCGCTCTTTCCTCCCCTGCTTCTCCTACCCCTTCTGTTCCCTTTTTTCCCGGGCTCCCACCCCTTATTTTCGCCAAACTTCTTAATAACCCTGTCTTTAACATACCAGCGGTCAATTTAATACAATTTTTACAAGTGTAATTTACAATTGTAGCTATTGTTTTAGTTTTTGGAAACAATAGCTAAATTACACTCGTAAACGTTTTTTTTTTAAATTGACCCCTGGACTGCATCCCAACTTTAGTGAAGTGGGTGCGCTTGGAAAGGCTCCTCAATAGTTATTTCCCAAACCTGATGCGTCTTATGTTTCTTCTTTAGCTGTAGCTGTATCATCAGAAGAAACTCTGCGAGATGCTCTGGCCGCTCAAGAACTGATGACTAGTCCGGTTGTTGACATGCGCGGCGATGACGTTACTCCCGACTACAGCAAGGGTACTGCGCATGTGCGGCTTACACTGGACGAACTCAGGGAACGAAAGCTGCGCACAGACGAACTATGTGATGTGCGCAGAATAAAACTACAACAACTGCTGCAGCTTAAACAAAGCGAAAGGGATGCTGAACAGGTAATAGCAGGCGGGGAAGCGATTGCGAAATTGTGTAATTTGTGAAGGCTGAGTTAACCACTCTTTTGCCTCTTTGTTCTTTATTACTTATGTCACATTAGAGTGGTTTTCGTTTGAGTGTCGTAAAACCAAAACCAAAGTAATTACTCTGGCCAATCACATAGGACACAGACAATACATTGAACCAATCAAAACTCGAAGTAATTACGTGTGGCTGACGCAAAGCGCGGAAAAATGCATGCGAGCGCGTCACAATTGGCTTTGGTTTTACTTCTGATTGGATGAAAAGGTGGCGCGAATCTTTTAAGCCAATCGCATCGTGTAGAAAGTGCAAAACCAATTACTTTTCGACACTCAAATGAAAACCGCTCTAACAAGTAAATGATCACCAGGTTTTTATTACCTCAATTTCTCGATACACTGCACTAATTGTGGTCTCCCTGGGGGTTTTCGGAAGCATTCGTCTTTGCTCGTTTTAGTGTGACCATACGGCCAAACGTACAGAAATGATGGTCAGGTATTAATGTCACTGTTTCTTAGGCGACAGCATGGATAAGCCAGCTTCGTGACGCGACAGAACACAACCTGGGAGATGTGGGGCGGAATGCAGAAGATGTAGAAGGACTGCAACAAGAGCATGAAAAACTCGAGGCCACATCCAGGGTAAGATAGGAGGGGTGGGTAAGAAGTAGAGCGGTTATCACTTGAGGGTGTCAAACGCGTGTGCTAAATTTCATACGCCACTTTCTTAATCAATCAAAAGCCGGTTAAAGTGATTTTTTTGAGGTGCTGTACATTTTGTGAGAGGCAAATATTCGATATACAAACCACACATAACCCAGTCAGTGAAACGTTGTTAAGACAAGAACCACTGAAAGGAAATACAAAGATGTTTCCATTCAAACTAGTGTTTATCAATACCGATTTTAAGACTCGACTCTTTGTTGGTCAACAATTTGGAGGCCTGGCTCCCCCGTCTCCTTCTCTTCAAATCCTTTGGACACAGATATTTCAGGCGTTTTGAAGTTGCTCGTATCGCAGGCTCGGTGTTGTGTCAAATTGCATCTTGGGTTTGTTTTTTTGGAGGGAGACGCTATTCAGCTTTTATAGACCTTATTCACGATGTCCGCCATCTTTACCCGCGCTTTAGGATTGATGGGATAAAAGCAAGGTCACGTGGTTCATTAGCCTGCGCCACGGACGAAACTAAACTCTGGTTAAAGGGGCTGTGTCACGGCAGCCCAGTTCATTTTGTTTAATTTTGCGAATTACTCGCCCTCAATCGCTATGGAACTTAAAGTTAGCAAAGAAATTACACGTAAATGACAAAATCAGAGATCTGATACAAACAAATATGTCTCCTGAGCATTACTGTTTTGAAGTTGCAAGCAGCAGGTATCAACTTTGAAAAACTGTTAGGCTTAACAATCCTTTTCAATCTTCTTCAGTTTTGCCTATACGTGGAATCTGTTGTCTCTGTTATGTTATTTTGACCTTCCTTTAGACTTTTAAGCGGTTATTTTTATGTTTCTCGTAATTTAACGGGCATTTTGTAACTTCCTAATTTGGCTGAATTTCGTGACATACAATCAGGGACAAAAGTAGTTGACACACTTGTTTAAAACGGGTGCTTTTAGCAAACATTTAATTCATCTATTATTTCATTCTTTTTAAACGCCGTAAATCCCCTCACCCCCCGAATCAATGTTGTCTGAAGTAAAAAAAAGACTTGAGGGTCCAAAATTCAACATTGATTTTGGGGGGGAAGGGGTTGGGGTAGACAGGGGAATGGGATAAGTATATCCACTATGCAAAAAGGGGCCATTTTACGGAAGTGTGCCAACACTTTTGTCCCTCATTGTCTGAATGCAAAATTGTGCTACTGCACACAAGTTGAGCCGTGCATGACACTGATTTTAACTGAAATTAAAGAAATCAAAGACATAATTATGTTATTGGTGGTGGGGGTGACATTGACTTATTCACGACCGAATTATAGGGCCAATTGGAATTACGTGATGACGTAATAAAAGGGCTGCGATATCCAGAATTAACGTCGATATGGTTTACAAGCTAAAAACTAACGCTGAAACTCGCGCACATGTACAACTTTTGATGAATTTCAAGGGTACGCGTACTGAAAATGTTTTTAATAAAGTGAATATTTCTCGTTCTTCACTTTATCCGATGGTTAAGGCGCAAACAATCACGGGTAGGGTAAGGATTGACACGTAGTGGGGATAGTCACTGGCCGGCCACGGAAATATGGAGCGTTAGTGCGGAGCGGCCGTCACTGCGTTCAATATCGAAACTACGGAAAAGTGAAGGTAAATTCATGGCCAATTCAATAAAAAACTAAGGACAGCGTAGCAAACATTGCAAGTGTCCACGAAAACAATTACTTTCAATCCCACCTCGTGACACCATGAGTGACATGATAACGCAACGCAAATAGCGTGACATGAGCGCATATGTCTGTGTATTTGGACTGTATTTCTCAAGCGAAACCCTGTGTTTTTGTCTATTGTCGGCAGAGAAAATGAAAAGAGAGCTTTGAAACGTGAACTGGTATTTGACTCTCAAAGAAAACGACAGCTCAAACTGAGGAAAACACTGCTTCCTTCGTGTTACAACGGTTAACCACGTTTCGGAAAACGAAAAGTAAAATGAGTCTGTTATGACCTCTTAATGTCCATATGTATTCTCGTGGTTAACCGTTGAAACTCCTTATTTGCACCACATCGCTGGAATTTTTCTTGCCAAGAATACGTATTGCGAAGTACTTTCTACATAGCGGAATCTTCTTTTGCCTTTCGTGAGGAATTAGCGCATAAAAAAGGAAAATTTTCCAGCGCACGGCCGTCATTGATCACATGTTATCCCGCTTTCCTTGTCATCAAGTGAACTTCTGGGCAAAAGTAATTGCTGTTTTGGCGATGACGCAAACTGGTGTGTCTATCTTGAAAACAATTTCTTTGGTATTCTGTGATTTACGAGCTGGGAAATGAAATAGTTGTCCATCCAACATCAATAAAAAAATTATGCCACTGAATAAATGGCAGGCGGTCATCTAAAATCATTACAAAAGTACATTCCAAAACCTGGTCTAACCTGTTCGACGCCTACCTACGCTAAAGGTTTGGATCACTTAGGTTTGAAAAGGTCTCCAAAAAAAACACACATCTATATATAGGACATAGCACAAACGGCTGGCCCATCATTTATGAGGTTCATAACCTGTATATTGTTCACGTCCTTTCACTAATGGCACAAGTCAATGTCAAAAATAATGCATGTCCCCTCAGTTACTCTGCAGTACTTCATTCGCTTAAGTTAATCATTTACCAGAACAATTTCCATTGCACCTTAGTGTTTCCATCCTTTTTCCACTATTGATAATACTTGTGAAAACATTACATCCGCTGCAACGGCATTGATCATAACACAAATGATTTCCTCTCGACCCCACAGGGTATCAGGAACGCGCGCGGAAGTACAAGATTAAGTGATGACATACGCTTCGTACATTTTACTCTACGTATACTACAAATCAGGACGAAACTTTACAAATTGTTGTTTCTAAAAAAAACAATTTGGCCCATAGAGTAACGTCATCGCACAAAAATTCAGCAGCGTCAAAAATCTAGCCGGAAAACACAGATACATATTTCAGACAATCAGGGACAAAAGTAGTTGACACACTTGTTTAAAACGGGTGCTTTTAGCAAACATTTAATTCATCTATTATTTCATTCTTTTTAAACGCCGTAAATCCCCTCACCCCCCGAATCAATGTTGTCTGAAGTAAAAAAAAGACTTGAGGGTCCAAAATTCAACATTGATTTTGGGGGGGAAGGGGTTGGGGTAGACAGGGGAATGGGATAAGTATATCCACTATGCAAAAAGGGGCCATTTTACGGAAGTGTGCCAACACTTTTGTCCCTCATTGTAGCTCCTTTATTTCCGTCTGCGAAACAGCTCTGAAATCCTTGTTCTGGGCCCCCACCTGTGTACCAGGATTTGTACCAGGATAGTCGATTGGTCAATCAAGATGAAAGGAAATTCGAAACGCCCTTCCGGTAATCTGTTAAGTCCATTGGGGGCCCAGAACAACGATCTCGGCGCTGCTTCGATTCGCAGACGTTACTTACCGAGGTTAAATTACGTGTACGACGCAGGCGCTAGTAGTTCATGTATTTCGGGGAAAACAAGCGACTAATTAGCCAATACGAGAAATCGCTGTCGAGTTTTTTTATTCTCTCAAGAGTCTTCAAAGAGTACAGTTCGAGTTTCGGCAAGTTCTGTGTTATTATTTCTTGCTGCGAGGATATCTACGGTCGCCACTGTATCCAAAAAAGTGCCACGATCACCTCCACCCATAATTTGCCATTTCTGTTCTCTAGAATAAACAAACTCGATCGTGATTTCTTGTACTGGCAGACTTTGTCACTCGTTTGTCCCTGAGAAAATCACGTGACTTCGCTTTTATCCCATCAGCCCTTAAGCGCGTTCAAAGATGGCGAGTATCGTGAATGAGGTCTATGGGCTACACGACATTGCGCAGGTCAAAATTTGTATCTACAAAACAGTCCCAACTCCCACAATGTAGACCGACAAAACACCGACCATGCGCAGCTTCCAGATGGCCAATACAAGGCTCCAATCTTTATACACTTTATACACTTATACACTTTATTATTATTATTAACAAGCTACATTTACATATAGTCCATTTCCGCCCGCAAATAGCAGGTGCTAGTCGAGGCGGGCGGAGATAATAGGTACAGCAGTCAGTAACAAATAAATAAAGTATTGAAAATTTTTTTACACTGTGATTTATTACAATTAGTGTGACCATACGGCCAAACGTACAGAAATGATGGTCAGGTATTAATGTCACTGTTTCTTAGGCGACAGCATGGATAAGCCAGCTTCGTGACGCGACAGAACACAACCTGGGAGATGTGGGGCGGAATTCAGAAGATGTAGAAGGACTGCAACAAGAGCATGAAAAACTCGAGGCCACATCCAGGGTAAGATAGGAGGGGTGGGTAAGTAGTAGAGCGGTTATCACTTGAGGGTGTCAAACGCGTGTGCTAAATTTCATACGCCACTTTCTTAATCAATCAAAAGCCGGTTGTAGTGATTTTTTTGAGGTGCTTCACATTTTGTGACAGGCAAATATTCGATATACAAACTACACGTAACCCAGTCAGTGAAACGTTGTTAAGACAAGAACCACTGAAAGGAAATACAAAGATGTTTCCATTCAAACTAGTTTTGCGTTTTTCTTCCTATTATTAGTAGAATTCAGAGGCCTGATCCATACAGTGTTTATCACTACCGATTTTAAGACTCGACTCTTTTTTGGTCATCAATTTGGAGGTCTGACTCCCCCGTCTCCTTCTCTTCAAATCCTTTGCACACAGATATTTCAGGCCTTTTGAAGTTGCTCGTATCGCAGGCTCTGTGTTGTGTCAAATTGCCTCTTGCGACTGTTTTTTGGAGGGGGACGCTATTGCTTTTATAGACCTTATTCACGATGTCCGCCATCTTTGCCCGCGCTTGAGGATTGATGGGATAAAAGCAATGTCACGTGGTTCATTAGCCTGCGCCACAGACGAAATTAAACTCTGGTTAAAGGGGCTGTGTGACGGCAGTCCAGTTCATTTTGTTTAATTTTGCCAATTACTCGCCCTCAATAGCTATGGAACTTAAAGTAAGCAAAGAAATTACATGTAAATGACAAAATCAGAGATCCGAGACAAACAAATGTGTCTCCTGAACGTTATTTTTGAACTTGCAAGCAGCAGGGATCAACTTTGAAAAACTGTTAGGCTGAACAGTTTTCAAAAACCCTTATTTCAATCCGTTTCAATCTTCTTCAGTTTTGCCTACACGTGGAATCTGTTGTTTATGTTATGTTATTTTAACCTTCCTTTAGCGGTTATTTTTATGTTTCTCGTAATTTAACGGGCGTTTTGTAAGTTCCTAATTTGGCTGAATTTCGTGCCACAGCTCCTTTAAGTCCGTCTGCGAAACAGTGCTGAAATCTTTGTTCTGGGCCCCCACCTGTGTACCAGGATTTGAGTATGCGCCGTGATTGGCCTGTGAAAAAAGCCATAGTCGATTGGTCAATTAAGATGAAAGGAAAGTCAAAACGCCCTTCTGGTAATCTGTTGAGTCTGTTGGGGGCCCAGAACAAGGATCTCGACGCTGCTTCGATTCGCAGACGTTACTTACCGAGGTTAAATTACGTGTACGACGCAGGCGCTAGTGGTTTATGTATTTCGGGGGGAAACAAGCGACAAATTAGCCAATACAAGAAGTCGTTGTCGAGTTTGTTTATTCTCTCAAGAGTCTTCAAAGAGTACAGTTCGAGTTTCGGCTAGTTCTGTGTTATTATTTCTTGCTGCGAGGACATCTACGGTCGCTACTGTATCCAAAAAAGTGCCACTATCACTTCCACCAAGTATTACCCCTTCCACCCATAATTTGCCATTTCTGTTGTCTAGAATAAACAAACTCGATTCTTGTACTGGAAGACTTTATCACTCGTTTGTCCCCTGAGAAACCACGTGACTTCGCTTTTATCCCATCAGCCCTTAAGCGCGTTCAAAGATGGCGAGTATCGTGAACGAGGTCTATGGGCTATCACGACATTGCGCAGGACATGAGGTCAAAATTTGTATCTACAAAACAGTCCCAACTCCCATAATGTATACCGACAAAACACCGACCATGCGCAGCTTCCAGATGGCCAATACAAGGCTCCAATCTCTGGATTGTTACAAACGTATTGAAAAATTTTTTACACTGTGATTTATTACAGAGCACGTATGATTATGGGCGACAGTTTCTTCAAGCTTCGTTAGTTCTTCGCCGAACATGCCGCTATGAACTGTCACCAAACTACGAAATGGAGGAGAAATTGAACAACGCGTGGAGTGACTTCTCATCTGTCATGGCAGAACGAGGCGCCAGGTTATCTGTGGCGCTCATGTTTCATCGGAGCGCTGAAAAGGTTAGAACGATCATCATCCAACTTCTCCTTGCAATTGTCCTGTCATTTAGATTGGTGGTGAGAAATTTAAAATCTCTTGGGAGGTTACCCGTTTATGCATTAACCGGCCCCAACCACACCAATGAAACCTTGTTCCACAAACCACATGTGACGTAACAAGCTTTAAACATTCAAAGATAATTTTGACGTTCAGCTTGCTAGAGGCTAGAGAAGCAGTGGTCTTCCAAACAAAGTCCAAGCCTGCGCCATTCGATCAAACACGCCAGAGGTACGCCAAAAAACTCGGCTAACTTTCAGCGTGATGAATTAAGGAATAAGAAAAGCTAAAACCAAAGCAAAAGGAAAACCTGAGCTAGCAATTTACCTTCCTTGTCGAAAGATTTCAAAGCTATCTATGTGTATGATCGAACCTCGACAGCTTTATTTTCGACCAGGAACGAGAGCTAGAGTTTTACATAATCTGACGCTATGCATAATTTTTGGTAAAATTAGTAGCTAAGTCCATTGAGACGTAATTTCTTTTAATTCCAGTTGGTTCAACAAATTGAGGAGCTTAGGGATGCATACCTGAACGAGGAACTTCCAGAAGACCTTACAGCTGCAGCCGTGGAACAAGAAATCAGTCGACACTCTGACACCAGGCATGCGATCGACAAAGAATACGCCGAGACAGTTGCCATGGGAAAAGCGTTGATTGACAGAATGCAATTGCCTCCTCTCTATGGTGAAGACGGGGAGCCCAATCGTCCACCCCACCTCTTAGAAGAATGTCTCATGGACTTGGAAGATAGAAAGATCGCGTGGGAGAGGGTGTGGAAAGATCGAGACGAGAGATTACATCACTGGTTGAAGCTCGGGGATTATGAACAAGAAATAAACGAGGTAGAAGCAAGTTGTTGAAATATTAATGCGCAGACATTGTTACAGTCAGACCTGCACTGATCAGACTAAGAGTATTCCCTTATTTTCCTTAGAGATAGCAGAGCGAAAATCACCAGCCGCGAGCAACGTGTCACGCATCTCCTCGCGCGTGGCAATTTTCACTTGCGCTTGCGTCCTATTTCTATCCTTTACACTATCTTTACACTTTGCACCACCCGAACTTGTGTTTGGACATGAGTTTGGACATGAATATTTTACTGTGTTGACTGTTGTTGTCAACAAAACACTGTGATGTCGTTTCTTTCCTTCTTTAAGCTGCTCCAGTGGGTAAAGGACAGAACTAACGAAACCGAAGAAAACCGACACCGGATCGGTGAAAATCTGGCCGAGGCTGAAGCACTCTCCGCGGATCTCCAGGAACTGGAGGCGAGGCTAAAGGTTTGTGTTGCCCGCAATGCATTGTTTGGAGAAGACGGGCGAGTTCATCGTGACCACACTGCTTACATTTAGGTTCATAAGCATAATAGTTTACCCAAACAAGCTGTCGCGGTAACTAAAGTAATGTGAGATGGTAGTTGTCGCAATCGCAGCTGTCATGTACCACTGAATTGCTGGGTAGCAAAAAATGCTAATTGAAAAATGCCACGAGTTTTTCAAGCCAATCTTTTCGACTAGTATCTAGTATATTGGAGTAATTCTAATTGATCTTATAATTTTGTTCAGAGCTGCCATTTATTAAGCTTGATCAGAGAACGATGAGTGTATGGTATCAAGGCAAAACCTGCCTAAGGATTGTGGGTATCATTGCGGAACAATATGATTCTTTTTAAAGGAAAAGGGTATCTATAGTCCAAGACGCGTATCCCTTCCAATTTTATGCGAGTTCCTCCACCCTAACGTCCATATTTTGAGAGACAAGTCAATTCAAAAGGCCGTAGATAACGAGGATAGCAAAGAGTCGCCCTGTAGCGTAGCATCGGGTTTTTACTCGGAAAAAGCGAAGAAAAGAGCTGATGTAAGAACCAATAGTTACGTTTATCATAAACAACAGTGTTGTAGTTAATTTTTTATCTCACGTAATTTTTATTTTTCTTTTGTTTAAACTTTACCCAAAAGCAAAAGAAAAACAACAATTACCTGAGATAATATATTAACTACAACATTTATACTTCCTCAAAACCACCTTTTATCGCACTTGATCATTCTGTTACGAGGTACATGTAGGCTCTCGACAACTATCAAAACTAAGTTGAAACCCCTTTCCCGAAAATAATGTTGTTTAAATGGCTGTGGCTAGAGCCCATTTCTGAATCAACTTATCATAAGGGTTGGGCGAAATGAGAAGCAATTTTCGTGAATAATCTATAAAGCCTTGCTATTTTGGATAAAGTATCATTTTTATGGCGTTTTCTTTCCGATTTTCTGGAATCCCTTTCTATGTCTTTGACGAGTGCTATTCAGTTCGCCACAGTGGCACACATTGAAGTAAACATGACGTTGTACTATTGTATCAGTCAACTCGATCTCGAGAAGACAGTTCGCATAGAGTTTCTCCCTGGCGGGAACTCCCATAGGATGCTTGTCGCCTTGCCCAGGGGTGTAAAGTTGCATCTCCGTCTCTTTCATATAAGAGTTTCCTCGCCAATTTGACCTGCATTAAACTTAGGGGCGAATAATAAAGAGGTTCTTGCGCTGCTGAAATGTATAAAAAACGCCAGGGACGTGTGATAGACAAACAGTTAGGTACCTTAAGCAACGACGACGGCGACACCAAGGAGAGCGGCGAAAAAGCCATACGTTTAGATTGGCAAAACAACAACTTTGCACGTGCATCACTCTTTTTTGTACATTTCTTTACAGTCGTTGCATGACGACGACGGGAAACCTCCTAATTTCACGTTTTACGGCGGACGTGAACTCAAGACAACGATTTTCTTTTTTTCTTTTGTGGACTCAGATACCGGCCCGGGCTCAGATACAGCCCTTTAGAATACAACTCCTGAGAAAAATAGCAATCATTTTTACAAATTAAGAGCAGTGAAGTTTGAAACAGCGGGAATTCACTTCTTGGGTGGCGATTACTCTGCCGTTGCCGTCGTCGTTGCTTTAAGCTCCCTATCAATAAGAGACTTCAAGATTCCACGGCTGCGACGACAACGAGAACGTCAGTAAAGCAATTGGTTGAACAGGCAAACGACAACTCTGCACGTGCATCACGCTCTTTTGTACATTTCTTTACCGCACTGCGCGACTACGACGGGAAAATGCCTAATTTCACGTTTCATAGAGGACGTAAACAACCGACGGCTTGATTTTCTCTCTCTTTCTGAACTTGAATGTGGTTCTTAGGAGTTCGGCTCAAAAAGAGTTCGCTTGCATTTGACAAAGTAAACGAGTTCGAGTAATCACGATAGAGATTGAAAGAACGCAAATTCACTTTTTAAGCGACGTTTTCGTGGCCGTGGCCGTCGTGGTATCTTAAACTCCCTAATGTCCAGGCGATCGGGACGATCATATGGAAACTCTACCCGGACGATCGCAAACGACCCGGACGACCGAGACGACTCCCGGAGACGACCTTGATCGCTTGGATAGAATTGAGTTCTATCCGAACAACTGGGACGATGATCGTGTAAAATTTGAAGAGATCATATGAAAACGCAAACTCAAAAATGATTTATCCACTTGACAAGAATTTCGTATCTATCGCGGAACTGATCGACTGAAGTGTTGGAGTCTTGAAAACGTTTCTTTCGCAGTTATTGATTGACGGACCCTCCAAGCTTTTGCACGATATAAAATCAAAGTACAGTCCGCTCGTACTAGTTGTGGAGAGAATCGACGGTTTATCAAAATTTCATTTTCTAGATATTAATAATAGGTTTGGTCACGGTTTATTTTGTTCATTATATGGTCCCTTGGAGGAAAGAACACGCCAGAAATAGCAAAAATGTTTGTGGTGAAGTATTTCACGAAAATAGCTTTGTCTTTTTCAGTGTTATGACAGCTCGTGTCACGCTATATTTTTTATCAACACGTAAGATTTTTAGCAGTTATAGAAAAGTGTCATTCAAGTCACCTTTGTAAATAGTTCGTATGACAGTGTTGTCATGTTTTAAAGTTGGATCAAGCAATATCCACTTGAAATTTCGTTCTAAGAACTAAACAACCCTTTACACTCGCTCTCTCAAGTCAGACGTGTAACTTGATTCCCTCTTCGTCGGCCTCAAATTTCGCGGTAACGCGGGATTTGAGTGTAAACATTCGCAAAAAGAATGAGAAGTATTTGTTCACTGGGGTGTGGAGACGTCTTTGGAATTTTGTCTGGTGTCAAATGTGTTGGTACACTCGGCATTGTAAGTTTGCATAAATAATCAGCCTTTAACTGTCGAGCTGTAATTTGGCTGACCTGCTCATTCATCCCTTTTTGATATTTCTGTTTTTGGGCTGGATTTCGATTGCGGACAATTCTGAGAAAGGTAGGTACTATCGATCGATGCATTTTCGTGTTCTGTGCAAGTCATTTCTTTTATCTATCGGCATGCAGAATTTACATGCTTTTAATGGTAAGCCATTTCAGTGTCATGATTACTTCATCGAAGCTAACCAGCGTAAATTTGCTACAATTCTGTGCATTCGACGAAGCGTTTGATCGGAGTAATTAAGCTGTCGCTTTAGTTCTTATTTCCAACGCTTGATTTGGAGGGGTTTTCATCCATGATTGCTATCAGTGTTTTATTTTTATGCCTGAGAATTCTTGCCAGCATAAGGGCAACCGATCATTGTGTTGATGAATAAATACCATTGATCAAATTTGTATACAACTCCTCAATGAAATATTCGGTGTTAAAATAAGCTGTAAAGGATGTCTTTGCTATCGCTTCTCTCTATCTGGTGCAAAGCTTTAAGTCTCGGTGAACGGTATAGTCGACGTGATTATTAGCTTTAAGTTTTTCTTTGTACGAATTGGCAACTTCTGTAAAGTGCTTGGATTATCGAAGTACTTTGTCAACCACAAACTCTATTTAAACCTGCGGCTTTGGTTTGCTCCTCCGGCGTCCAACCTCGCAGAATTGTTAAAAGTCATATCACAATTATGCGCCCAGTGTTTGTCCGTAACGGGCGTTTTCATGAACTGACTTTCTGATCTAATCGAAAGGTTTGATCGAACCTTACGATTAATTAACATTACTTCCATCAATTAGCTTCGTGCATGGTAATTTCGTTCAGTGTGTTTCGAATGCTGGTGTTAAGAAACATGGCTTACAGAATTAGAACATCGAGTGTATTGCCGGCAGTGGTGTTTCAAATTACGTATTAATATAATTATTTCAATTTTCGTTCAGGTTGTCTGAAAGCTGGAAATGCGAATGTACTCGTTCCTAAAGCACCTTCTTCAGTGATCTCAAAAGTCTTGATAAGATTAAACTTAATCAAAGCGTCTCAGTATGATATTGAACTCACGTCGCAATTTCTTTTATATAGAATTCAGAACCTTGATGACAGAAGTAAAAATTCAAGAGATTCCTTGGAGTCACTCAACGTTCTGCTCGTGTATTTATATTTTTGAAATGAAGTTTGTGTATTCCGAGAAGTTTCATACAGAGTATAACAAAGAAATGTCTGTGCGCGTCGTAACCTTCGTCAATAGATTTTCGGAAGGGAGTCTGTCACGCCGTCCCAGGTCATTAGGGCAATTACTATATCGCTCAAATTAATTAAATCGAAATATCCGCTAAAAACAGCTGCTTGGAAATGCAACTTCTACGTCATTTTTCCGTCTACGAGTAAAGAGAGCGAAAAAATGCTATGCAGAATGTGAGGAATTCTGGTTTTAAAAATTACCAGAGAGAGAAATAGTTTTTAATAGTTGCAGAAATTTATCACCAATCTGCCACATATGTTTTAAGGCTGAATTATTTGGCAGAATTGAGTAAAAAACGTGACAGGTAAAACAGGTTTTTCTTTAAACATGTAGCTTAAATATTTGTAGTGTTAAATGCACAAGCATGTTTACAAAGTCTTTCTGTAAACACATAAAAAAAGTCCAGATTTTCCCTTCATTTCAGACTTTGAAATTCACATGTACTGAATCTTGTGATTATAATGTTCAATTTTCCACCCCTTTTCATTAGGATTTTGATTTCTGCAAAAGGGATTTTGTCCCAGTTTTTTTGACTTAGAAAGAGAGCTGATTGGCGGTCAATACGGATCAATCAACATGATTGTTAAACAATAAGAAATTAATCATTATAATTAGCAGCTGTTGTCAAGTAGTTGTTACCAAAAATAACAACTTGGAAGTAAGCTAGCTTTCTTACAAAATTAGTTTTTTGATTTCCCCAAAGGTGGTTGATATCTTTTGGACGAGTCAAAACAAAATAATAATTATTTATGTGCAAAATTAAATGTCATTAGTACCTTTTTTTCCCATTCCACTCCAGTAAGCCAACACCATGAAATGAGGTCAAGACGCTTAAAAATCACTTTATTTGGTCAAACCAGGCCTCAGGCCTTTTGTCCAGTAGAATTTTGGAATGGTCTAGTGAGTGCCCTACAATAAGAAAATACAGAACAATTCATGAATTGCAACCAAAATTAAATGAAAGGCAGGATTCTGGATTTCAAAGCAAAATGGGCGTTAGATTTGGGATTGAAAGTATGTGCGAGATGTGTGATGCCTAAAATAACCACTGGATTACAGAATTGAATGTAAATTTGGGTTGGGTTGACAGGATTGTAGAACCCGTTTGGGGACCCTCTTGTAAGGCAATTAATAACTCGATAACTTACCTTTAGGACAAAGAGAAAGAAGTTGCTGATCTTATCCAGCTGATCAAGTCTTTGACGTCAACAGAAGAGGACGGAGCTAGGCCTTATGGAAGAATGGCAGATTCCCTAGAGGAGGCCTGGAATGACCTCAATGTCCAATTAGAAGGAAGGAGAATACTGCTGGACACTTCTGTTGCCTTTCATCATAGTGTTGAGCAGGTATGTATTGTTTTCTTAGGGCGCTTACCATTCATCAGGGTTTACAGTCGTTTAGCCTACGATTCGTTTTGCCAACGTCCTGTTCGCTAATGTCTTAGGTCGTTTCGCTTACATGTTAGATCAGTTCCCTAACTGCTTTTGCCTGATCAGTGGCTGAAAGAACGAGGTATGTACTTGTGTAACACACTTTTTTGTTTCATGGCTGAGAGAACAAGGTATATACAGGCGCAGCGACTGTTTTGCTTCTTAGTGGAAGGACATAAGATGTTAGCAAGAGGGCATTAGCTAAATGACTCGTAGGCGAAATGACCTGTCACCTTTATCAGAACTGGCTAGCCAGACCAGTCCAGTTGTCAAGGGGATTGCACTATTAATCCAGACTATCCAGTCAGGTCAGTTTAATTCTTCTAAATGGTATGCATAGCAGTGATGGGTTTGTAGGCTTTTTTCCGAAAAGTGAATATTTCATTTTCAAAATGACAGGTCTGGCAGGCCAGTTTGAAGTTTCATGTTCACACTTGGTGCCTGGGTAGTGGCAGAAAGTGGTGGTGTGTTCACGTCCAGGGGTACGCACCTGATATATATCTGTGTGCATATATTTGTTGCACCTCTTTGGGGTGTTGGATTAACCAATCCAAAACAGTTTTCCTTTATCTATTCTTTCATTGACCATAGAGGAATGGTGTGAAAATGTTTAAAACTCAAGTGGAACCGAGTGGTTTCACTGCAAAGCGATCAACAGAGAAAAACAAAGTATATGGTATGGTTTGATATTAACTCCAGGGTTGCCACGGTCAGGGAGAAGCAAGGGGAAAACGAAAATTTTTCAAGGTCGGGGAAAAGTCAGGGAATTTTTTAAAAAGTCAAGGAAAATCTTTGATATTGTCAAAATCAGTGAATTGTCAGGGAATTCTGTTTTTTGGTTTATAGTTCATACGTTTTCTTTAAGATTTAAAAAATGCATTTTCTTTTGGGAAAGATGAAAAGTATGCTCCAAAGCAAGCAAAGCGATCAATTAGACTTTCTATGCCTTACTCATGTAGCAGTTGTGGTCATTGGTTTTCGTTGTGAATGCTTTCTTCCAAATTCCTTCGTCTTCTTTCTGCGAATAGTGGAAAGAGGTTGAAAATGAAGAGAAAAAGATTGATGGCGCACAAGAAAAGCTAAAGCAAATGTAAACATTGATTGTTTCTCATTAATAAAAGGTCAGTGAAAACTGTTTAAAGGTCACTGAGAAGTCAGGGAAAAGTCGGGGAACTTTTAACAAATCTGATGAGTGGCAACCCTGAACTCTCACTGACCATTTAAATATTATAGCTCTCGAGCAATCAGTGTGCAAGAAATCAATCAGTTATGGTAAAAGCTAATATCATTTTGAAATGTGAGCATAGCGGCGAGTTATTTGTTTAAAAATTTCTATTTATTACATGTACATTTTAAAACTGTGTCATTGTTCAGAAGATACACATACATTGTATAGTCAAGAACAGAAAAACAACAGTTCAAAATTAAATAACCCAGAAAAAAAAATCATGAACAATTACTCATATGTAAAAAAAAAAACAACGGAAAAAAGTTGCTTTTTGGAAATAGGACTTTTAACAAACGTTCCTTTTAAGTTTGATTTGTTTTCTGGATGTGTGGGGGGTGTGATTTCAGCAGGGAAGGCTGGGGAACAAGTCAAGAGAAATCTTTTTGTAAATAGAGAGGAAAACTGTGATGTCATGTTACTATGGTAGCAGAATTTCTGGATCTAAACAGTCTTTCTTGACAGAGACAGCCATCTGCAGTATCAAACAATGGAAGAAAAGTATGGGCTACCATTTTGTTCCTGAGTGGATATCATGCACAGGAAATTCATACTTGTCATTTTTTTTATTTTTTTTCTGCCATAGTTTGTCAAGATCAGGACATTAATTTTTGCTACCATGGCAACATGATGTAACAACTTTTATTCTCTATGCACACATTGTAATAAAAGAGACTCTGTAGACATGTAGATAGTTACATGTATTATTAACCATTGCAGATCACTATACAGCTCTATTTGATTATGTTTATGATGTAATTAATCAAACTTCAAGTTTCTAAGTAAAAGACATAATTTATCAACATTTTTTCCTTCAATCAGTTTGCTTTTGATAACAGTAATTAAAGTGATTAAATGGAGAAATTACTTTTAGTATGTTGTCTTTTACATCATAGTTAACATAGAAATCATTAAAAGCAACAAATAATGATTATGGTGCAGATTGCAATTATTGCGTGACTTAATTAAAAATAAAATTCAGTCAATGCTAGTTATGGTTATGAAGGCATCATAAACACATCTTGACTATAATCATCTCAAGAGATTAGAAATCTTTTGATTGTGTGGTACTTGACCTTGTTCTCATGTCAGAAGTATTTTTTTAGTTTCTTGTAAAGAGTGGTTGAAGCTTGTCTTAAAGGATATTTTATGTTGGGTTGAGTGCATCACTTTAGCCATGAGGTGTATTTTTAGTTGGTGTTATATTGTACAAAGGCATGCATGGAAGAACAGACAAAACAACTCTGCCCTTTTAAGAACACTCTTGACCTAAACAATCTTTGGAATTTTCAACAAAAATGAGTTAATCATTAATGACACAGAGTTTAAGCCTTTTATGGGAAGATTTTTGCTTTTGGATCTTTAGTTTGTTCTTCACAATATCTGTTTTTTACTTGTGCAAAGATATGTCCTCCCTCCTCTTGTTATTCACATGAAATTGTTGTCAAGCTATTGCTCTGTAAGTAAGCAATTTTTCTCAGGTGTTTGGTGTAAAATTATTATCTAATATGATCTTTATGAAGCAATTGGCTGTAGTTCTTGTTCTGTCCATTTGACGACTTGTTGATATTCGTGTTGCATAATCTTTTTAAAATGACCAGTTTAATAGTTTTGGTTGATAAAGCTGAACTTTGCATGCATCAAATACTAGTTATATATGCTCAGAGTTATTTCTAGTAAGTAACAGGAGATAGCTTGAGCTAATAGAAAGCATTCTGCTTATTAATTACTACATAAAAATATGATTCATATGATTCTTGTCTTTTTCTTAATATTTTACTTGTGTCTAGGTAACTGGAATCAGTTGTACATTACTTAAATAAGATATAAGTAAGCCTTTCTGCTATTTATATAACTAGTGGTTTTGTAATGCTACTAGCCAATAAACCTGAAAACTTTCCCGGACAAATGGACTACTTCTAAAAAAGGTCAAACATTGATTCCATTCATATATTCATTCTAAACTTTCCACTGATGCTAGATTCAAAATAAATAACCACTGATAACTAAAGGTACTACATGTATGAATGTAGTATTTTTGTGTACATGCAAGGATATTCATCCAGCTTGTAACAGATAAGGAAGTGTTTGCTGTGGTTTTGTTTTGAAAGTGTATTTCTTGGATGACTTAATTTAAAAGTAAATGATCATTGCTGGTAGAAAACAGTGCAATATAAGTTTGAGTATTGATAATATTTTTTGTTCCAAATTTATTAAAAGTTTTCAAGATCATTGTGAGTTGCATGGTAAATCTCTGTCCATCATTCTATAACATTCTAGTGATTTCCTGAAAGGATCTGAATGTTTTTTGACTTAACCTCCATGTCAGCTTTTTCACTAAATATAATTAAAGGTGTATTTTATCATTATTTTCTATCATGAGAGGAATGTTGATTACCTTGTTACCTGTGTCTATAAATAGCTAAGATTGTATTGTACTGTGTTGACCAAACTTCCTCTAGTTCAGAATTTAAGTGCACTACTCCAACTGTTCACAGATGTAACCACAAGACTATACATTTAGCCATTTCAGCTAAGGTAATAATGATGTTAACTCCAAAATTGATTGTTTTCCACTAAGCAGAGGAGTAGTGATCAGGTCAGCCATTCAAAAATAATTACTCATATACAGTGTGCTTACTAACCCACTAAAATGTTAATAAAGTGCATAAATATAAAGTGTAAATGAATGATGGAGGGAAAATACTGTGGTAATGTCAGTGAATGGTTTGGTACCCTGTGTGTGCCAAGGTTATTACAGTTCTTAAAAGGACGATGTTTAATGCTACAGACGGTTTGGATTTAGTAAATGTTGTATTGTCTGCTGTGTTGTTTATTTGAATGATTGTTAGCCCTGTAAGTCGCACAAGTCACCAATGTCAATTTTCTCCAAACAATGTAATATCAATACATACACAAATTATGTAGTCAAGAAAATAATTATGAGAATTACTAAAATGATCACCCAAGGAAAAATGCTTTGATCATATATGAATTTGTCTCAACCAATATTTTTAAAAAATGTATGGAAATGAGTCTGGAGGATTTCTATGTGGATATTGGGGCTTAAAGGGTTATTAGATCATTAAGCTGGGAGGCAGTGTCCCAATGGTATGTACTTACTCACACTTCGTCACCATCATTTCAATGTATAAAGTCATAATTTTTTTAATATGCATACAGCAACTTGAGCACAGATGTACACATGCTTAAGGTTGATCGCACTACAGTGGTCTGCATCCCTTACTCTTTTCTGGGCCTGTGGTTTCCTGTCCTTACCCTTAAAAGATCGTCTACTTCTGTTTGCTTCTGCAACTTAACCTTGACATGTAAAAATTATTCATTTTACTCACCTACCTACAGCATGTATTAATATCTTCTTGTTTCGGATGTTGTGGGGGTGGGGCAAAGGCAGCAAATTTTCCCTTTCAGACTATGTCGAAGCACCTTGAGGATGCTTCCTTCCTCTAGGATACCTCATGCAAAGGAGCTTCCAGGCTGTTAATTCCATATAGATTGCACATAACAACTCAAAATTTTAGTGACAGGACTAATAGCTGTTCTGAATAATCAATATCGGCTGATGGCAGATGTTCATGCAGTTACTGCTTTTATATGGGATCATTCTATTCTAACTCTTTTTTTGTTCTGAACAGTTCTCTGACAAACTTGATGCAACACAAGATGAAATCAGCCAAGTCCTTTTGGCAGAAGATGTCACTTCATCGTCTTCATTACTTCATCAACATCAAGAGTTAAGAAAAAGTGTCCTCGAATTATCAATGCAGACATTATCCAAAGGACAGGCACTTCTGGACAGATTGCGAGAGGCTAGTACACATGCTGACATCAACAACCAACATGCCACAAAGGCAGCATGTTACAGTGTTGAGCGTATTCTAGAGGCACTGCAACATCGTCGCCAACAGCTTGATGTACAGTGGAAAGAAAGGAAGAGGGTTCTAGAGCAGTGCATCAAGCGGTGCAAGATTGATGAAGAGATAAACAAGGTAATTTTTTTAGTGTTATATGGGTGGATATGCAACCATTGTGATGATAAGTGCTTATTGAGGGGTTGTGAATGAAAATTATCTTAGACTCATTATTTAAAATTTGTGTCCATGTGGCAAGATGTTTAAAACTTGAAGACAGAAAGACTTTTGTCTTATCAGTTTTTGAAATAATACTTTGAGTTTCCAACACTCAAAGTTTAGTTTTCCACTCTATTAACGAATGGTTAGCTAAAAAATTACATTATAGTACAAATATAAGAATGTATTTTCTTAAAGTTTCACTTATCCCAGTGGGCATCATCATAGGACCTTAGGACCTGTCAATGAGTACCTATTGTGTCTATCAGTTTCCATTGATTTAGTATGAGGGGTCATACGTTACTCGTTGCCTATCAGCTTTTTCCACCCACTGGCAGTTTGGTAAAGTCCTCTAAATATGAAGTGTTGATAATTATCCCTGAAACCTTTAGAGGGGATTAGATAGTGAAATACAGTTGAACCTCCTATAAGTGACCATCCAAAATACAAATATTTAGTGGTTGCTTATGAGAATTAATGGGGTCTTTTCCACACACATCTACTTTTTGGAAGAGAATTTATGGCATGCAATTTCTAAGTTACCCATAGTGAGTTGAAAATTCTTTGTATACTCTAAGTAGCATAGTCCAAACAGCTAACCAAGAGATCAGAACATACGTAAAGCAGTGGCATACAAGAGGTGGTCATTTGTGGCAGGTTCTAATATTATAGGGTTTTCAGTTGTACATGGAGGTTCAACTGTATTTAAAATTGAACCATGTTGTCTTTTTTATTCATTTCAATAGATCAACAAATGGCTAAATGAAGAAGCAGAGGACTATCTAAGCTATAAAGAGTATGGTGATTCAGCTGCCTCGACTCAAGTCCTTCTTGATGAACATTCCAAGTTTGAGGAGGCAGTCACGGTAAGTGCACATTTGTAAAATTATCATCTTTTGACTAAATGTGGTTTTAAATTTCAAATGAACATCCCCTGGGGGAAGTTTGGGTAGTTGTGTGCTGGCAAGGCCTTCAAACCCTGACCATGTTTAGGACAAGAGACCTTACTCTTTATTCATTTCCTTGTGTAAGACAAGAGACCTTACCCCTGACTCATTTCTTTTTTGCACACAGAATTATTCAGTTTTAGAACTAACATTCTAAAAAAGGATTTTTTTGGAAAAAAAATGTTGGTACTACAAATTTACACTGCTTACCGCCAACCTTCACATTCCATAAGGTTTGTTTTAAAAAAGACACCCGTTCAAGGTGCCAAATAGTGAAATTCTGTAGTTAGCCTGTCTCAACACTCTCAAAACCATACCCTGTTAAGCAGAGCAGTACAAATTTTGCTGGATGTTAAATTACAGTTTCTGAAATTTGGGAATGTGCAGAAGGCAATTATAATGTTATAAATTGAAAAATAAATTTTGGGTGACACTGCCCTGTTGACTTTTGTCTACTTTCCTTAACTTATTCTCCCTACATCTCTTCCTTTGCCTCCCCATTTCTTTTGCTGTAAAATTATTATGGCTCATTTTGGTGGAAAAAGGTCTGAAACCAGATTTTTGTAGGAATTTTTTGGCAAAAAAGTTCAAAACCCTCCATGGTTGGGGTTCAGATTACTATTTACTGGAACAATTTCTCAGTTTGTGTCTTTTTCTGTTGTGAATCCTAAGTATGTTAATAGACAGTGAGTGTACAATTAATGTACTTTGCTGTTGGTCTTGGCATTTCAACTTTTTTAAAGGTTATTTTGGTTATGATGTTAGGAAAAAGAAGACGCTGGATATAGACTTGCAAGAGAGACAGAAAAGCTTGTGCATGGTGACTTTGACGATATGCAGGACACAGAGATCAGAGTCACTCAGCTGCAAACAAACTTGCAGTTGCTCAAACAGCGTGTGGATGAAAGAAAGAAGCTGCTGCTGGAGACGTTAGCCTTTTACAAGAACAACAAACAAGTAAGTCAACTGGCAAAATCATTTCTAAACTTACTTTACAGACCAAAGTTAAATCACAAAAGGTCTTCATTTTCCATCACCTCTGCTAACCATCACTGATAAAGTGGTTAAGTAGTTTTTCATCTTTAAAACCCTTGGTTTGTGCCAGAGTAACGTTATAACCCTTGTTTTCTCAGGTTGTCACAGTGTAATATTTACAGACCAGTTTTTTCTTCGTGATTTGTGATCTGTGTGCTGCTTAGGCCATAAATCAAGGAAGTAAAACGTGGCCGCGTTTCTGCATCCTTAAGGTGTCTGCTCACGTATGAAAGGTTCCATTTGAATGTGTTCTTTGTAGAACATTTTTTTATCATAGTACTTAATTTTCTTCTTTTCTTTTTCTTTGACAGGCTTTGAATAAGCTAAATGAAATCAGTGATAAAATGACAGAAGAGAAGCTAACTGTTGAAGATCAAAAGGAACTTTATGGCGCCATCAATGCTGCCTCTGCAGCCCACCTGCGTGATGGGAAGCTGCTACAAGAAAAGATGACAGATGTCAAGCAAAAACCAGTGGTAGTAAGAATGTACGAAGAACTACAAGAAAAGAGTACAGCCATGCTTGTCAATGTAGAACCAGATCCGTCTAGCAAGGAGATTGAAGATGTAAGGACCTTTCATGCATTTTTTCTTTCAAATATACAAAGTACACTCTTATTGAAATTTGCACCCATGGTCAGCATTGACAGAAAGACATGGTTGGCAGAAAGTTCTGGCCCCGGCTGTTCAAACATTAGATTGCGCTTTCCACTGGATAAATTACTATCCACTGGACGAAAAGCATTAGGCAAACCAATCATTTTTGTATAATCCACTGGACAGATAATTTTTTTAACGTTATTTACCTTTCGATCAGTTGGGGCCTGAAGTACATTTAAGGGGTTCAATTGTTGAATTTTGCCAGCTTTCATGAAAGAATCAGATAATAGCCACATAGAGTACATGTAGCTGGCCAAAAACACAAAGTTGGAAGTGATTTTTGCTGGCTTCTTGTAAACTTAACAACCCTGCAGAGAAGGTTGTTGATTTATTAATCATTCTGTAATTTGTTCTTGTATGTTGAATTTTTTGTACAGGTTTACAGCTGGATAAAAAATGTGGGAGATGACTTTCTTAACAACAATACAGTGATGGGTGATTCCATCAAAACATCACAAGAGTTCTGGTACTCGCACAAAGAACTTGACTCTGAGAAGGAGGTGAACAAATGCTTACATTCATTGATGCACCATACTCAAACTCAGTCAGTCACCTTTTTCTGTGACAAGCCCAATAGCTATATACATCAAAGGTGGTTTCTCCTGAGGAAGGTCTACAATTGTACATATCGTTTTTGTATTCCTATTAATTATGGGAATTCTACATTTCCTATTGGCTTTAAAGAGTTGTTGTTTTAGATTACAGTGTATTCATATTTACCCATTTAAACATTTGATCCTACTCCTATTGTAAGACCTGCTGTACAATCTTCTCTGCAATCAATCCGATCCTTGAAAGCTATCCATCAAGTTCTATAATAATATTCTTATTAGATTAATTTGACCTAATAGGGCTGTCACTAAGGGAACCTAGAAAAGGGAAAGGATTTTCTAACAGTTCAATTCCCTGCCTACTATTTGCATCTAACTGGCAATTTTAGTGACAGGCCTGAACATACTATTTAGTAAAACAGGGAAGTCTGCTAACAATTGCTTGGACCAAGGCCCAGGTTTTGTCTGGACAATTTTCAGCCTTCACTGGTTTGAACGTATAACATCTTACAGTGATCTGACTGATTGAGCTTACTTGTACTTGTCTGTCTCATTCCAACTGAGAGTTGGTTAAGAGAGAGTAAAGGAAATGCGTATGCAATTAACATTAAAAATTAAAAAACAAAAAAATGTAAATGTAAGAAAACTGTAATTGGTAAGAACCTTGGTGACTGTAATCTTTACCAAACTATGGCACATGTAATCCTCTTTAGAATATTACGGACACAGTTTCAAGTGCTCTTGATGTTTCTAAAGTTCGATCAAAGATGGATATTGCTAAAGTGCAAGACATTCAGGATCTCTGGACAAGTTTTTGTGCTCGTCTTCAATACAGGCTGGGACTTGGTAAAATGTACTTTGACTTCCATCGCCACAGACAACTGGTGAGTATTAGGGAAAAAATGCCCCCAGTGCACAAAATTGCTCATTTAACTTAGAATTTTCTGTGCTAGATATATTATGGCCCTGGACGCCTTTAAGCTTAAAGCATGCTTTTGAAAAAAAGCTTAATTATATTTTTCGTTTGTTTGCATCAATCGTAAAATTCAATTTCGGGAACAAGTCACACGAAGAAAAACAACTTTGCGTTTGGCACTTTGGGTATAGTTCTGCAGGCCCTGGTTGTTCAAACATTGGATAGCGCTTTATCATTGGATTAATCATTATCCGGCGAATTAGTATCAGAACAAACAATGCGCTATCTACTGGACAGAGATATATCCAGTGGATAGTGTTATCCATCTTTTGAACAACTGGGGCCTGCTGCTCGACCAAATTTTCCTAACTAACCCTTGTAAATGTGTATGAAAATAATTTAAAAGTGAACTATGAGCCTAAGACTGGAACATAACATTTGTCTTTGGTGGTTGTCTTCAACAGCTTTTTGGAAAATTGGATGAGTTGACAAATCAGTTAACAAGTGATGAACCCAAAGAGAATGTTGATGCCTCTCCAGCGCTTCTTGCACGACAAGAGCAGCTCCAAGATGCAATTCTCTCTGCATCTGGACAAATGCAGAAGGAATCACAAGCTCTGTTAGAAGAGCTGCGAAAAGTAAGTAAATAGATTTTCTGTTAAGTCCTAAATTCAATAGTTGTTTCTTGAAGAAGGGTTCTACTTGCAGTGAACAAAGTGACGTAAAAGTGCCTGTAGTTCTCTGAATCTGGAAGTGTAAATGCCGAGCTATTTTACCATAAATGAAGATATCTGTATTCTTTGATTTGTTGTTGTTGCATATAAGATTAACCTGAAACAATGCTCAAACTTCTGCAAATACTCATACATGAGTGGAAAGGAGGTTGAGCTCTGTCATAGACAATAAAGTTATTTGTTGTTCAGTGGGCTAATGACAGATCAGTAAAAACAAATCAATAAATACTTTTTATCTCCTCTCCTTATGGGGCTAATAGATCAAATGGAACATAACAAGGTTAAGAGTCTACCAGTTGGCTTTTTTACAAACATTGTCGAGTGTTTAAATTCGGAACTACTAAACAAATCCAGCTCCAATCTCTGGATTGCGGGACCAGCTTTCTAAGCACTCGGCCACATTTCCTCCCAATAATGATTAAGTAATTCTCTATGCAAGAAATTAAACTATCGTCGACCCACCACAAGTTTCTTCTGGAGCTTAGTCTTCTTAAGCCCTTTACCGAGGTAGTTAATTTACTAAACGCTAAATAAGGTTTCTTTTTGAAACTTCATTTGTTTTGCCTTCCAAGGAACCACGAGAGGAGCATTTGGACAGGGGTGCAGCTGCTGATTGTATTCAGAATTTTCTGGCGACCCTGGAATCGAGGGTTCACAAGCTTGGACAGTTGTGGACTCTCAGAGAAGAACAGCTGCACAAAAACAGGCAGCTTAGTGCTGAGTTTGTACAGTTTGAAAAGGACACTCGAGAGGTATTCTAAGTAGTAATTTGTTTTAAACTGTCTAAAAGCGAGTCATTTCCGTTATGAGTTGTGCTCCATTGTAACATCGTAGCTGTGCTGGAATTTACGTTGTAAGTAGCATAGTGGTTGCTACTAACAACCCTGCACTCAAAACGATGCTTCGCTCAATGAATACCCAAAGCGGTTTGGACGTTTGAAGCAATGAATAATGGGATGACTTTCTTGAGAAAAACGATCAACCCTACCAATTACTGAATGTTAACAATAGTCAAAGAGAAAACGTTGTACTCTTACGTTATTTTAGGTTATTTTATGGATCAAAGAGCAAAGTGATACATTTTTCCCTGTCAAAGTGGATTACAGCTCCCTTCCAGCCGATCCAAGAGAACTTGAAGACAAGCTGAAGAGGTTCAAGGATGCCGCCAGGGTAAGCTATAAAGACATCTTTCCAAAATACCTGCTGATGATAGGTTAGTAAGGCATCATGTCTTTCAATGTCTTGCTCTGCTCTTTTCTCTTTGCTGTTCTTTTGGCTTGTGGCTTCATGATTCACCTTAACTGTAAAATAATTTCACATCTAAAGATTGGTTTGATCATTAGCTTTCCATAGTTCGAGTTTGGCTTAGCCTGCGCCATAGACTAAGCTAAACTTCTCCTTCCGTCTGCAAACAGCGCCGAAATCCCACCCCTGCTCCCACCCGGTACCAGGATTTGAGAACGCGCCATGATTGGCTTGTTAAAAAACCTTTTTCGATTTGCCAGTCAGGTTGAAGGAAACGCATTTCCGGTAATTTGTTGAGTCCGTTTGTGGCTCAGAACAAGAATACATGTATGGGCGCTGCTTCGCAGACGTTACTAACCGGATAGATGTATGAATGGCGAAATAGCCAAAGAACAATTATAATTGAATTTGCTTCCGAGTAAGTGTGTTATTTTTTATGTGCTTTAGCGTACTGATGAAGATGTCCAGTCGCACCTGCAAGCTGCTGAGCAGCTGTCAGGGGCAGAGGGTGGTTATAAAGCTGCCATAAGAGTCATCACAGATGAGCTTCAGATTGCTTATCAAAGATTCAAGACTCTTCTTGCAGACTACGAGGTGCTCTTATCTATGTCAGCAACTTTTTACGCAAGTGTGGAGAAAGTAAGTCTGCTTTTACTGTATCTTTGCGGATGCAAATGACAAAATATTCCTTTAGGAATGTTGAGATATGTACGGGTGTGTAGAAGTGTGTAGAGCACAAGTAGTTCCTTAAACTAAATACGTGAACAGTCGTGTGAATAGCACCTCCTCCTTGCGTTACCTTCCGTGCACTTAGCAATTTTCACGCGTCTTCGTGTCTTTCGCTCGCTCTTCTACCCTTAAGAAACTACTCGTAATCAAAGAAGTGTCATATGACAAACTTAAGAGAAATGACAAGTTTTTTTGTAAAATCCTTAAAAACATGTACCTTGTGTTAGTACTGTTGAAAAAGTTCCGTTGAAGTGAGATATTAACTGATAATAACTGACTCTAGGGTACCTTAGTAAGCTATTGTTACCTTCCCAGTTTCAAGCTGTTGAGATGTGTTGTATGTGTTAAAATCTGTTTCACAGCAATCTGGTCCACTCTGTGTAGTCTTTTCAACCACTCGTCCCCTGCTTGCTGTGTTTCTTAACGTCAGCAAAGAAGTTACCTGTAAATGAAAAAATCGCAACATTCTGACAAACGAATTATGTTTTGCATGCGTTATGTCTAAGTTTTCCAAAAACAACGAAATTTTTGGGCAGAATAGTTTTCAGAGGCCAACTGCTATCCGTTCTAATCCCCTTCAATTTTGCGCATCTGTGGCTTTTTCTGTATTTGTTCTGTTATTTAAAGTCTTCGTCAATGTTTTGAGCTACTTTTTACGGGTGTATTTTTCTGCTCAATTTGGGGAACAGTTTTCAGTCGGTGATTTGGCTAACTTTCGTGACACAAAAGTTCCTTTAAGATCGGTAAGGAGGTTTTAGCGGACAACAATGTTGAGAAAAACTAATTGTTACTCACGCTGACTCTCTGATTAGCTTCTTCAAATGATGGATGACATGATGTATGATATACAAAATCAGCCTCTTCCAAGAGATATAAACGCAGCACAGCTCCTTCTCCAAGATCATCTTGCGAACTACCAGACCGTCCACGAGCTTTTTAACTTTACCACTGTTAATGCTCAAGATGTGCTCAGTCGTGCTGCCACATCAGCGGCTGTTACTGTATCACGAGACGAAATCAAGGGATTCCTGGAGAAGTCAGAAGGAAGGCATGGAGAGTGGCGGAGCCTTTGGGAACATCATAAGGACAAGTTGGAGGAAAGTGTGCGGCTGTGCGAATTTGAACAAGCTATCAACACGGTATGAATTATTAATATTTGAATCTGTGAAACCTAAAACTATTAAAGGGTACCATATATTTAAACACTATTTAGTGCATTGCCTATGAGCACGAATTTTTTTTGTACTTCTTTAGACAATCAATAAAAGTTGAAAGGTTATTAAATTTTCTAGCAATCCAGCTTTTGAGAGCCCGAGTCTGTGAAACTAAACGTCAGTGTACCATACGCTCATTTGGGTGAATTGCCTAGGAACACCTATTGTTTATAGATCTACTGGACCAAACAAAAAATGACTTAAAGACAGACGAGAAAGAGAAGAAAAAAGTATGAAAGGGACTTGCTTTTTCTCACAAATTGTTTCTACCCGTTAAGATAAGTTTAAGATAAGTCACAAAGCTTATTACAACATAAACTTAAATAAACAATTTTAACAGGAACGTTGCACCACAGCTGTCTTTGGCTTTCGTTAAATCGTTCTTTTGACTTTAATTACAGGTTAATCTAACTATTGAAGAGCACACCCGCGAGTTGCTGGCTCTAAATCGGAAGTTTGGTGTCACCTTGCTTGATGCTGTCACTCTGTTGCAAGAGTCAGATGCTTTTCTGGAGTCAGTCAAGGTAGTTTTGATGTCTAATTTTGCGGCATAGTTCTTTATTACTTTACTCTAAGCGTTTTGGTGTCATTGTGGACGTTACTATAAAATGGACGCAAATCCAGTTAAACAGTTAGATCTGATTCCAAGCTTGTCGTACAGCGCAGGAGTTAATCTTTAAGGCATTTATTTGATCCCCCTTGTATCGAAAGTAATTTGACGGTTCTCGACACCGTTTGATACCGGTCTTGAAATTTACGTTGTAATGGTATTATGCTGCGTCTTACGTTTTTTAGTTCATGCTTGGAAAGAAAAGTTAGCATGATAGCTATTGCGCTGAAAGAAACTTGTATCGAACCCAACAAGGAGTGCAACCGACAAATAGAATGTTTTTTAAAATAGATTTTTAAAGAGCATGTTGTTTTTCTGTGGCAAAGTGGTGAATTTAAACAAAACAAAATTGTTTTTACAGCCTGCAGATGTAGAAGTTGGTAGGCTGGTTGATGAAGCAGAAAAATTGCGGCAATTAAATCATCATGACGCACCCGCTATTATGAGACAAGTATCTGCAATGGAAGCACGCTGGCAGCGATTTCTGTCACGGATGGAAGACCACAGAGCCATGCTTGAAGCTTCGATCGAGTTCCATCAACTCTACGAACAGGTTTGCTTTCGATATTCCCCTTGCTTTGAATCGTCCTCTTCTGTGGACAGCCTTATAATTTGGGGGACTACAAGCAGAGACGTAAACAGGCACATGTGACTAATAGTAGACCGATAAATGAATCAAAGTGCAAGCTCATGGTTGGTATTAACAGCCAGTAAGGTTGTGGCTTAACTGGAAGACGACCAACGCAATGGCATTGTAGGATTTCAAAATGGATGCAAGCAAGCTGTATTTCAATTTCGTGTCGTGCATCTTCGGTCTGATTTGCACTTGTCTCAGTTCAATTACCCTAATAAATTCAGTCTATAAAGAAACATGCTTGTGAATCGTCTTTTGTCTCTTAAACCTCTCTTGTTGCAGGCTTCAGTGTGGATCAGCGACAGTGAACACTTTCTGAAAACCACCAGGGATGGTGCAAAGAGATGTACTACTGAGGAAGAAGTCGTTGATCTTCTGGACATGTTGGAAGGATTTGTTAAACCTGGTCTCAACAAGCAGGAAGCTCGACTAAAGAAAGTTGCTGAACTTTCTGCTAAGCTCACCATGGATGAACCACGTTACAAAGCAAAAGACCTCATGGTGAAACAAAAAGAGATTAGCACCAAGTTTGATCTCATGGACAGTGATCTGTTCCGTCTAGCAGAAAGACTTCGAGAAAGGAAACAGCGAGGGTTACCTCCTAAGGTACAGCTACATTATTTTAGGTTGTAAGATGGGTTTAGAAGAAAATGCTCTTTTGCTTATCAATGGCTGACGGTAAATGTTTAAAAGCTGTCGTGTCGGGACTAATCTTTTTGCTTAGTACATTAAACCCTGTGCTACTGGATAGTGCTTTGCGTAGTACAGAGATTTTAACTTGCGTCCAGAGACTCAACTATTTATTTTATTTGCAGTGGCATACCTGTAAATTAGCTGGTGAAGATTTCTTTTAAACTAATCCATATAGCTCCGTGTATGTTCCACTTTGAATAAAGTATTGCATTGTATTGTTTTAAAGTTTGTAGGCTTTACCTATACATTCCCTTTTCTATGCTTTAAACCTTCAGTTGTTATTTAAGTATGATGAACTTTTACCAGATGCTGTTTTTGGCTTATATAGTAACTGTGATGGTTGATTTTGTTTCAGGCAGAGGAGGTTACCACAGAGACCGTAGACTCGTACGAGCGAGAGCTTCTTGAATCACTTCCTGTCGCGCCGGAATTTGACAAGCCAGTGCGTGTTAACGTTCTGTCATCCTTTATCGATGGTGTACTTGGTAGCAAGAGGGCTGGTGATCGAGAAGTGTTTGAAGAAGCTGGACCAGCTAAACGTCCCCAGGTTTCTGTCAGAGTGCGGTCTGACACACCAGTAAGTTTAGAAGCTGAGCAGAAGATTGAGCCTATCATCAAGTCAGAGATCCAGGGGTGGTTTGAAAAAGGGAAAGCAGTAAAACCTGTTGAAATTCCAGAACATGAGATTCTAGTTCACATCAGTGAAGATACTAAAAGAGAACCAAGTGAGATGGCCTTAGCCCCTTGGGGTGCAGAAGTGGTGAAGAAAGATGTCACAGTCACCTCATTGGGTCCCTTTGTCACCACAGACATTGAAGTTGAAACAGCTTTGCATACGGAAATTCGTCCACCGGCTTCCCCGGATCAGAATCAGCTAATGAGGAAAAGAGTGTGGAAGACAACAACAAAGGAAACCACGACAAGTATCAAGCAGGAGACCAGAACGGAAGTGGAGATGCTGGTACCTGAGAAACGGGAAATAACGTCAAATCTGTATCTTTATGGCACTTTACCTCCTAGTGAAAATCTGAATGTTGAGGTGCGTTCCAAGAAGACTGTGGAGAGCAATGCGGATACTTTGGAGAAGACGAGCCCTGAGGAGATTGATAAAGTAGGAAGGGATATGAAAACTGCAAATGAGAACATTTGTCGGAAAATCGAAGAGTCTGTGGCAAACAGTCGTAGGTCGTAAGTACTGCTAGTTTATTTCGTTTTGCATTTCTAGTGACTACCATGGTATGATGCACCATAGAAAAATGGATTTTCATACGCTATTTGCCATGAGCAGTTTTGTTGGACTAGTTACAACTATACTTTAAACGACTAAGTCAACATTTGAGAGGTAGAATGCATTTTAAATTTAGATTACGTGTTCAGAAAAGATAAATTCCCTTCGAACTGTCTTGGATTAAACGTAAAAGGAGTGTGGATAATAAGGGTCTTAATTTGAGTCTTCGTAAGAAGAGCAGAGTTGCGTATTTGGGTGGCGTGCAACTTCATACAGTACACTACATCAAGTTTATCTTTGCTTTAATGTTTTGTCGGCTTTTTAGTTTGGAACCAAGAAAACATGCGGAGCTCCTCATTCCTCAACATGCCGGCTCGGTTCTAATTTTCACTCCCCCTGGTACTCCACGGAGAATGTCAGATCCATGCATTGATGCGAGTAGACTTGTTAACGGCCATGCTGACGCCATCGAACAGCCAAAGGTGGAATCAGAGGCATACTTGATGACCACACCTCAAGACTTCAACTTTGATGCAATAGAATTGACAATTCCATCTCCTTTCGTGAATGGGGAAGCCCCAGATTTAGAGAAGGAATTTGCGCTGCAAAGGATGAACGACATCACTGACACGTTAATTGAAACTGAGGAGAAATATGTGGATGATTTGAGATCTCTCGCCGAGGTATGTAGTTTGATTTACAGTCGACTCCCGTTAACTCGAACCTTCAAGGAAAATCGAAAAAGTTCGAGTTATCGGGAGCTTGAAGAAAATAGCCGGAATTAAGGTAATATACGTTTTTTACTGTACAGTGAACATTTTACTCACATTTTATTGTAGAAATGTATAGTAAAAATTGAAAGATACTTTTAGATTGTAAATCAGAACTTGACGTAACAGTCCATGGCCTAAAGAAAGCGTGCGTTTTACTGTTCAGAGAAGTAAAGCTGTTTCACGTTAGATTTGTGAGAAGCAACATAAGCCTCCACTAGTAAACTATATGTCTAAAACACGTCAATGGGACTTCAAAATCCAGTGTTTCGGACGCCAGTACACTGGTTTTTCCCGACTTTTTAAGGAATCAAAACCTGGTTCGAGTTATCGAGGGTAAAATTACTATGATATAGAAATGATTTGGAGGGAAACACTAATTCCTTCGAGTTAGCGGGAGTTTTGACTCATTGAGGGTTCGAGTTACCGAGGGTAAAATTACAGTAAATGAATAGAGGAAATCCAGGGGACGTCGATTTTGGTTCGTGTTAGCGAGGGTTCGAGTTATCGGGAGTCAACTGTAGTAGTATAAGAAACATAGGACACGGTATGTTATCGATACCCGGTTCTAAGTAGTTTGCTACAGAGCCGTTTTTAGTGTCGTCACGCAACGCTCCTCCCTACTAATGGGGACTAGTGGGGAGGAGCGTTAGGTGACGACACTAAAAACGGCTCTGTAGCAGACTAGGTTCCAAGAAAACGGTTAAAGAAAAGTCGCAGGCAAGTATATTAAGACAGCGCCTTGCGCTGTTTTGGATATCGGACAAAAAGCACTCTGTGCAGTGTTTGATATAGCTTCTTTTCATTTCGTAAAATGTTATGGAAAAAAGTAGCAGTACGGTTTGCCCCAATGTTGTTGACTGCAGTGACTCATTTTGTTTTCAGGTCATTTTATCAGTTATTTCAGAAGGTGAAATTACTAAATGCTGCTACGCTGGCTTTCTTGAAGTGTGTCATATTCTGTTTTAATCATTCGCACATTGTTCTCAGGGAATGCTGATGTTGAACATCACCTTTGAACTCTACTTCTAGGTTGTTTTATTTTAGTCATGTGTCAGGAATTTGCATGTAACATTATTCCTTGATCAATACACACACTCCAACGACAATAAGAGACCAAAATTATCATGTCAAGTTGTTTGCTCTTTTGCAGGATTACATCTATCAGCTTGAAAAGGCACCCCCAGAGGTCGCAGACTGTAAGGACACCATCTTTATCAACTCTGAAGATGTTTTCTTCTTCCATAAAGTGTAAGACACATATGAGCGTTAAAATAATAACACCTTGAAAGTTGTGTTGATCCCCAAGTCCCAAGCCTTCCTAGTTTGTATTTGCAAGAATTGCAAGTGAAGAACTGTGTGATGCTAACCTGCCAGATGTTTTCTGGCTTGTTACTTGTAACTTAACATTTGCGTATCTTATAGGATCTTTTGTGATGAGCTGAGGAAGTGCCGAGGAAATCCTTCGCAAATCGGAAAAGTGTTTGTGAAACGGGTAAGTAGCTTTGTAATTGAAAGGGTCAGCAGGGATGGTCAAATCAGTCAGTTGTCATGAGGGCTGGTTCCCATACAGAAACAAAGTCAAAAGCATTTAACCTGCTCGGTCATCATTTCCGAGCGCAGCTAGAAATTCGCCGGACATGGGCACATTTAGCTCTGACATTGTCCCATGACTTATCGATATTTGCTGCTTTGTATGGGATACGCTAAATACAGGTTTCACTGTATGACTTTTTACTGTATCTTTTGTTTCCTTGAAGGAGAATGAGCTTGACAGATACATAATCTACTGTGATGGAAAAGGTGACTCGGACAACTTTTTAGAGTCACATCCGAAAGACTTTTTCAAGGTGGGTTTTGAGAATTTGATAAGCTTTGTCTTAATTTTAAGAAGCCAGTTGTTTTCTTCTCAACTGGCAATTCCAAGATCCTGATTAGTATGGATCGTTTGATACGTTTTCAGTATTAATTCTGGTGCTTAGTACCTTTCCCAAATGTGTTTCTTTGTTGTAGGTGTGTGAAGCAGAAAGTTCTTGTCGTCCCGTTGAAGAACTCCTTGATCGCCCAGTTGAGCGTATTTTGGAGTACAGAGCTTACTTGACTGATCTGTTACAATGTGGAAGGAAGGCCGGCGTCGACACCCATGATCTTGAGGTAAAGTCTTTAGTCTTTTGCTATCATCTACTGGCAGGTAATTGTATGATTACTTAATGCTAATTTATATAGATTGCTAACTATTTTCTGTTGGCCTCTATTTCCGTGATTTAGTTCAATATGTTGTGTTGTCTTCTCGTTTATGGGACCAAAATGAGCAAAAGATGTTTCTTTTTCAGGCTGGGAAGGAAGTTATAGATAGACTTTGTGCCGAAATAACTCAGCATACCCAGTAAGTTACCTGCACTTGAGATTTGTTTAGAATTGACCCTGATATGTCTCTTTTCTAGGAATATATGTTAACTGCATATTTTTTCATATACTTTCCCTTTCCTTATTTGTTTCGTTTTGAAGTCCTCTGATGCATATTTAGCATAGTGATAAAACTCCCTAGTTCCTCAAACACAAATCGTTAGACTTTCTTAAGTTTCAGGTTTCGGTGTGGAAGAACCATAGATTTATTGCCTTTGAGAGTTTTTTCCCTGTTTAAATCAAGATTCTTTGTGTTTAGCTACGCACAGACGCATTCTCCAAAAGCTAGTTATGTTAATTGTCCCTATATCTGTTTTCATAACCTTTTTACTATTTTCTAGGTTTGAGATCCTAATCAGTGAAATTCCCAAAGAGGTGGAGTTTTGCGTTGCGCTAGAAGATTACCGAGACGAACTTAACAACATATGCCTTCAAAAAGAAGAGACTGTTTTGGTTCTCGATAGGATATCACGCCCAGGAATGTACAAAGTTGTCAGGTTCAGATCAGATGGCTCGAAGGGCGATGAAGTTTGGGTGCCATCAACAGTTTTAAAGCGCAAGAAGTCAACGGCCGAGATCATCATGCCAGCTGAGTATATTGTGAAGCTTAAATCAAAACCTGCGCCTAAGGTACCTCAGGAGATTGCTCAATTTACCATCCCTGTTCCGGAAAGGGAAGTCGTTGTCGAAATGACACCAGTCGATTTGTCGTCAGCTCCAGTGGCACCTGAATTTATATTGCCACTGGAAGATCAAAAGGCCAAAGAGGGTAGTCCAACACAGCTAGATGCCCGTGTGTCTGGAATTCCTGAACCAGAAATATCTTGGTTAAAGGACGATCGACCTGTCAGGACCGGAGAGCGTATCCATGCAGAGAGGGAAGGCGATTTGTACTCGCTAAAAATATCAGATGTTGATATTGAAGATGAAGGGACATATATTTGCCAAGCCAGCAATATAGCGGGAACGGCGACTTCTTCCGCAGACCTTAATGTTGAATGTAAGAAAAACACTGTGCTACTGATATGCTGAATTAATCACAAGTTATCTTTTGTGACTGCGTGTTAATTTGAGAGTTTTTTTCTGGTAAAGAAGAAGCCATTTAAGCATTGGTTTAGATGCCTCTTACATGCTTATTTTTCTTTTGTGTTTTTAACAGCTAGCGAATCAGAGGAAGAGCCAGATGAAGAGGAACCACAGACGGTTGTGATTAAACTGTGAGTTTTCTTTTAAATAAGTGAAATAAGTGAGGTGGAAGGATAAGTGCAGTTGGTTAGTGCGCTGCCGTCTGTGCAGGAGGTCCCGAGTTCCATTCCCTGGTGTGACTACAAATCCTTTTTTCGACTTCTTTCCTTTCCGTGTAGCTTTAAGTTGCTTTAAATACCCGTTAAACAGAGCGCTGAAGGAGTGAGGGGCTAAAATGACCGCACCGTCAGCCTTAGGTTTGTTAGTCAGATGACTATTTCGAGCTACTGTCGTAAAATATGGACCCTTAAACTTTAGGTGTTAGAATCGTGACTGTGAAATGAACTTACAATGTTAAAAGTCCAAATTGGTAAGAGCCTGATAAACAATGCTATTTTGTTGTGGTGGAACGGTAGAATGTGGTGTTGCAAGTCCATCTGGCTGACAGGAAACACGATCTGACTGACCCCCGATTTAGAGAAACCAATACATCTTCCAAACTAACTAGAACGTTTTTGTTTTAATTGTTGCAGAGATCCAAAGCAACCTCCTCCTACAGTGAGTTTCACACTTGGTGGAAAAGATAATACTGATTTGCAGCCCATTCAAGTTCAACTTCCCACTTCTGGTGACATAAGTGCCTCTGAGATCCATGTGATGACAGAGAGCGTACTTAATACTCGACGGCGATCTATACCTCCGGAATTTTCTACTGAGCTACTTGACAAGACAATAGAAGAAGGCGATTCTGTGGAAATGCAAATATTCGTCACTGGCACACCTCCGCCAGAAGTTGTGTGGTACAAAGATGACCAGCCAATTACAATTTATCCACACAGGCGATTTCACGCAGTGAGATACAATGATGTTTGCAGCCTGGAGATCAAAGATGCACGATGCAGTGACCAAGGAAACTACACCTGCCGAGCTAAGAACACTGCTGGAGAAGTCACAAAGTCGTGCAAACTAACTGTCACACAGGTCACACCAACAAGCCCTCCTGCCTTTGTAAAACAATTAAAGGACGTTTTCATTGTTGAAGGGTCCTGTACTCGATTTGATGTCAAAGTCACAGGAATGCCAGAACCTGAAGTGAGTTGGTACAAGGATGGACAGCCTGTGAAAAAGGACGAGCACATAGAGATTATTCATGATGAAGACACCTCTGCACTAATCCTCATGTACAGCAAGGCAGACGATGCAGGGGATTACACTTGTAAGGCTGTGAACGAGGCCGGAGATGCTGAGTCGTCAGCACATTTGCACATCTCACCACTGCAAATACCTGCAAAATTTACGTTACCGTTGGAAAATGTTGATGTTGCAGAAGGAGAGCCAGCGAAACTTAAATGTACAGTCATTGGGAGGCCAGATCCAAACATTGCTTGGTTTAAAGGTCAACAACAACTTCATGAAAATAGCCGGTTTCAAATGATGGTGACTCCCGATAACTCTTGCATCTTGAGCATACTGAGGGTCGACATGAATGATGAAGGAACTTACACTTGCAAAGCGACTAACTCTGTAGGGAAAGATAGCTGTTCAGCTAATGTGACAGTCCACGGTGAGGGTAAATCTCCAGAGTTTACCAAGGTACTGGAGAACATTGAAATACCCGATGGTAATCCAGTGCGGTTTGAGGTACATGTCGAAGGAAAGCCAACACCGTTGGTAGAATGGTTCAAGGGATCAAAACTCGTAAAAGCTGCTCCTAGGCTCGAAGTTCAAGCAAATGAAAACTTCCATACCTTGGTCATAACAAACTGTAGAGATGATGACAGTGGTACATACACATGCAAGGCCCAAAACAAGTTCGGCACAACTACTTGTGAAGCAACACTTGTTGTTGCAGAAGACACTGTACCACCAAGGTTTACCAAAAAGCTATATGACTCGACGGCAGATGCTGGAAACACTGTAGAATTTTCTGTTAAGTACATTGGCAGTCCAGAGCCAAAGGTAAAATGGTTTTTAGATGATGAGGAGGTGTCTGAAGATGATGAAGGCATGGATATAGAGACTGAGCCAGGATCATCGTTGCTTGTGCTTGAGGACATAGGACCAAATGACTCTGGGCAGTATAAATGCATCATAACAAATATTGCAGGCAAGGCTGTTACAAGTGCACAGCTTAGGGTGGTAGAGGAAGTGGTTAAGACTACCCGTGCCAAGATCCCAGATGTGACAGATTTAGCTCCACCTGCTGAAATAGAGCCAAGTGGGAAACCACCGGCATTCATAAAAAAACTGTCAACTCTTCATGTAAATGAGGGAGATAATGTAAGCTTGGAAGTTATAGTTGATGGATCACCAAAGCCAACCTTGCAGTGGTTTGTTGAAAACGAATTGGTTGAAGAAGACAAGAATACCCACATTATTCAGGAGGGAAATAAACATTCTCTGGTTATTGATCGTGCGGTGTTAGATGATGAAGCCGAATATAAATGTGTGGCAGAAAATTCTCTGGGAAGAGTAGAATGTTTGGCCGAGCTGCTAGTTGACGAGATCGCCTCTAAGCCAGAGTTTGTTCAACCACTAAAGCCTCTTGAAGTTGAGGAACAAAGCGATGCCACATTTGAGATACAGGTGAAGGGAAGCCCAGAGCCAGATGTTACATGGTTGATGAACGATGTGCCAATTACAGCGGGTGGCAGATACGAAGAAGCGAAAGCCGACGATTTGCATAGACTTATTATCCACAACGCAATACCTGAAGACTCTGGTGAAGTCAAATGCCAAGCTGTCAACGATGCAGGCAAAGTTGAAAGCGTTGCACCACTGCATGTTAAACCACTCTTTGTAGAGGAACCGTCTGTAGCTCCTTCTTTTCTGAAGAAACCTGAAAGTGCCCGTCTTGTTGAAGGAGGTAGTGCTTCCTTCGAAGTAAAAGTAGATGGGTTACCCACACCCACGGTTATCTGGTACACAGAACAGGAAGAAGAAATACCTGAAAGAGGGCATATCCGTTGTTTGCCCGATGGGACACTGGTCATTGAAAACGCTGAACTCGACGATGAGGGAATTTATAGATGTGTTGCTTCAAGTAAAGCTGGGGAAGTGTCATGTAAAGTGGAGGTATTTGTCGAAAAAGCCATCCCCAGTATTAACGAGGTTGTGGAAGAAGTTCCAGTATTTCAAAACCTACCTGTGGAAAATGAGATTCCTCTTGACGGAGTGCTCGGTGTTCCAAAAGCGGAAAAGAACATACCTCCTAAAATTACAAAAAGATTGCAAGATGTCACTGTGACGGAGGGAGATACAGCTCGATTTGAAGTTAATGTTTCTGGCGTTCCGACACCACTTGGTCACTGGTCCACAAACAACGCAGAGATAATGGAAAATGACGAGACTATTTTGGAAACGATTGGTGATACTTACAAACTTATTTTAAGGGACGTTCTCCCAGATGACGAGGGGGAGTACACTTTCACTGCCGCAAATGAAGCTGGTAAAGTTTCGTGTACGGGAAAGCTTTCTGTTCGAGAGCAGATTAAGAAGCCGTCTTTCTTGGAAGTCTTAAGAGACCTTGAGGTCTGTGAGAACAGTGATGTGAGGCTGGAGGTGCGTATTCAAGGGACTGAGCCTGATATTGATTGGTACAGGAATGGTGTTCCTATCGAGGAAACATCTCGGGTAGAATTTGTGGATAACGAGGAAAGGGGAAGCTACGCATGCCTAATCTATGGTATCACTCCTGAAGATCAAGGCACTTATAGGTGTACAGCAGCAAACGAGGCTGGTGAAGCAACGTGTGAAGGAAAGGTGACTGTTAAAGAAAATATCATCCCACCAAAGTTTCTCCAGTGCCTCGAAAACAGGAAGGTTGTTGAAGGATCTGATGTGGACTTAGAAGTGGAGGTTAGCGGCAGGCCCAAACCAACCCTCAAATGGCTCAAAGATGGGGAAGATGTTGCCCCCGATAATCACCTTCAATTTGACATGGACGGACGCATTCACACATTGTCCATTACTCGTTCTAGAATAGCAGATAGTGGGAAATATAGCTGTGTTGCTTCAAACAGTGGTGGCAGGGACACTTGTGCGGCTACTCTTGAAGTCGAAAAGGAGATGCATGCTCCAGAATTCCTTGTCCATCCTGAGGGGGCCCAGATTGTCGAAGGAGGCCAAGCTCGCTTAGAAGCCATTGTTTCAGGTTTACCAGAGCCAGAAATTGAGTGGTTTAAAGATGGAAAGCTGATACGGGACAGTCATCATTTCAAGCTAGAGTTCGATGGAAACAGATCCGTTCTTACTATCAAGGATGCGAAGCAGACCGATGATGGTGAATTCACTTGCACAGCAACTAATGAAGTGGGTAGAGTGTCTCATGCTGTAGAACTAATTGTTGAAGAGGCAGTTGTGGCTCCTGAATTTGTTAAGAAAATGACCAGTATTGAGTTGTGTGAAGGGGATTTGGCCCGATTCGATGTCCGTGTCTCTGGTACCCCACAACCGGGAGTACAGTGGTTTAAGAATGACAACTCTTTAGATGGCGATGAACGCTATGAATTCCTGTCAGATGATGATATGCATTCCCTGGAACTATCCAATTGCCTATTGTCTGATGGTGGAGTATACCGCTGTACTGCGTCAAATGAAGCTGGACAGGCATCTTGCATTGGAGAACTGACTGTCACCGAGAAACCTATCCCCCCTGTGTTTACAGATGAGCCTACCTTTCCAAAGGAAGTGGGACAAGGTGGCGATATTGTGTTGCAGGCAACAGTCAGCGGAAAGCCTGTACCAACTGTAGAGTGGGTCAAAGATGATAGCAAAGTAGAGGACAGCAGCCGTTTTAACATCAAAGCCGAGGATGGGAAACACACCTTGACCATTGCAGGTGCTGGCCCCGATGACTCCGGTGTTTACAAATGTGTGGCAAGTAACCCAGCTGGAACATCCACCAGAACATACAATGTAAACATTGAAGGTAACCATTTTTATATACCTAGCAAAATGATAATCATGTTGACTATCAGATTAAATTAATTATGAATTATGTGATATTTCCTTGCGTTTGAGACCTGTTAAGTGGTTCACGAACGAACTAGACCAAAGAGTAGTAGGCTTCTGCAATAGAGGCATGCTGAGTTTGAGCCTTTTGGTAAACGTGATAGGTGCATGTGAAAACAAAGTGAAGAGAAGTTTTCTTTTATGTTTGTTTTTTTTTTGGTGTTATTTTTGTATCGATCAGCCAGAGTCGTCCATTTAATTGAGAATGAAACCTTTACACCCTTAAATTATTTTGATTGGCCAAAATCTCTGAGTTGCAGCTAGCTGATTTTTTTCGCTTCCTCTCTCCTCATTGGTGACCCACAAGAATCATAGAGATCGAAAATCAGCACAAGTTAGGCATGAAGTGGCTATTAAGCCCCATAGGCAGCAATAGTGCAAAATGGCCAAAACGATTTTTTTTGCGGGGGGGTGGTCGGGAAGGAAGGATGCTGAGTATGACAAGGTGAAAAATGTCCATTTGTCAAACATAACCAATGACTCTCATCAGCAGGGCGAGATATTCGCACTATTGCTATTATGTTCTGGTCACTCGTTACAAATCCTTTTATATTTGAGTTCGATCATAACGGTGTAACCCTAGTCATGTTTGGAGGGTGACTCAACGTAACTCAAAAATCGAAATGCTAGATATTTTTTAACTCGTCGTTTAAAGCTTTATAGTTTTATAGTATAACCTGATTAATCAAATCCACAGAAGGCGCTTTGCCGCTATCAAGTGACTATACGCCATTCATATGATTCCTTTGAAGGGCTGTTCTTATCTAATGGAGTATACTTGGCAGACCTCAAGGCTTACTCTAGCTTACTCTAGTGAACATCAACGTAGGCAGTAACTCGCATGCTTGCATTTCCTCTTAAAATGTTGCGGCTGTTAATGCTTATGTGACGTACAGTGTAAACTTCCGTCTTGGAAACATGTTGCATTTGTTTTGTGATCTAGTTAATGTTGTGCCTCAGTATAGCCATAATGTAAAGCGTAAATGGCGCTCAATGAATTGTTTTAATGTAGCTCCAAAGTAACCTGTGTTTGTCCTTTAATGGACTTGTTGATGGGCTGTTCTTACTTTTAAATTTAATTAAAGTAACATTGGTATAAGAAAGTAATAATAACAAAGTCACGGCACCTGCATAAAGCACAGCTTTTCTTCTATGTATTTCCTTTTGTGTGTCATATGTTATTTTCTTCGGGAACTTCGGGACTAACTGTTAAGACAGTTCTTAGTGGTTTCGGCTTCAGACAAAGTTATGTTTCTGGTACTCTTGTACAACATCGTCTATTCTGCAGCTTACCAAGTGAGATCTTGCGGTTGAGATTATAGAATGAGTTAGATTGTTATCTGTTGTTGGGACAGCTTTATATTCACTTTGTGTAAGTATATTTCTGCTCGACGTTGTGTGCACCATGCATGGAAAAAATCTCCAGTTCAGCTTTGGTCTTGCTTTTTTTAAAATAATACCCTGATGAATGAAATGAAGCCGAGGAGGGCAGCTGTATAAGGGTTCACTGAAGCGATGGGAATAGTTTAACTCAAATTGAGCTTTAGGTACTAAAGATGCATGCATTTAGATGTTCATGATAAGCACTTTTGCTTTGTTTGAGGGACTTTCTTTATATGATGCTTTTACTATGTTAGTTGCTTAGAACTGCAGAATAGTCATTGGCACATCCTATTGGTTGTTGCTTTTGATGTGTCAATTGCCATTGGCGTCCTTAAAACAGGTTCTAAGTAGCTGAGTAAGCAAAAACTTCGCTTAAAGGGTGCTGTCTTGTATCTCAGCTCGTGTGTCCCGTGCTGTTCGTACGTCGTTCGTGCTTTGACACATTCGCCGGAGTGAACGTGGAAGAAATCTGCTTTATGCGTTTGTTTTCATATAGCGGCAAAACCACAAGGATGTGCGCCAGAGTTTGTAAAGACCCTACAGTCGTCAACAGCTGTTGAAAATTCTCCTGTCACTTTAGAATGCGAGGTAATTGGTTCACCCGAAATTTCCGTTGAGTGGCGCAAAGATGATGCACGTTTAAGGCAGACGACACGTGTTAGGACTGAGTTTGATGGTAAAGTCTGCCGTTTGATAATCTTTCGTGCAGAACTGGATGATGAAGCTGATTACCAATGTGTGGCTAAGAATGACTTTGGAGTGGCTTCAACAGAGTGTGAACTACTTGTAGAAGAGGAAAACAGTGTACCCTTCTTTAAACAGAAAGCTGAGAGTCAAACGATATCAGAAGGCCAGTCTGTAACGTTCAGTGTTATTGTGGCTGGTAATCCACCTCCTGAAGTCGATTGGCTGAAGGATGGAGAAGTGATTGAAGATAATGGACGATTTGTAATTAAGGAAGACGTTGAGCATGGAAAATTCTCCCTCATTATTGAGCAGACGGCATTCAAAGATGCTGGGACATATAAGTGTGTAGCCTTTAACGAAGCAGGCGAAGCCTCATGCAAGACTAGTTTGGTGATGATTCCATCATCTGGAGAGATTGAACCCATTGTTGAAGATGCTCTAAGAGCGGAGGTGGAAATGCCGTTTGAGTTTCAAATCAATTCAGTCGTTTTTGAACCAGTTAATGTTACTGGTAAGCCACAGCCTATCCTGAAAACTGCGGAAATTGCTAAATACAAACCAGAAAGGAACAGCATTTCAGCTGCCAGGGAGGGGCCAACATTTGAATTGACAACTACAAAGCAGGAACACCAGGTTCCCCAGTTCATAGCATTGCCTGAAGGTTGCAGCCCCTTCGATGTTAACCCTGATGGTGATGTAAAATTACAAGTTAGGGTTAGTGGCAGACCTCTTCCAGAAGTGAACTGGCTCAAGAATGATGAGCCTTTGCAAGTCAGCGATAGTCTGACGTTACATTCTGACGGTGACAGACACACGTTGAGTATCCAAGGGCCTACCCCAAAGGATAAAGGAGTATACAAGTGCGTAGCATCGAACGATGCCGGAACTGCCACAAGAAGCTTTGATGTGAATATAGAGGGCAATCCTGACTGGGTGATGCCTTCTTTCCAAGATCATTTAGCAAGTGCTTTTCAGATTTCTGATGACGGTGATGTGACAATGGAAGTAAAAGTTGCAGGAAATCCTTTCCCGGAGATTGAGTGGACACGGGATGGTGAGCCGATCAAGGAGAGTGATCGTATCCACGTTTTGAGGAAAATTGACGACATATATAGCTTAGTCATCAGAGGAGCTGGACCTAAAGATGAGGGGGAGTACACTTGCACAGCAACTAACCCTGCTGGAAAAACGATGAGAACATTCACTCTTAACATCGACGATACAACCTCTAAACATGCTGCTCCAGTGGAAGAAGCAGTTGCTCCTCCAAGAGTCATGGAACTTCCAGAGAAAAGAGCCTCATTTCATATTTCCTATGAAGGCGATGTCAAACTGCAGGTCAAATTTAGTGGCCAGCCGGAGATTGAGTGGTCCAAAGATGGAAAACCCGTACATAACAGCAGTCACATTCAATTACAGTCGAAAGAAGGCGTGCACACATTGCTTATAAAGGGTGCTACTCCAAATGACAAGGGCCTTTACAAATGCACAGCTACTAATAAAGCAGGGATGGCATGGAAGACTTTCACGGTGGAATTTGAAGGGAAGGGAGAAAAGCCAGTGAAAGTGGGCTCTGAGTTAAAGAGACCAACATTTGTGGAGGACAAATCTGTTGTACCTTTTGAAATAACCAAAGAAGGAGATGTTCAACTAAAAGCAAGAGTTGAGGGAAAACCGCATCCTGAGGTAGAATGGGACAAGGACGATGTTCCTCTGCAAGAGAGCGAGCGTATAACAATCACGTCAGAGGATGACATGCATATGTTGCTAATTAAAAGACCAACAATGGATGACAAGGGAACTTATAAGCTTACTGCTACTAATGAAGCTGGAGTTGGAACTCGCGCTTTCAATGTTGAGATTGCAGGTAGCTCAGCTATTTCTCTGTTGCTGTTTTTTTAAAGGTGTATCTGTTTTCTCCTTCATAAATTCTTGTTAAATCGTTTGGTGCTTGGGGTAAAGCTTTGTAGTGTTTTCGTCTTTGATAAAGTAAGTTAAATCTGGGCTTACATGTGTATTTAATGGTGTAAATCCTGTAAACTTGACATTAAGAGAACCATTCTAGGTTAAATTGTAAACGGTTTCAACTAACAACTTTTACAGAGATTGAGTAAATAAATGGACTAACCACTCTAACATAATGTAACTGCATTTTTATTCCGTTGAAGCATCATTTTTTTTTTTTAACTTAAACTGCGTACCGTAGGTGCGAAGAAAGCCAGCTTGGTGCCTGAGATCATTAAACCACTTGAAGACGTAGAGGTCCTCCAAAGACAGCCCATCATTTTGGAATGTCATGTCGCTGGTGCAACTGATGCCCAAGTTAGGTGGTTTCATAACGACGATCTTATTGCAGACAGCGAACGGATATCAACCTCATTTGACGGCAGGGTTTGCATCCTGTCCATTGAAGTCTCAACACTGGACGATGAAGGAGACTACATTTGTCAAGTGGAGAATGATCAAGGTGTTGTATCGACCGCTTCAGAGGTTTTAGTTGAAGAGGGAATGGCATTGCCAGTGATCACAGAAAAGATGCGCAATGTGAACTTGAAAGAAGGCGAGAATGCTTGTTTTGATGTCCGTGTAGTCGGAAATCCTGAACCAGTTGTAGAATGGTTCAAGGATGGTACACAGTTGGAAGATGAGGATCGAGTCATGATCATAGATGATGTTGATGACAACGAGCCGGAGTTGTTCTCCCTCGTAATTGAAAAGTGCTTGCCTTCCGATGCTGGCGAATACGAATGTTTGGCCATGAATGAGGCTGGAAAAGCCTCTTGCGCTGCACATTTGATGGTCACTCCCATATCTGACTCGGATGTTGCTGAAATTCCCTTGGAGTTTGCAGAAGGCGATGATGTGTTATTGAAGGCTTTGATGAGTGCCGACAGCCCTGAAGTTAATTGGCTGAGAGATGATGAACCTATTAAGCAGAGCAGTCATTATGAGATTGACGCCAAGGGAGGCGTACACACCCTGACGATTAAGGATGCATCTCCGGAAGATTCGGGTGTTTACAAGTGTGAGACTCCTGATGATAGCACAAGCACAAGTACATTCAATGTCACCATAAAGGGTAACCATTACATAGCACTTGCACATTTGTACTCTGCATCGGCTGATGCTCCATATGCTAAGTCGAATGGACTAACCGTATGTTGTGGCTCAATTTATCCTAGGTTTAAATTTCATTTTTCTTTGTTTCAGTCATTATAATACTTTGTCTACCCCCAAACAAGAAAAATATAATTAAAGCAAAGGATACAATCGAACCACAGCACACGTATCGGCATTTATTTGTGTCTTTTTTGAAACATGTTGGAGTTAAGCATATGGAGTTCTCTTTCATTACAAGGTCTACTGTTTCACTTGTAGGCTACTCCTCTCGAGTAGGCTATAATTGAAATATTTAGGTTAAGCGTTTTTTTTAAATAACTGGAATTCAGAAGTTGTGATAAAATTTAAGTTTTAATCAATTTCACGTCCACCACATGTTCACTTTATATTTTCCATCCACATTCAACATGGTAAGGTTTTTTCCAGTAGTGACGTCTTTTGTCCTTGTTTTGGGCAACTGAATTACTTAACAGCGTGCCACTTCCTGGGAGGGTGCTAAGATTTCTGAAATCGTGACCAGCCCTTGCGGAGCAACTTGTAGGTCGCCTGTTTTCATTTGCAACTAATAATCTGTAAGTGTTCATATTTATTGCCCAAACGATTTCAGAAATCTAAGTGCCACCTGGTGCTCAGCCTCTCGAGATTTTTGTCAAATAATGAACTGGTTTGCTTTTCGAAATTTCTGTTCATCACATTTAACTCTTTTTTGTTTTATGTGTTATTTTCGTTTTGTTTTAAGGCAAAGATTCTGTAGATGGTGTTAGACCTGAGGTGATTGCAGAAGCCACGCCCGTGGAAGTCACTGAAGGAGACGTTGCCAAGCTTACCTGTAAAGTGTCAGGGAATCCAAGGCCAATAGTAACGTGGCTCCAAGATGGCGAGCCAGTGGAAACAGATAACCGTGTCGTCAGTGAGATCGATGGTAATGTTTACTCACTTTGCTTTAGAAGTACTGTATTGGATGATGAAGGAGAATATCAGTGCAAAGCACAGAATGATTGTGGTTCTTCAGTGTGTATCTTGGAACTTCTTATCAATGAGATTGATGTCAGTGAACCTCAAGCCAAACCAGAGTTCCTTGAGAAGATGGTAGATTTAGATGTCTTTGAAGGAGATTCCCCAACCTTCAGCGTTAGAGTCAAAGGTAACCCGCAACCAAAAGTGGAGTGGCTTTCTTCAGTCAAAGAAATCACTACTGGTGGTCGATTTGTAGTGGAATCAACGGACGACGGCCACTCTTTCACTATTAATGACTGTGAGTTAAAGGACAAAGGCAGGTATAAATGCGTTGCATCTAATGTCGAGGGAAAGGCTGTTTGTTCCGCGTCATTAACTGTCAAGGAGAGGTTGATTGCACCCGAGTTTCAAGAGCCTGCTTGTGATGTGCAATTAGAGGTAGATGAAGGAAGTGAGGAGACGCTTCAAGCGGAGGTTATAGGGAAGCCAAAACCATCCGTTAAATGGTACAAAGATGACAAACCCATCAGTCGAACAAGTAGCAAATATAAGACTGGGGTGCAAGGAAACAAACACGAGTTGGTCATCTCAGGGGCAAAACCTGACGATTCTGGAACCTACCAGTGTAAAGCTACCAGTCCTGCTGGGATTGCAACCAGGAATTTTAACGTTAATATCAAGGGTAAGCTGTGAAAATTTTCACCAATTAACGACCTTACGATCCGAGGACGGCGACTGCAGCGAAAAGGTTGCTAAAATGTGAACTGGCGTCTTTTCAAATTATTTGAACAGACTTATTTTAAATGTAGGGGAATTCTTGTGGAGCTGAATTCCTTAGATCCATATACAAGATCAGAGAGAGAAAAGAAATTCTATCGTCCCTCTTTTACGCAGGCTACTTTTTTACGTCATCCACAAAGCGTGAAATTGGGCATTTTCACGTCGTAGTTGTGCAGTGACGGCAAAGAAATGTACAAAAAATTGTGTTGCACGTGCAAAGTTGTTGTTTTGCTTATTAAGGCTATTTCAAAAGTATTCTTTTTTGATTCTTGCCGTCGCCGTCAAAGCGAAGACTACGACCGAATTCAGTGTCACGGATGGTTGTATGGAGGCCTGTACAAATGGGTGGCTTTAAATGATTTTTGAAAAACCACTGGCACTTCCAAGCAGAGCTGTTGGTTGCAGTCACAGTTTACGGATTTCAAAAAATTGTACAGAGCACTTATGAACCCAGCAGTCGAACGAGCAACCAAGTAAAAAACGGGAAATACAACTATTATCGTAACGATATTTCAGTTATCGTGATACTGTTGCAATTGCCAAAAACCGTTATGGTTAGACTTACTTCTAAACGCCATCTTATATTTATTGTAGGAGAGGATGGAGGAGGAAAAGAAGCTGAAACGAAACCCACCGAGGAACTAGTAGTTGTACTAACTAACATCCCAGTGAGCTCAACTCCATTCGGAGAAATACAGCTTAAGTTGCCAGTGAAGGAAGATGAATCAAAAGAGGAACCAAAAGGCAAACCGTCGTTTGATGAGGTTCAGGTATTGAACTATCTTGAGTAATCATGTTACTTCAATGTTGTTTATCCTGAAGTATATATTCTAGCATGTATAACACTTAAAACCTAGAGTACCTTAAAAATTTTTATTTCTTCTAGACAATACAACTGTTTAGGTAAAATGTACGTGATATTGCATAATATTTCACAATTAATTAATGAGGCTGAATGTGATGTAAAGAATTATGGATAACGAGGAGAATGTTATCTATAGGTGGATAGCTTCTTCCCAGATAAGCACAACCCTTCACATCATAAGAAAGATTGTAATAAGCTTACCTCCTCATAGGCTTTCTCCAAAACGTTGGCCTATTTCGTGGCACGGTTTCAGGATATAAACTGAGTTGCCCCTCTGTGTACTTTTGCTTTTCTTCCGTTCGGTGTTGGTCAGAAATTCAGCTTTTCCGTCATCGGATAGCCGTGAACGCCATTGGTTTAGTTCACTATGGCTAGGCAGCCTCTTTCCAGGCAAATATACAATCAACCAAACTCTTTTCCAAGAACATATACCATCGCATCTTCCAAATTTGGTCAACGCGGACTGGAAGAATTTGCCGGGGGATTTGAGCCAATCAGAAACGGCGAAATCTTTTGACTGAATAATATACTTAATTGTAATGCATGTATTTTAGGTTCCGTTTCCTGGACAGAGAGACGCGCCCTTGATTCCGGACACCATATCAGCACTGGAGTACGAACCTGTTGATCTGACGCTTCCAGTTGCTGCCGAGGCTGTGTTGCCCGATTTTGTTGATGTTCCTCAAGATGTGAAGGTTACTGAAGGTGACAAAGCAGTCCTTAGAGTCAGGGTTATTGGGCAGCCAACACCTGATATTGAATGGTATGTTGACGATGAACCAATCCGCCCAAATGATCGGATATCCGTGCAGGCAGAGGGAGATCAACACGAGCTTGTTATACCTAAAGCAGAGCTTGATGACGAAGGAATCTACAAGTGTGTGGCTAAAAATGAGATCGGGAAAGCCATCTGTGAAGTGGAGTTGCTGGTTGATGGTACGGTTTTGTGCGATAAGTAGAGTAGCTCTTCTTGATATTAGTTGAAATGAGTTAAGCGAATTATTTTCGTAGTTATATTTGTAATAGTCTCATGCAGATACATAAGGCACCACACACCTCCTACAAGTTTGGATGAGTGTTATTTACCTTTTATTCTGTTTTTTTTTCTCTCTTTCCTTTAAAACACCATCGTCGTGTTTTATAAATTTTGATCTCTGACATCCGAAACTGCTCGGTTTCAACGGAATCGTAATGATCTTGCAATGTCAGGAAATCTTATTAAAAATCTGAAATCTGAGTGAAAAGTATACAAGTACTGTTTAAAAAGTCACGGTAGTTTATCTAACTATTATTAACTTGTATATTTCCAGAAACAGGTCAAACTTTCAGCATACATGCTTTAAACCTCATCCATTTCCATTTTGGAAACCTGTGTACAGCCGCCCCCTCCCCTACATTCTGGTACTTTAGTGCCAAATATGTACATTGCTAACATATTCATTGTAGATGAAACGAGAGGATTATATTCAGCTTTCGTTTTATTCAAGACTTTCAATAGTAAGAGAACAACTGGACTTAGAATTCTTTAGAAATAGCACTATCATTTACTTGGAGCTAAATCGCGTTTTGGTATAAGAGAATAACTATATTTAAATTCCAGAAATCAAAGAACCAAAAGAAGGAGCTGGTGGTCTTCAAATTACAAAAGAGCTTGAGGACGTGGAAGTTGACGAAGGAGAGCCAGCTACTCTGGAGATTTGGTTTGTGAGTGATGCTCCTACTACTGTATCTTGGTTCAAGGACATGAAGCCTGTGGAGGATGGGCGGAGAGTTAAGATCATTACAGATGAAAACAGCAGTAAGGTGGTGATCAAGAAAACTGGTGTCAAAGATGAAGGGCTGTATCGGTGTACACTGCAAAGTGCTGATCAAGAACTGAGTTCCTCTGCTGAGTTGATAGTTGAAGGTATGTGCGTTACATTTGTCTCAAATACAGTCAACAGTCTCTTCACCCTTGAAGTCCCAAGAGTAGCCAGCATCAATTTTTTCCTTGCAATGTATATTGACAATCAAGAGAAGAGGTTATGAGGATGGATGAAATGATTATGAAAGAGAAAATACTTTGACCAGATTCTCAACTAATTCTTCAACGAAATATAACGAGATCAGTGTTGAAAATTTGTATGTGAATATTGGGGCTTAGAAGCTTAACGGATACTGTAGTAAGGCGGAAATCTTGAGTTGGTCCCTCCCGTTCTTCAGTCATTTTCCTTGACATTATAAAGTGGACACCTTTCAAAAGGGACACTTAGTACCGGCCCTATGGTTATTCGGCCTCGAGAGTGATAACTATACTGTAACAGAGGCTTCTTACTGTTCGTATTTCAGTTTAAGCAGTTTAAAAACATCGTTGCAAAAAGGGCGCAGAAATAAAGATTGGCGAATGTTGTGTTTGGAATTTTTAATACAACTGTTAAATTTCTTTGTCATTTTTTCTTACAGAACCATCAGATGACGAGAAAGTAATGTAAGAAACCCCTGCTTTGTTTTTCTTTGATTTTGTGTGGTCCTCTTGACCTAACTCCTAGACGCTTGTCTTGTTCTTTCATTTTGTAAAGAGTCACAAAGTCCACGATGTTTTTGACTGAGATGTTTTGTCTTTAAACAGAATCAAAAGACCAGTGCTGGTTCAGAAGTTTGATGACCAAGAAATCACAGAGGGAGATAAACTTGAGCTCCAAATCAAATACATCGGCTCTAAACCAGTAACCGTGACCTGGTACAGAGATGATGAAGTGATAGTGGCTGATGAGCGCCGTAAGATGCTCTCTGATGATGATATCCATCTGCTCCGAGTGGACCCAGTAGAGATAGATGATGAGGCTATATACAAGTGCATTGTGAAGAATCAAGCTGGACAGGACCAGTGCGAAGCGGAGATTTTAGTTGAAGGTAACATGCATTTGGTAGGCTTTTGTCACTACATCCCTAGAGGCTGTGCTTAAACTAAGAAATATTCCAAATATTGCCTTATATGATGAAGTGAAAAAATATTTATATTACCTGGTACTTGAAGGTGAGTCATTGATCATTTCTTGCTGAGATCTTACACGCTTCTTAAATGTACTTTTTCAGATAAAGTTGAAGAGGAAGATGTTGATGCAGGTGTCACCGGTAATGTCAATTTCTACACTGTCTTGATTCTGATTCTAACAATAATCTAAGTAGATGGATTACTACAGATGAACCACTCAAAATCTCATTTGGAGTCCATTTACTGTGGGTTTTGTCGTCCACGGTTTCTTTCTTTCCTTCTTTTTTTTTTGATTTGGAAGTAAGGTTAGGCGGGCTATTNTGATATCCATCTGCTCCGAGTGGACCCAGTAGAGATAGATGATGAGGCTATATACAAGTGCATTGTGAAGAATCAAGCTGGACAGGACCAGTGCGAAGCGGAGATTTTAGTTGAAGGTAACATGCATTTGGAAGGCTTTTGTCACTACATCCCTAGAGGCTGTGCTTAAACTAAGAAATATTCCAAATATTGCCTTCTATGATGAAGTGAAAAAATATTTATATTACCTAGTACTTACTTGAAGGTGAGTTATTGATCATTTCTTGCTGAGCTCTTACACGCTACTTAAATGTACTTTTTCAGATAAAGTTGAAGAGGAAGATGTTGATGCAGGTGTCACCGGTAATGTCAATTTCTAAACTGTGTCTTGATTCTGATTCTAACAATAATCTACGGATTACTACAGATTAACGACGCAAAATCTCATTCGGAGTCCATTTACTGTGGGTTTTGTCGTCTACGGTTTCTTTCTTTCCTTCTTTTTTTTTTTCAATTTGGAAGTAAGGTTAGGCGGGCTATTTCAGTGATTGTATGCCTTCAGAATTTTGTCACGTCGTCTTTATCCCTTCTGTACCTTAAACGAAGTGTGCGATGATGATGATGATGCTAGTTGCTTATTTTTCTCTTTTAGTACATCAAAAACCCTATTTTATCAAGCCACTGCCTGAAGAAGTTGAAGTTCTCGAGGGAGACTCCACTCGCCTTGAATGCCGCATCGCACGGGCATCAAAAGTGTTATGGCTCAAAGACGACGAACCTTTGGTGGAGGGTGATCGAGTTGCAATTGAAAATGATGGTGATGTCTACACAGCTGTTATCTCTCCCACGGAACTTGATGATGAAGCTGAATACAAGTGTGTGGCCCAGAATGAGTTCGTTGAAGTGTCCTGCAAAACGGAATTGATTGTTGAAGAAGGTGTCACTATGCCTCTTATTAAGGAGCCCTTAAAGAACGTGGATGCAAATGTGGGAGACATTGTCAAGTTTGATGTGCGCATCGCCGGAAATCCTGAACCGATGGTGGAGTGGTTTAAGGATGGAAAACATCTGGAAGATGAAGGCCGCGTTGTCATCATTGATGATGTTGATGATAATGACAAGGAATTATTTTCCTTAGTTATCGAGGGTTGTCAGATGGAAGACTCGGGTAGTTACAAAGTTGTGGCCATGAGTGAAGCTGGAACTGCTAACAGCGAATGTGATTTGGTAGTTACTCGTTCCACTGTCCCACCTGAATTTAAAGATGAAATCGAAGAGGTATGCTGAGTTGTTTTTTGCTGACAAAATCACCTTCCTCGTTCCTCTGTATTTGTAATTTGAATGCCAATATGGCTGGTGCTCACTACAAAATTCACAAAAAAAAGCTTCTTATAGCGACACTAAATTTCTGTTTAACACCATCTTGTAAGTCTTTCAACGGGATACACTTAGGAGGCAATTAATTGTGCTCCCAAGGGTGTTCTGGTTGCGGAAGGTTATGCACTTTTCAGTCAAAAGGTTACAGTAGTTTTGAGGGTAAAACTCAAGTTTCTTTTGTTCCAAACAAACTCTTTACCAACAAAAACACCATTGCAATTAACAGTTGGTAGTTGGAGAATCCTGATCAAACTTTGCCCGTAGTTGTAACCGGCTTTTAAATCATTAACAACTTGAAGGTGAATTTAATTTTTCCTTGAGCAGTTAATAAGATTATGACTTCCATACATGCTACTTATTGGTAATTATGAACCGAATGTAATGAAACGAAGGTAGTGGAGTTCAATAAAAAGTGATGTTCGATCACCTTTGTTTTGTCTCAACAAAATGATGACCCACGTCCCACGTCTTTCTTCATGGGAAAAAATTAATAATTCTTTGCAGCCCTGGGGGTGTTTTTGCACTGAGTGATCATTAATTTCATTTGGAGTATATATTTTTGTTATTATTAGGTACCACTGGAAGGTTCACAAGGAGATAATGTGACAATGGTTGTACATACTGGCCGCCTGCCCGCGCCATCCATTGCTTGGTTTAAAGATGAGGAACCCATTGTGTCAGACTCACATCTTGAAATCACACAAGAACCTGATCTCTGTCAGCTGTTAGTTAAGCACGTGACACCAGCCGACTCGGGCACTTACAAGTGTGTTGCATCTAGTGTTATGGGAACCATTACAAAGAAATTCCTTCTCAACATTGAAGGTGAGTTTGTCACTTTTGCGAGTTTATTAGTTTAATTATGCCTTCACGCCTGCTGTGAAATCTTAACTTGGGTTGAGTGATACTTGTATTTGTTTTGTTTGCACAAAAAAATGCTTTAACAGCTGCGGATGTAACGTTAGTTTTGCTTTTCTTTGTTGCTGCTCTTTGAGACTTTTAAGCGAGCCAAAATAGAAAAATCATACACCAATTTGCTGGCGATTAGAGGTAAAACCAAGCCAATCGTGATTTGTTCGCGCGCGTTGGATATTTACTTTTGTTTTCGTTTGACAGCACGTGGAAACTGTCTCAATTAAGAGGTGATAACATTTTAGTAAACAGTGTAAATCACATAAATACTAATGCTCTACGCATAAAGTAGAGCAGATATAATTTAGATGTTTTCCAGAAAGAACTTAAAAGCTCTCAGAATCTTAGGGCCAGTTATTTAAACGTAGTTTAGGCAGTGTTTAACAAAACCGCGTTTTAAGCCATTTTCAATTTGCTCGATGGTTTTTTCTAAACACTATTTATTGCGAAAAGCTTTATGAAAGCATAGATAGTAGACCAGAAGAGCATTTATCTTCTTAAAATAACTCACTAAGGAAGAGACCTGGAGGTCCAAAGATTTGTTAAACCGTGGCTAAAATTAGACTTCGTTTAAATATCCAACCCTTAGTGTTTTTGTGTTTTAGTTTGAATATCTCTGCTATTTTCTGTACCCTAGGTTCAGAGATTAGGGAAGAACAGCCCATAACTGTGTCAGAGATGGATGACTTACAGGCTTCATTGCCCATTGAGGTAAAACCAGTGCAGGATCTGTCTGCACCTGTCTTCACAAAGAAGATCGAAGATGTTGTTATTGATGCTGGTCAGGAAGCCCGTTTTGATGCCAGAATTCATGCTGTTCCGGAACCCAAGGTTGAATGGTATCGAGGCTCGGTAAAGATCGAAGACGAAGGTCGGTTTGTCCACATAGATGCGCTTAAAGAAGACTTGTTCTCTCTTATTATAGAGAGTGTCGAACCAGGTGATTCAGGGACCTTCAAGTGTATTGCAACCAACGAAGTTGGGGAATCGACTTGTGACGCACAGTTAACTATAAAAGGACCAGAATCTTCCATAGCTGGTGATAAGGGAGAAAGTCCTCAAATTACGCAGCCTTTGAGAGACGTTGAGGTAACGGAAGGAGAAAGTGCAACACTCGAATGCAAAGTGTCAGGAAAACCATATCCAAGTGTAGCTTGGTATAAAGATGGCACATGTGTGAATGATGTGGAAAGATACAAAACAAGATTTGATGGGGAGTTAGCCACGTTAAAAATCGCAACCACAGAACTGGAAGATGAGGGCGAATTTAAATGCGTTGTTGAAAATGCCTTTGGTTCAGCTTCTTGTTTGTCAGAACTTCTAGTCAATGAGGCTAATGCAAAGCCTGTGTTTGAAGAAAAAATGAAGCCTGTTACTGTCAACGAAGGAGATCCAGCAACATTTAGTGTGAAGGTGACTGGTAACCCCCCTCCTGTTATTGACTGGTATCAGGGCAAGGAGCAGCTGGAGGATAAAGGGCGTATTGAAATGGTAGACAGTGAAGAAACCAATATTTACTCACTTACTATTAAAGACACTCTTTTAGAGGATGCTGGTACTTACAAATGCGTAGCCAAGAACGAAGAGGGGGAGGCTTCCAGCAAAGCTGCCTTGGCTGTGAAAGAGATCATCTCTGAGCCTGAATTTGAAACTGAGAAAGGTCAAAGTCGTGAGGAGGCTACCCCAATCAAGGTCCGAGAAGGAGATGTCGTGAGTCTTAGTGCCGTTGTGAAGGGAAAGCCAGCACCTGCCATTGAATGGTATAAAGATGAAGAGAAACTGCGGGAAACAAGCCGTTTGAAGATGGATGCCAAAGATGGTCAACTTTCTCTGATAATACTGGAGGGAAAGCCTGACGACTCTGGAGTTTATAAATGTGAAGCCAAAAGCAAAGGTGGTAAAGCCGAAAAAACATTTAACGTCAACGTTCAAGGTACTGTTTCCAGTGATCACCCGTGTTATGGTTGTTAAATTCAAATTAACCTTTTAATGATTTTATTACTTTAATTTTCCTAACTTTGCCTCATTGGTGTCCAAACAAACGAAAACTTAAAAGTGTTTCTTCCCAACGCCTCAAAGTTGATAAATCATTAGAACCCACAATGATAGTTTGCATAATCATAATGTTATTGGATGAAAAAGTAGTGTATACATATAGGGCCAACAGATGTTTAGTTAGAAGAAAAGCTTTTTACGTATCGTCGTTTTTCTGTTTATTGTAGCCGAAAAACCCGACGGTTCGGCACCATTGTTCACAGAGTTACTCCAGCCTGTAGAGGTGGTACAAGGATCTCCAGCTAAACTCCAGTGTCGAGTTACTGGTGTGCCGGAGCCGACCATTGAGTGGTTTATAGATGATGAGCCTGTGAAAGAAGATAAGAGAATAAAGATACGGTTTGATGGCGAGTTGTGCACTTTAAAGTTTCTGTCAACGGAACTTGAAGATGAAGGCCCTTACAAGTGCGTAGCTAAGAACGAGTTTGGTTCAGCCTCGTGCGTTTCTGAACTTCTTGTAAACGAACCAAAAATGAAGCCAGAGTTCGTGGAGAAGATGAAACCTGCTAATGTGGCCGAGGGAGAGGCCGCCCGTTTTGATGTTCAAGTTGACGGCAATCCGCTGCCAATGGTTGAATGGTTTCGAGGTAAAGACAAACTTGAAGATGAAGGACGTTATGTGATGGATGATGCCGAAGAAGAGGGTAGGCATACTTTGATTATTGAAGACGCAGTTCCTGAAGACGCAGGTACGTACAAGTGTGTCGCATCCAATGAGGAAGGGCAGGCAACCACCAAGGCTGCTCTTGCTGTGAAGGAGAAGATGATCGTACCTGAGTTCACAGGTGAGCAACAAGAAGCGTCAATACATGTGGCTAGTGGAGATGACGTGGGTCTAAGCGTATGCGTTACAGGGAAACCCTTACCCTCAGTGGAATGGTACAAGGATGACCAGAAGATGCGGAAGACAAGCAAACTGAAGATCGATCAGGAAGATGATAAGGTTTCACTAATTATTTTGAACGCCACGCCTGATGATTCTGGCACCTACAAATGTGTGGCTTCTAGCAAAGCTGGGACAGCGACTCGTTCATTTGATGTTAATGTGGCAGGTAAGTTGAACCCTAAACACTTTTATCAGTGCTTACCTTTTTCACTGTAGTCAGTGCTCACTCCCATGTAAGTAATTACTTTGTGTAGGCATCATAATGTGTCCAAGGTTAGTTTGGAGTATGGAAAGAAGTGTTTACCTGAATACACCGCTATAGCATAGTTTTGTTTCTTGCTATTCAGCCACGAGGCCGGAAGGTAAAGCACCGGAGGTTATCAAGCCTGCAAACAGTGTTGAAGTCGAAGAAGGTAAACCAGCAAGGATAGAGTGTCAGATAGCTGGGAAACCCAAGCCTAATGTGGAATGGTTTAAAGACAGCGAAAAGGTCAAAGAGAGCAATCGCGTCAGGCCTGAAGTCAGCGATGACACTTTCTCGTTGAACTTTAAAGAAACTAAGCTTGAAGATGAAGGAGACTACAAATGTGTTGCTCGGAATGAGTTCGGTAGTGTGTCGAGCCAGGCTGAGCTTCTTGTCAACGAGGCACTTACTAAGCCCGAATTTGAAGAAAAGATGAAGAACTTGAACGTTCAGGCTGGGAAAGAGGCCAGGTTTGTCGTGCTGGTTACTGGTGTTCCACCGCCAGAAGTTGACTGGCTCAAAGGAGATGACAAGGTTGTCGGCGATCGGTTTGTCTTGATTGATGATGAAGGCGACGATGGGCGTTTCTCTTTGATTATCAAGGACGTACAGCCGGAGGATTCTGGAAAGTATGAATGTATCGCGTTCAATGAAGTGGGAGAAGTGTCATGCAAGGCTAACCTAGCTGTGGAGGAAACTCTTGTAGCTCCCGAGTTCACTGAAGAACAGGAGAGTGCGCCAATTGTTGCTGAGGAAGGAAGTGATGTTAATTTGAATGTAGAGTTGAAGAAAGGACAACCAAAACCTCAAATTGAGTGGTTTAAGAATGACAAACCAGTGAAGAGTGACGACCATCTTGTATTAGCTGATAAAGGAGACCTGCATTCGCTGACAATTTCCTCAGTTGTCCCTAATGATTCTGGTGTTTACAAGGTTAAAGCTATTAGTAAAGCTGGCTCTCTGGAAAGGACGTTTGATGTGCAGGTTGCAGGTAATGTACTATACCACAGCACCTAACTTGTTGCTGCTAGTCAAATAAACCTAAATGTTTCTAAACGTGGAGTGACTAATTTCAGAGCTCGAACGTTTTGGTTCATTCATTCATTGGTTGTTTTGATAATAATAATGTTCTGATATTACGTTGACACTCGTAATCTCCAACAAAGCTAAATTGTAATGCTGGTTGTTTAAGATCTAACAAGACCAAGGAAAGTATATTTTAATTGCTTTCATTTAAATGTTCACACTAAAGGATTCCATCTGCAGACTCAAGAAGTTGAGACGTGACTTTTCTTCGCCATCGCAGCTTTCAGCTTCCTGCTTCAGACCCTTAAAGTTTAGTTTTGATTATAACATTTTTGTTGTGTATTCTGACGTTTTACCTTGCAGCAAAGCAGCCTGAGGGTTACGCCCCGCAGTTCCCAGAAACTTTACAGCCATTGGAGGTGAAGGAGGGAACTGCATCAAAGCTTCACTGCACGGTGGAAGCAGAACCGCAGGCGACGCTTGAATGGCTTAAAGATGGAGTGAAAGTAAAGGAAAGCAGAAGGGTGAAAATAGAAAGTGATGGAAAAACGGTTTGTTTGTCTTTTAAGGAGACCAGGCCTGATGATACTGCTGAGTACAAATGTGTAGCCACTAATAGTTTTGGGTCTACCTCTTGTGTGGCGCGTCTAACAGTGAAAGTCCTGTCTAAACCCGACTTCAAGGACAAGATGAAAGGAGTCGAAGTAGTGGAAGGTGACTCCGCAGTGTTTAACGTTCGGGTTTCTGGTTATCCTGAACCTAGTGTTGAGTGGTTTAGAGGTACAACAAAGCTGACGAATGACGACCGATATGCGATCGAAGAACATAAAGAGGAGACCAGCTTCAGTCTTACAATCAAAGATGTTAAACGTGAAGATACAGGCATGTATAAGTGCGTTGCTTCGAATGAAGTTGGTAAGAACACATGCCGAGCGGACCTGAGTGTGAAGGAGAGGCTATATTCCCCTGAATTCTCCGAAGAGCCCTCGGACGCCCCCATTACAGTGACAGAAGGCGACGAAGTGAACCTCGATGCAACTGTCAAAGGAAAACCGAAACCAGACGTGAGGTGGTACAAAGACGACAAAATCCTTCGTGAAAGTAGCAGACTGGACATTAAGGCTCGAGGAGACAAATACTCTGTTGTTATCCTTGGTATCAAAGCTGAAGACGCTGGCGTATACAAGTGTGAAGCAAAGAGCAAGATGGGTACAGCGACCAGGACGTTTGATGTCCGTGTTGCAGGTATCATTTACAAAGATCTATAATGAGTACCTAATTACCCATAAATAGAAAAGTTTTATTGAGGGCCCCCGGTTGATAGGAGCCAAGTGCAGACAGGGTCACTCAGCTTAAATAAGTTTCATGTAGACTTGATTTTACTGTGGGTACCAAAGTACGCTGGCAATGCTGTGGTACTTTTGTTTTTAGATGATATATTAATAAGCAAGATTTGGTTATGTCAATTTTCAGTTCTGGTTATACTTTTCCAATCCTCTAAACGTAAGCAGACAATTTTTAGATTGTTAATTTTCTTTTTTCTCTGCTAACGCATTCAGCACAACCTTTATAAGGAAATGGATGATAACTTTTAAATGAAATATTTGGGCGCGAGACTTGCAAAGGGAGTCTCGCGAAAACGCGGGAGTGGTAAGCTGTTATTGTTTTAATATGCTTTTTTTTTGCAGCGAAAAAACCATCAGGAACTGCTCCAGAATTTACGACACTTTTAGAAAACTTGACTGTGGTTGAAGGTGACCCTGCGACGCTGCAATGTGAGATTAAAGGAGAACCAACACCAGTCGTTGAATGGTTTAAGGATGATGAGCAGGTTGCGGAAACTAATCGCGTTGAGATGGAGTTTGACGGCAAGCTTTCGTCCTTAACATTTGAGCCAAGCAAACTTGATGATGAGGGTGACTACAAGTGTGTTGCGCGCAATGAGTTGGGTAGTGCCTCCAGTAAAGCTGAACTTCTTGTAAACGAGGCGGATACAAAACCAGTATTTACAGAGAAACTTGAAAATGTCGTTGTTAAAACTGGGGAAGAAGTCCGGTTTGAAGTTCGGGTGATTGGATCGCCTCCACCAGAAGTTGATTGGTTTAAAGGAGAAAATAACCTTGAAGATGACAGTCGCATCCTTATGGTTGACAACGTTGAAGAGGACCTGTTCTCGCTGATTATCGAAGATGCACAGCCAAGTGATAGTGGAGAGTACGAGTGTGTAGCGTTCAATGAACTTGGCGAGGTTTCTTGTAAGGCAAACCTGGTCGTTGAAGAAACGATTATCGCACCACAGTTTGGAAGTGAGGTACAAAGTGCAGCTCCTGTTTTCCTAGAAGAACCAATTGTTGCACCTGAATTTACTGAAAAAAGTGAAAGCGAACCCATTGTCATTGACGAAGGAGGAGAAGTTACTCTCAGTGTGGATGTCAAAGGACAGCCGAAACCAGATGTGCAATGGTTCAAGGATGATGTAGAAGTTAGGCCTAGTGAGCATGTGGCCATCAGCGAGGTTGACGACAAACACGCCTTGTTAATCAAGGATGCTACTCCTAAAGATTCGGGTATTTACAAGTGCAGGGCTAGCAGCGTAGGTGGTGTGGCTGAAAGAACCTTTGACCTACAAGTAGCAGGTAAACATTATGTGAAGTGTCATTTGAATCTTATTTATAGAATTTTACGTACTCTAAAAGTGAAAGGCGAAAGTCTTAGAAAATGACCAATTCGACAATTTTAAGGAATTAGCAAAATGTTCTATATAGGTTGAATGAAAACAACTGAACTGCCTTAAAGTTATTAGTCAATCACTTTCATTTCAATGGCCTCACTCACAATAAACATATCGGCCATTTGGAGCATGCATGTGAGACTGATTCGTTGTGCCGAATTGCACTATGGGAATTTTTTTTTTTTGGGGGGGGGGGACCCTTTCTCTCCTCTCATTGGCTATTACGAATTTGAGCAGGAAACTGGGTCAAAGTTCGTCCCCCTAAATAGACCTTTTTACCGATACGGCGGCCATATTGAAGTAATTCGATTTAAGGAGTATTATAGGATGCCCAGGGGGCATGAGCACATTTCGTTTGTATTTTCGAGCGCTTTTCGGGACATTTTTTCGGAAAGTTTTCTTAGAATAAGATTGTAATGGAAGAAAAGATCCTTGTGCCGTGTTTGGATGTAATAATGATTGCCTTTTTCCCGAGAAATATACAGTGAAAGACCATATTTCTAATTCTAAACTAGAAAAAGGCGATCATTATTACATCCAAACACGGCACATGGATCTTTCTTCCCATTACAATCTTATTCTAAGAAAACTTTAAGAAAAAATGTCCCGGAAAGCGCCAGAAAATACAAACGAAATGTGCTTATGCCCCCTGGGCATCCTATAATACTTCTTAAATCGAATTAATTCAATATGGCCGCCGTATCGGTAAAAAGGTCTATTGTTTCACAGTGCAATCCGATGCAATAACGACTCATTCTCACGGGTAATCTAAAAGTGGCTGAATTTTGACGTGGTTCCTTAGGAAAAAGAGCATGTTCACATTAATATCATTAGAAGTTACTACTCTGCCACAGTGTCCAGGGACAAACGTGAGCTTGAACCTCGGTTGTCACAGAGGCTCTAGTAGCTCATTGGTTAGTGCATCCGGTCTGGAAATCTGAGGGCCACGAGTTCGTATCGCAATAGGAGCTCGTAATTGTTTGCTCAGCTTTCTCATCACTCTTCCCTCTAAATTTGAAATTAGTCAAGGCGAAATTAGAGCTGATTAGTGTTGCTGTTGTTTTTGTCTTAACAGCTAAAAAACCAGCAGGGACTGCACCAATGTTCACCGAACCTCTTTCACCAGTAGAGGTGAAGGAAGGCAATGATGCTAAGCTACAATGTACTGTTGCAGCCGACCCCGAACCTAATGTTGAGTGGTTCAAGAATGGAGTGCGTGTTAAAGAAAACCGACGAATTGAATTGGACAGTGATGGAGGAGCCATTTCTTTAACGATCAAAGAAACAAGGACGGGTGATCAAGGAGAATACAAGTGTGTTGCGACCAATGACTCAGGTTCGGAGTCCTGTGTTGGAAGCTTAACAGTCCGCGCTATCACCAAGCCAGACTTCAAAGAGAAACTCAAGGCAGTTGAAGTCATTGAAGGGGACACAGCACGGTTTGATACTCGAGTTCTTGGGTACCCTGTGCCCGATGTTGAGTGGTTTAGAGGAACAACCAAGCTGAAAAATGATGAGAGAATTGAGATGACGGAGAACAAAGATGAAAACAGTTATTCCCTTGTAATTGCTGATGTTAAGCTTGAAGAGGCTGGAATGTACAAATGTGTGGCTTCTAATGAAGCAGGTGAGTGAAAAGATTTTTTGAAATTGGGAGTTGTCATGTCAGAAAGTGAGAACAAATCACAATGAACAGGTGTGATTATAAAATGTAGAATGGGAATATTGCAAAATTTTTAAAAGCGTTTTGTTAATGGAACGAGAAGGGTGTAACATTAACTACTCTTTAGGATCTTACGCCGTGGGTTAACAGTTCAGTTGAAAATTTTTAGCAACACATGTAATTAATTTATACTTCGCGAACGAACCTGCCAACTGCATTGTTTTTCTCTGTGAATGTGCTATTGAATTCTTAATTGTTGGCGATGAGAGGTAATTTTGATAACATGCTATGCCCAAAATAATATGGACTGTAGAGTCTTCACGTTAGTAATTAACTCTTGCATCAGGTAAAAACACATGCCGAGCAGATCTCAAGGTCAAGGAGAAGCTGTTTGCTCCTGAATTCTCCGAAGAGCAGTTGGACACGCCCATTACAGTGACAGTAGGCGACGAAGTGAATCTTGATGCTACAATCAAAGGGAAACCAAAACCTGATGTTAGATGGTACAAAGACGACAAAATCCTTCGTGAAAGCAGCAGACTGGACATCAAGGCTCGAGGAGATAAATATTCTGTTGTGATTCTTGGTATCAAAGCTGAAGACTCTGGCGTGTACAAATGTGAAGCGAAGAGCAAGATGGGTACCGTGAGCAGGACGTTTGATGTCAAAGTAGCAGGTGTGTAATAAATACTGCTATCGTTTTGGTAGGTTTCAATAAGCAAGCTTTGTTTTGTTGCTTTGGTCACCGTTGCAAGTCATGTGAAGACGCTGTAATTGAAGATGGGTTACTATTATTTTTCAATGTGGACTTTTGAGAGCATATTGAAAGATCAGCTTTACATAGTATATTTGCTGGCTGGTTGTGGGCAATAGGCGTAATGACTGAATTGGGTCCAGAAAACCAGAAAGGAACAAATCACCGTTGTCATAAGCTTAAGCAAACAGCCGACATTTCACGACATCGCCACTAGTTTATGTCTGAAGAGCGAGCGCAGAAATGTCATACTGATGACGTATTCTGATTGGTCGTGTCGCGTAGAAAATTCGCTTCTTCCAATCACAAGCACTAGCCAGATCTGGATAGTGCCACGAGTAGAAATCAGTTGGCTTTGGTTGGGCTTTGATAGACTCGTTATTGTTTTTGTGTCTTGCAAAACGCATTTATCCCCCTTCAATAGCCTGCCGAAGGCGTTTAATGTTAATGTTGTTTACTTATTTGCTAGATAAAAAGCCAACTGGAACGGCACCTGAGTTTACCCATCCGTTAGAGTCATTAGAAGTCTCCGAGGGAATGGCAGTTAAACTTTCATGCTCCCTGAAAGGAACACCCGAACCAACCATCCAGTGGCTGAAAGATAACAAGCCTCTGAAAACTAACAAGCGAGTCAAGGATAACTTTGACGGCGAAGTCGCCTCTTTGGCATTTACTGAGATCGACCTTGATGACGAAGGAGATTACAAGTGCGTCGCGCAAAACGAGTTGGGATCAGCGTCTTGTACTGCCGAGCTTCTTGTTAACGAGACCGCTAGTAAACCAGAGTTTATTGAAACAATGAAGGACATTCAAGTCGCTGTTGATGATGAGGGACGGTTTGATGTGCGCGTGTCGGGTTTTCCTAACCCGTCAATTCAGTGGTTCAAGGGGGCAGAGAAGATCGAGGACGAAGGGAAGTTTATGTTAATTGACGATGAAGAAGAAGATCTGTTTTCTCTTGTTATTGACCAAGTTACACCTGACGATGTTGGTACGTATTCGTGCAAAGCTAACAATGAGGCAGGGGAAGCCAGCTGTAAAGCTGAGCTGCAACTTCAAGACCAGATGGCAGCTCCAGAATTTGCTGATGAAGTAGAAAGCGGCCCAATAACAGCTCAAGAAGGTGGCGACGTGACATTGAACGCTACTGTTAACGGAAAGCCAGTCCCAGATGTTGAATGGTATAAGGATGATAAGATCCTGAGGAAAACTAGCCGCTTTGATATGAAATCACGAGGGGATAAATTTTCGCTGGTTATCCTGAATGTGACACCTGATGATTCTGGTTTGTACAAGTGTGTGGCTCGCAGCAAGGCTGGAAGTGTTTCGAGAACATTTCAAGTGAATGTCGAAGGTACCTTTGGTAGTTATTGTGACGATATTAAAATTCCCTTCCCCTAGTTGTCGCCTGCAATCCTAATCTCCAGGTTGCTAATACGCATGCTTGGCACTTATGTATCTAGCAATCGTTTGGACTTCCACTAAGAATGAATGAAATGAATAGAACGCAACATGATCACTTTATGGTCTTCCAACACGTGAAACTTACGCAAAGCACCAGCGTTAGGGCAAGAGCATTTTGACCTTCGACCAGAAGCCTGAAACTCGCCCGCACTCCCTAACTTTTGGTTATTACTAGTAGGTATATTGTAGGATAAGTACTTCAAAGGTTCCAAGGTGCTATGATCACGCTGTTCGCTATCTTTTGAAAAAACTAAAACGTATCTTCCCATCGAATGAATTCTAAAAACATTTGACTACTTTTGTTGTTTAAGACTACATCTAGACAGTGAGACTGTGTCCTGTCTTCTGTTGCTAGGATGGCAATGCTGGGCTTGGAAGGACCGCGCTACCTTGTAGCTAATTCATCTAAAGAAAACGAGCCACCTGATTAATGCAGTTCTCTTTGAATCTTAGGTAAAAAAGCAAAGAAACCAAAAGGGAAAGCACCTGAATTCACGCAATCTTTGAAAGTAACAGAAGTCGAGGAAGGGAGTCCTGTCAGATTAAAATGCCGCATGACTGGTTCCCCGGAGCCCACGGCAGAATGGTTCAAAAACGGAGCTCCGATCGAACTGGGCCGTCGAATAAAAGCTGATGTTATCGGTGACATGTGTCAATTGTCTTTTACGGAAACACTAGCAGACGATCGGGGGGAATACAAATGCGTTGCTAGGAACGATGTTGGATCGGCATCGACCGAATGCGAGCTTATTGTAATAAAACCTATCTCATCACCCGAGTTCATAGTGACACTTAAAACTGTTAATGTGAATGAAGGCGAGACAGCTCAGTTTGATGTGAAAGCAACTGGACATCCAGAGCCCAAGATCGAGTGGCTTCGTGGTTCTCAAGCTATCGATAACGAAGGACGTTTTACGTTAAAACGTGGCGAAGAAGGCGGTCAGCACTCTTTAATTATCGACGATACAACGACGGACGACGCTGGTACTTATAAGTGCGTTGCATCTAACACTGCGGGAAAGGCAACGTGTCGAGGTGAACTAAACGTCAGCGAGAAACTAACAGCTCCAGAGTTCGTTGGCGACCTAGACGAAGCTCCAATAACTTTTAACGAGGGCGATGAAGTGTCGTTAACTGTTACTATTCGCGGAAAACCATCCCCTGAAGTACAATGGTACAAGGATGAACTTAATGTGTCTAAGTCATCAAATGTGAACACGCTTGTCAAAGGAGATCAATACACACTTACAATTTATAGCGCTAAGCCGTCTGACTCAGGAGTCTACAAGTGTGTTGCCAAAAGTAAAATGGGAACAGCTACACGGACTTTTACCATTCATATTGAAGGTGAGTCCGTTGCTAATTATAGAGTAAAGGGTGTGGCCTAATGGGTCCCTTCTGCGGGTATCGTGGTACAAATTATTTAGCAAAATAGAAAGAAAAACGCTTAAAAATAGAGCTCGCTAAATGACATTACGTTTAGGTTCTTTACTTGTGGTGATAGTGGAGAAGAACCTGGAAAGTAGATAATGAAGTGATCGTTTCTGCAGTTAGATATAAGGGAGCTTTAACAACGACGACGGCGACGGCAGCGAGAACTTCAAAAACGCAATAGGTTTGATTAGCAAAACAACATCTATGCACGTGCAGCACACTTTTTTGTACATTTCTTTGCCGTCACTGCTCGACTACGGCTTGAAAATCCCTGATTTCACGTTTTATGGAGGACGTAAACAAGCGATAACGAATTTTTCTTTCTCTTTTAAAACTTGAGTGTGATCCCCAAGAAATCAACTTCAGGGAAATTCGCCTACATTTGACATTTCCAGCAATTGGAATAAGCGCGACAAAGTTTGAAAAAACGCGAATTCATTTTAAAAGTGACGTTTTCGCTGCTGTCGCCGTCGTCGATGCTAAAACTCCCTATAAGCAAGCACGACGGCAACGGCGACGAAAACCTCCCTTAAAATGGTACTTGCGCTGTTTCAAACTTCATAGCTCTTGTTCCATCTCGTTCAATTTGTCAAATGTTCACGACTTTTTCTGGACTATAGTTCTAAAGGGCTGTATCTAAGTTTAGGAAACAGAAGAATATGGTCGTTGTCTTGTGTTCACATTCTCCTTGAAACGTGATAACCGTGGTAAGTCTCACGTCGTAGTCTCGCAACGACAGTAAGGAAATCTACAGTTGTGTACAAAAATGGTGATACACGTGCAAAGTTTCTGTTTTGCAAATAGAGCACATTACTTGTTTTTGACTTTTTCGTAGCTGTCGCCGGTTTGGGGACAGTGAAGGGGGAACAGAAGAATTTAAAATATGTGTTCTGTTGTATCTGTTTACTATTAATTAGCCAAGAAACCTAAAGGAACAGCACCTGAGTTCTTCAAAGCTCTTAAGAAGATAGAAGTAGTTGAGGGAAGTACAGCTAAACTGGAATGTTGGGTCCACGGAAAACCGGAACCGGAAATAGAATGGTTCAAAGATGATGTAGCTGTTAAAACAAGCAAACGGGTGAAAACTTATTTTGACTTCGAAGTTTGTAAACTAACAATTGCTGACACTGTTACTGATGATGAAGGAGAATATAAATGCGTGGCGACCAATGAGCATGGCAGTGCCTCTTGCTCTGCTGAGCTCTTAGTGAACGAAGCTATTGTCATGCCTGAATTTAAAGAGAAAATGAAGCACATTACTGTTACTGAAGGTGACACAGCCAGGTTTGATGTTCACGTGATCGGCAATCCTAAACCTGAAACTGAGTGGTCAAAAGGCGGGAAACCTATAAGAGAAGGAGGAAGGTTTAAGATAGTACAATCGGATGATAGTGACTTACATTCCTTACTTATTGAGAATGTGTCAATGGACGACTTTGGTAGTTATAAATGCGTAGCATCTAATGAGGCTGGTAGAATGCAGTGTTCTGCGCGATTGGATGTTAAAGAAAGAGGGATGGTACCTGAGTTTTCTGACGAGTATGGCGATGCGCCGATTGAAGTCAGCGAAGGTGATGAACTTAAGATTAATGTAACGGTCCAAGGGAAACCAAGACCTGATGTTGAATGGTTCAAAGATGACAAACCTTTGAAAAGAACTAGTCGCATGAGTTTATCAACTCGCGGAAGTAAATTCGGTGTGACTATTTTCTCTGTTGCCCCTGAAGATTCAGGAGTGTACAAGTGTGTTGCTAAGAATACAGCTGGTACAACAACGAAAACGTTCCAGGTCAACATCGAAGGTAGGTCTTCTTTCTGTTACTTAAATCATTTTCTAGAAGCTAAAGGAAAGCACCTATCGTCTCACTTTTTATATGGTTGTTTGCTATTTCAGGTCAAGACTAGCTCGAATACAGCCCCCATCTCCCGTCAAACAAAATCTTCCCGATATGTTTTTGAGGGGAGGCAGCGGCTGTTCACAGATTAGTTCGAGACGTGCTTGCAAATTTTGCTGCATTTTGTCATTATACAAAAGAACGATATTGATATTGATATTATTATTTTTCAATAAGTGACACAGGCAAAACTTAGAAAAAAAAAATACATCCAAATGAAAGCTTAAAAGGTTAGGTTTCCACATCTGTCACCTTATTCACTAGAGGACAGTTTTTTGGTGCACATTTTCAGGGCGGTCGTTAAGGTCCCTCTCCGACAAACGAGACGCAAAACACAAGATCGTTGATTAGTGTGCAATCCTGTGGCACCTGGAATATACACTCGGGGTAGCTTGCGTCGCAATCAGTCTAAATCACTGATATCGAGTACTCTATCTGGGTCTCGAGTGACAATTTCGGCTGCAACGCAGGCTAATTCGGGGTAGTTGCGAAAGAGATCCCGCTTTCGATAGCTTCCGGATATCCAACTCAGCCATTTTGTTGAATGCTCTTCAGTGGTTTTATGGGAGATCTTTGAATTGAAATGCCCCAGTATGAGCACGTTTCCGAGGACCTTCTTGTACAATAACCAGGGCGAAATTTGAATTAGGTAATTGATGATTTTGCTGATATTTATGCGTTTTGTTACAGGCAAGAAACCTGCACCAAAATTCATACAGCCGTTACAAGACACACAAGCTACCGTTGGCGCGATAGTTAAGCTGGAATGTCGTTTAAATGCAACGCCTAAACCTAACATTGAATGGACCAGAAATGGCCGTCCTGTCTTTGAAAGCCGGCGTGTACGGACAGAGGCGGAGGGTGACCTCTACTCTCTTGTAATCTCTGATCTTAGACCTGAAGACAGCGGGGAATATCAATGCACAGCCAAGAACAAAACAGGAACTGCTTATTGTACAGCTAAGCTTACTGTGAGTGAGTCGACGAGTAAACCCGAGTTTAAAGAAACTATGAAAGATCTGGAAGTCGTAGAAGGCGATGAAGCCGTGTTTGAAGTTGCAGTGATTGCTAAAACCGAGCCTGAAGTAGAATGGTATTTGAGAAAAATGAGGATAACGAGCGAAGAAAAATACACCATTAGTGAAGACCTTGACAGGCAGAGATATTCTTTGAAAGTTGTTGATTGCCAACGAGAAGACAGCGGGCAGTATAGATGCGTTGTCAAAAATAGCGCGGGCGACGTCAGTTGCTCAGCAGAATTGAAGGTTAATGACAGAACTGTTGCGCCGACGTTTGTTCAAGGAAGCGAGGAACAGCTTTTTGAGGTGTGGGAAGGGGCACCAGTCAAGCTTGTTGTGCAAGCGAAAGGAAAGCCTACGCCGCAAGTTGAGTGGTTCAGGGATAATCGTCTTGCAAGACGAGTGAAGCGAGTTGAGCTACAAACGGAAGGTGACAAGAGCAATTTGTTAATCCCTAAAGCAGTGCCAGGTGATTCAGGGAATTACCGCGTTGAAGCCACAAATTCTGCTGGCACCGCTGTGAAGCCATTTACCGTCAAGGTCAATGGTAAGTGCATTCTTTGATCTGTTAGTAGACAGTGAAGACTGAATTCCACTGTAAAGTGATGGTAATGTGCAGTATAGGTGAGAGCGTCCATTATTTGTAATCGCCATATTTGATTTGGAAAGCTCTACCATGGGCATAGGGCTACGATTGTTGTTTCGCGTGTATAATAAAGCGCCACGAAGCAAATGTGTCCCTTGCTTGTGAGATTGTTCAGAAACTTAAGTATTGGGTGTTACATCGATCGATGCAATGTTGTAGCTTACCTTTTCCTGTAAAGACGTTTAATGGAATAATAATCCCTGCTATTCAATTTTGCTAGCATCCGTTCAACATTCGCCTCCTTGTCAATTCGTATCACGAATCGTGTAACCCGTCTAAGCTCAGTAAAGTCGACCAACTTGGGTCAGCTGAACACATCGTAGCATCGCCAATAGTTTTAAGTTACGTTGTTGATTATAATGTCTTGTTTAATTTTCAGCACAAAAGCTTGTACTAAGACGTGAACCAATCCCACCAGGAGCCGAAAAACCAGAGTTTATTCAGAGGCTGCAGGATATTGAGATCGTTGAAGGAAGTGCTGCTAGATTTGATGTTCGAGTCAAAGGTACAGTACTTTTTTTCTCAAGTTTTGTTTGTAACTTGTAACTATCAAAAGATTTAGTGTAGATGAGGTTGTTTGTAACTGTATGAATGGAGTCGCTTGACGCTAATTAAAAAAAAAAGTAAAGTGAACCCTTGCCGTGGTGGAGACTTTCCCCTGTCTAAGTCAATTTTGTTTGTCACTTTCACTCCAAACAGCGTCCCCGCAAAATCCAATTGTGAAAAAAGTCCAATTTTGGTTTTTTAATATGGTGAAAACCAAAGATTTAAAAATAAGTCCAACGTTTAAGTCCTCCAAAATGGGTTTGATTTGAGTATTAAGGTTCGCATCAGCAGATTAGCAAGTTAGTATGAAAAGTAAACACGACAGTAGAGTACTATACTTTTCATTGTTAGACTCAGGCCAGGAAAAAAGCTAACTTGGCCTTGGTAGAATTGTAGGTTTTTCGAAGGTTGGACCATGCACGTTGGCCTCAACAAAGGCAAACGAGCGAATCTTTTGTGCTCATGAGGTTCGAAAAATCGGGATTTTACTTAAGTAAGGGGTTCAAATGTGTTTTGTGCTGGCAATGAGGGTGATGTTTGCTCCAATAGGAAATCCTGAGCCTGAAATTGATTGGTACAAAGATAACCGAGTAATCCGTGAAGGAGGGCGGTTACAATTCAAGTTTGAAGATGACGGTTTGTGCTCCTTGCTGATAAAAGAGGCTGAATCATCTGACAGAGGACGCTACAAATGCGTGGCCAGCAACCCTGCTGGAAAGGCTCAATGCAGCGCGGAGCTCTTCATAGAAAGTAAGTAGTAGTAATAGTAGTAGTGGCGCTTTGGCACTTGACTGTAAAGCTTTGAAGCGTATGGGGGTCGAATGTTTGCACCGCTGGGAACACCCCGTGAGCGCCTTAGCCCCGCAGACTGGGAAATTTCCCGTACTGTTCAGAGGTTTAACGAGTGTGGTAGTTATGGGAGGTTTCCGTGCATGCTTTAACCCCTAAGAGCATCTGATTTCTCCTTAAAATAACACTAAACATATAGGTCATGAGATTAAAGGAATGGATCCCCATGTAAAGTAAGTTTTGGTTATTAAACAAATTATCCCCCACTTCTTCAAGCTACTGCTGTTGGCGGGCGGACCCGAACTTCATCCTTGTATGTTTTATTCGTTAACTCAGAAATGTTCTAATCGCACTTAATTGTAGTGTAGTGTATTTCATTGTACTGTGAACAGCTGGCAATGAGTCCGCAAAGATCAGTGCCGAGAAATTGCATGCCTTTTAATGGGTATGTCTCAAACGGTTTGATCGCTGGTGGTATATATTTTAGTTAAGCTACATGCCGAGATTGTCTTCACCTTTTTGGATATAAGAATCACGAGAATTCAAGTGAACTGTTTTCAGCCATGTGAAAATGCTCTACCTTTCCTTTAGAGCCTTTTTTTAACCGACTTGAATTTAGTATCAGGCCACCAGGTAATCGTGTCTATTTTGTTTTGTTTCACAGCCCATGGCTTCGATTCTACAAGTGGGTCAGATATTGACAGGCGTCTTTCTCGGTGAGTCAAGCGATTGTTCGAATCGTGTTTGTGCTATTTTCTGTTCTTTCTGTAAATGGGTCAGGACCTGTTTCTTTTCAGGTGCATGGAATTTGGGAATGACGTTTGGACAGAACCAACGTGATGGTCCAACAACTTCAAACTGTGCGGAATGTTTATCTAGGCCGAATAGTTTCATCTCATTTTAATCTGATTAATCGTCATCAACCGAAACATTTAACGTCATTGAACGCCGTCCATAAAGGTGTTCTAGCAGATCTTACGTGTTGCATCCGACACTGTTGAATGAAGGAGGACCAAATGAGACTTAGCCTAAACTGTAACAACTGCATTTTTAGGAGTTAATATTCGTAAGCGATATGGACACAAGGAACCATTGTCATAAATACTCATTATCGTTATCGTTTTCATAACCTTTGCCATTGCTATTGCCATTGCCTTTATGAAAATGATCATCATTATCATCATCATTATTATCATTATCATTATCATCGTCATCATCATCGTCATTATCATCATCATTATCATCATCATTATTATCATTATCATTATCATCGTCATCATCATCGTCATTATCATCATCATTATCACCATCATTATTATCATCATTATTATCATTATCATTATCATCGTCATCATCATCGTCATTATCATTATCATCATCATTATTATCATCATTATTATCATTATCATTATCATTATCATTATCATCGTCATCATCATCGTCATTATCATCATCATTATGATCATCATTATCATTTTTATTTATTTTAGGGAGTCGACATTCGACATGCTCTCAGATGACACTGAAGAAGACGAAGTCGACGCTGAGTCATCCGGCCCTCTAAAGATCCCTCCAGACATCACATTAGTGTTACGCAATCGTGACGTGAAAGAGGGTGGCGTGACAAAGTTTGCTTGCCGTGTGATTAGCAAAACCCCTTTGACAGCGGAGTGGTACAAGGATGAACAGCTTGTTAGTAAATGGCCCCGCTTTACATGTGAGCGTGACGAAGATCTCTTTGCCCTTAACATCTCGGACGCTAAAAGGACAGACGCTGGACATATTCGGTTTGTTGCCAGAAACGAGTTCGGTCAAGTGGAAAGTAATGCTTACCTCAATGTTGAACGTAAGTTATGTCAAAATTATCGTCTGAGCGCTCTTGAACGTACTGCAGAAGNTTATTTATTTTAGGGAGTCGACATTCGACATGCTCTCAGATGACACTGAAGAAGACGAAGTCGACGCTGAGTCATCCGGCCCTCTAAAGATCCCTCCAGACATCACATTAGTGTTACGCAATCGTGACGTGAAAGAGGGTGGCGTGACAAAGTTTGCTTGCCGTGTGATTAGCAAAACCCCTTTGACAGCGGAGTGGTACAAGGATGAACAGCTTGTTAGTAAATGGCCCCGCTTTACATGTGAGCGTGACGAAGATCTCTTTGCCCTTAACATCTCGGACGCTAAAAGGACAGACGCTGGACATATTCGGTTTGTTGCCAGAAACGAGTTCGGTCAAGTGGAAAGTAATGCTTACCTCAATGTTGAACGTAAGTTATGTCAAAATTATCGTCTGAGCGCTCTTGAACGTACTGCAGAAGGACGTTTATCCGCTGCGCCGCGTCAAAAATTAGATCACTTGGTTATTTCTCCGTTTTCCAAATGTTTGAACGTAGAAAATGGCGGCTTTGGTTTGAATGGTTACGCTCCAGGTGTCACTTGCACTTTAAATTACTACCTTGTAGCCTTGGTTTAAATGGTTGCACTTAACGATTTCTATGCAGACTGTATTACTCTCCTCAGATTAGGTCGCGCTTTCCTTAAAGCGCGACTGGGAATTTAGGAGTCGCGCCCTTACTATACTGCCAGCTTAGAAGTTTGATTTACAAAGGCATTAATGAGATTAAGCCGTCTGTTTTCTTACAATTGTAATCCTGGCATACGCAGTTTAGGTGCGAACGAGTTCAAAGTTTCTTCGTATGGAATGTGGACTAAAGACAGTTGCCGCTCTCCTGTGAACAAAGGCACCAACTCGAGGCTCGGGGTGACAAAGCACACTGATGTGTATGAAACATCTTGAGGTTCAGCGATGAATAATTATTATTTTACTTTATTCCCCCAAACCTCGGAACCAAGCATGAATTTTTTTAAGATATCGAAATTGGTCTACTTCCCACGCAAGCCGCGACCCTCTTTATTAAGTGCTCTCTGTAGTTGAATGCGAAAAAGATTCTGCGATGTCAATGATATCCTTGAGAAAAGTATATTTAAGTATTAGTCAAATATCGATTAGTTTGAAATCAGTTAGATTTTTTGTACTTTCTCTAGCCGACATGGAGCCTGAATTTGAGGGGACCACCCCCAGATTTACTCAAAAACTGCAAGATGTAGACGTATTACCCGGTAAAGTAGCTCGTATGGAGTGCCGGGTGATTGGGGACCCTCATCCGGATGTCCGGTGGTACCGGGAGAATGAACCCTTATTGGAAGGTGGAAGGTACAAGTTTGTAGAGGAAGGAGACCTACAAGTGCTTGTAATCAGTGACGTAAGTGGAAGTGACGAAGGCGTGTACAAATGTGTGGCTAGAAACGTCGCCGGCAAAGCACACTCCTCAGCAGAATTGTTTGTCATGCGTAAGTAGCTTAATGAGATGTTTTTGTAGAAAATAAATAACAGTCTCGGGTTTCTCTGTGGCATTTTAGGTGGTCACTTGGAGGAGTTTCGACTGTCGTTCTCATAGTTTTGATAATTTTGTTCCTATTTGTTTCTTATAGTAACGGATGAAGAAAGCGAGTCTGCTGGCGAGCAAGAACTAGAAAAAGAGAAGTATGTGTGGCCTGAAAATGTTTGTGCCTTTAGTTTGTGGTATGTTTTATTTCGATTTGTTACGAAACCAAAAAAATGTAGCTGCAGTTCGTTGACCAAACTACCGAATCATCTTTCATCCGGCGACGCCGTTATTTTCTTTAACAACGTAGTAAATGATTCTGTTTTTTAATTCTTAATCATGTAAGTATTTTATTTTATAGATTTTTTTTGTTTGCGTTGCTTTCAGTTGTCGAGTTAACCGCAACAACGTGAAGCCCAATTTACTGTGTAAACCTAGCGTTCATGCTTTGTTTGCGCGACGGTTGAAGAAATTCACTTGAGAGTAATTTTTTAAATTCCCTTCAGGTTAAAAGCTTTCTGTTGTTTCTAGGGAAAAAC